TATTTTTAAATATTTTTAGTCCAGAATTATTCTGTACCAGACAAACAGTAGCAAAACTATGCAATTAAAACTATGGAGAGATTCATTCTTAATGGTTTCCCTCTTCAATAAAACAAATCTTTAACTGCGAGATCAATACTATTGGGAAAAGCCATGTATGAGACTACATCATGAATAGTAGAAACTTACTCGGCTACTAATTAATTCACTCGTATTTGAACCATTGGAAACCGCACTATCATCACGAGGTAGATCTGTTAAAACAAGAATGTCCCCTTCTTCAGTATCAATGAGTTTCATTACATCATCAACAGAAAGTGTTCGAGGCAAAAATCGTAGCTTAAAAATTATTTGGTCCCAGAAGAACTTAGCACACTAGCATGAATAAAGCAGAAAATTTATGGAGACAATATTTAAGCAACTGATTCTCAAATAAAAAACTATAACATGCAAGAAATCGAGGAACTTTCGTCAGATATCTCACAGATATCTTTACGATTTTTACTACGAACTGTACTTGTAACTGTACTGTACTTAATGAATGAACAATCATATAATGTTTGGGTTGTGAGAAGAATTCCATTTATTGGGAATATTTATTAAAACTAATTTCAAAAGAGTATCCACATTGTTCAGATCGCTCTCGATCAGCTAGAAAGAAAAGGAATAGTCGAGTGATGTATTGTTTGGATTAATTATGAAACCCGAGCGATGGAAATTCATCTATTCTCAAGCGACTTTCTAATGAAAGAATTTCATTGAAATGGTCAATGAAGCGAACAAAGCGAGAAATGGTATGTCCTGCAGAAAAAAATTTAGGAGGACTTAAATGACTAATAATAATGACTAATTATTAATATTCATTTTTATTAAAAGGGAGATCGACATGGATTATTTCAGTAATTGTTTGAAAAAATTAGGTAGGTTCGACAAGTAGTTCATTTAAATCTGACATAAGCAACTAACTTTGAGATTTGAATTACTTTGAGATAAGTGAATTCTTTTCGAAGAATTTGGAAATGAAAGGAGTGTTTGCGAACATTTACTTATGCGCTTTTTGGCAAGCAGGGTTGCTTGAATCGCTTCTCTTGAGAATGATGCGAAACTTCCACCGCTTTTTATCACACCTAATGATGAACTTCCCCTGAAATCCAGTTTATTTAATTTGTATAATTTTTTCTAATAAAATTAACTCACTATACTCCTTCGATACTCTCATAACAGTGTCAAATTTTTACTTCAAGGTAAGAAGAGAAACAAATGGAGGTGTGTGGTATCAAATTGGGCTTGGCTTGAGGTGACGATTACTCCAAACAATAACAGACAGAAGAAATTAGGGTTCGAGTTGTTAGTGAGAACAACAGTTTTAAGATTTCAAGGTAGGACATTCATAATTTACGCAAGAAAAAGGTCCTATTAAAAAGGAAAAATGTTACAGATGGAGGAAATGAAAGAATTATGATTTTAAATGGCATTCCATTATGTGTCTTGAGAACTAATTAATGCGACCTTTTTTGCGCCTTTATTCGAAGCAATTCGAATTGTTCTCTCGATAGAAGACAAATGTTTTCCAACTGATTACGGCCGGCCTCATATGTGCTTTCTAATTTAGCCTGGAATGCACTGAAACATTTCTCATGGAACTGATTCAGTTAGAAGCTTACGTTACTGTTATCATGCAATTTACCTTTCCATCTGCATATAAGCAAGAAAATGTATTATGATATTTCTCGTAAAGTTCCTTTGGGAAGAAGAATTCTTTAATGGCAGATTTACTCTTGTCAAAGGCAGGATCCATCTAAGTAATGGCCATATGTCTTTATGCATATAAAATTAATACTTCTCAAATATCCAGTTCTCTTACTCTTCATAAAGGGATACAAGAACTAAATATTTAATTATATAAATGAGCAAGGATTGTTCGATTTATATCAATTATGTAGATAAGACAAACGATAAGCCGATAATGGAAAGCCGTTGGAAAGATAACAGAAAGCGATGGAGAAAAACCTGAATAAGATTGATGCACATTGAAACCAGAGACAGGCCAATGATAATGTAAATGAAGAGCATCAATAAATATTTTGGTTGAGTGGGAGTTATATCTCCAAGGCCGATCGTGCTGAAATTGACACTGCATTATATATTAAATCTTACTTTCGCATTTACAGAGTACGTTAAAAGACTCGCGAAAATTTTAATTTTTCTCTTGAAAAAATCTTAATAAATACGATCGCACTCGACATCGACGTTAAATTTTGCTTGAAATATATTTCATGCTAAATTAAGATGGTCTGTGACAAAATGCAAGAATACAAAAGCCTTGTCGCAGAATTCATAAATCAGGGTTTTGTGCTTGATGACCCAGATAAATGATGTGTAACTATTGAGTGTGTCCAATCACTAGTTATAAATTAGCTAAAAACTAAAATTCAATTGAATCTAGGATGCCATCCTATAAATTCACCAAAATTAATTTACCTTAACGATATGAAGAAAAAATAAAAAGCAACGAAATAATCCCAGTCCTGCTCCCATATGCAAAAAGTTGCTGAGCAAATGAATATCCAAGCTATGACAACGAAAATCGCAATTGGTATCGGTAGATCGAAAATTTCCAAATCTGAAAAAAAAAGTTTTCAGTATATTCAGCATATTTTATATAGACTGTCGTGAGTATTTTCTTGACAGTTGGCTTCAAAATGGTTAAAGGCATTTGTGGAAGATAGGCATGGATACTGATAAAATCCATGTTTTTAAAGATTCCCAAATAAAAGATTCTTAAATATTAGTTTATTAGTTTTAGTTTTTTTTTATATTTATGTTTTAAATATTTATTAATTTTATTCAAAATGTCTCCCACGCACAAATAGCATAGAATATACAAATGAGACGAATATGGCGAACTAATAAACCTTTTTTATCCTCCTCATCTAATTTTTTAATTTCTGCAATACTCTGCTTTGTGCAGTATTGGAACATACGTCGGCAACAACATTTTATCCAATACCACGGCGTTTTGAGGCATTTTGTCAAAAGTTTTCCTGCAGATTATTTAAAGATTAATTATTTAAGCTTCTAATTCTTACCCACACCTGTTATTGGTATTATTATTAAACATATTGCATATGAAAAATTATTAGACATTATTAGTTATTATTGTTATTACTAATCTTATTACTGTTATAATTGGCATTATTATTACTTTCGTTGGCGTTATAGATATCAATTTGTCACTTTTGTAGGAAGAAATATAGTTCTTCAAAAAAGAAAATTTTAAAAAATAACTGCTAGGAGAAAAGTGATGTTTTGATGGATATCTAGACAGGATAATGAGAATAAAAAATAAGCTAACGAATTTCATGGCAATATTTCATTTTGATTCTACTTAATATTCCATCTTATTTAGTAGGTACATTGGCTCCAAAAGTTAGAACTCATAATTGCTTAAAAATGTAACTAACCTGCAACATTGTCACACTAATGACATGTGAAAATTTTGCAAAGTCGTTAATATTACTTTTAGTTAAGTTTTTAGTGGTTTTATAAAAAAGTGAACAAATATCAGTCAAAATCGCCATTTTGTACTGATAAAAAATTAGGAAATTCAATATGAATCTATTCACAAAAAGTTATTAATAGCTTTTATTTTAATGGGAAAGGGGTTTGATGTGTTTTCGTCTGAAGCAGTTGGCTCTCCAGTGACATTATGTAATCGCCTATATTAAATATTGGTTAGCTGGCTTTCTTCTTTCAATTTACCGAAGCTCCTTCAAAATTTCGCATTTCATAACTCGTAATAGAAATAGTAAGCCAAGTTTTAAATTGAGATTTTAAATCAAAAAGAATTTAAAAAATAGAAATTAATTACAATTCGATATTCTTCTTTAGGTAGAATGAGAAAATTGACTTCCTTCTTGATCTTTTCCCTATCTACTCTTTTTATTTTTTGACAGGTGCAGACCTGTCAAAAAATTCTAAAATCTGGCCAGCTGTTGAGAACTGCATACCTATCGCCAAATGATTGTATGGTGGAAGGATCTGGTTCGCTTCTGGTTACGGAGTTCGAATCTTGCGAAGCTAATGATATCTCTAGCTCGATCGTGCATGCGATGAATGTGAGAATCTGGTATGATAAAGGATTTGGAATAGAATAAGATATAATTGCTTAAAATCTATTAAGGAAGACAGTCGATTTCGTGCAGATGCGGCTAGACCTTAGGCGTATCAGCAAGAGCTGTTAGAACGCTTATGGACATTGGAAGGTAAGCGGTAACCGTCCACACTTTGTCCAAAAGTCGCATGGATATCGCTCGCTTGTTGGAAATCTTTTTCACTCCAGTTTTTTTTGAATTATCGTACTTAACTCAGAACAAAGGTGTTCTATGTTGGCATTTGGAACAATTCGGAACGAAATAGCGTTACGGTTTTCATGTTTAAAGGGCTCAATCTACTATGATTGCGCGGAATATCACCGGATGGCTTACGCTCGTTTCAAAGGGAAGTTCTGCATTGTTTCAGACATCAATTAGTATGTTGCTACTCTATACCCAGATGAAGATGAGAAAGATAAGTTCTATGCGGGACTTCAATGCTAAGCTCGCAAAAACTGATTGAAACGCATAGGTGCATGATGTGTGTTATTATGGTGGGTTCTGTGATTGCCAAAATTGGCTCGAGGAGAGTTTTTTGCCAAGATGTTTTCCCACCATTCGTCATTAGAAAAGTTCCATACTAGAAAGAAACGACTATGGTGGCGTTGAAACTTCGGTGATCAGACTATGTAATGTAACTGAACAAGATCTACATATAGCTCATAAAGCGCAGAAAACAAAATTTTTGCCAAGATTTCGATTATCTTAAAATCTTGGAGATATTGGATCGTGGTTTGGAAGTTTCTTATTAAAACCAGTAATGAATATACCAGTAATATGCAATGAATAAGTCTTATTCAGACAATTTTTACTGCTTATTTTGAGAAACTTCTTTAAAATATTTGGGATATTTGAGATTCATACGTCCCAGTTATTGAATGATGAATATTTCATTGTTTATCCACGAATCTCCTTAGGGAATATTCGTTTGCTGATCAATATTCAAATTAATCTGCTCACATTTATTACAAATACCATTATTCATCTATCCACGTTATATCATATAAAAATATTAAAATATTTTCCGAACGTTTCGTTATTTTTCTAAGGAGAAATGTATAGTTGAGAAAAATAACAGCAAAATATGAACAATATATTTATTCTTAGATGTCAGGTCAAAAGCATTTGTGGATTAAAATTTTTATAGAGTAAGCCATCAAAGAATTAGAATATTTGACGTAACTAGGAATATTCTGATTGAAAGAAATGAGTGCAAATGAAAGCATGGGTTTACAACTATATATTTGGCCAATTTGAGCAGAGATTTTAAATATTCTGATCCCATCCTAGTTATGGACATATTATTGAAATCCCTATCCCCTACTATTGCTAGCTGATTCTGGTTCAGCAAATATCACATTACACTTAAATCTTATCCAATAAACCAAAAATGCGCATTATATTGTCATCTCATATTTTTGGGTTATTTCGGTACTTTTAGAGAAGGAATAACTCAGACTGATTCAAATTTGTTTCAGGCTTTTTTCTTATAACGTTAAGTATAGGGAAAAATATAGCAGAAATAATTTAAAATTAAGTAAATATGTAATAGGCGAAATCGCATTGCTATAAATTTCCCTACAACTTATTCCAGTTTTTTAAGGCGTTTACTAACTGATTTGCTAGATCTTATGAAATATTTGGTAATTATACTGTAAAATTGTAATGATTCTAATTCAAAAAAATAACAACCTAAATCATTTAATATGCTAAGCACGAGTGGAATCCCTACAACTGCATATAGCATCGTAAAAATGCGACCAGCCGCAGTTGATGGATACAAGTGTCCATACCCAATCGTTGTGCAAATTGTCTGCAATTTATAATCACTATGGTTTATGGTTATGACATAACGATGAATGTGCAATGATGAATTTTGAATGAACACATTTTTTATGGAAAAAATTAGAATAGCACATTTAAGCAAACCAAAATTTAAATATGGACATTTCAAAGGCTGATTAATTCAAATCTAATAAATAAAACAAATGGTCAGCAATCACTATTTCCAGCTGAGCTCGCGCTACTAACGGCGAGTACGTCGGTGAAATAATTTTGCCATCAGATGCTCAGTCGAGGATAGAAATATAAGTGGAACTCAAGCATCCAAATCTTTTGGTGATAAGTTCAATTCTGTTAGAATTAAGGGTTAAGCAAAAGTGCTTAAACGATAATCTAAGTAAAACCACTAGCCTATTCCACTGTCTTCACTACCATAAACTTGAATTCAAGTTCAATCAGAATTTTTATGTATTACTGATTTAAACCTAAGGCTTACCATAAAGCACCTATTTTTTCGATATTAACTGAATATATTAGAAGTTATAAGACAAAAACCAGCGAAAATATAGCGAAGGAGTTTTGTACAACTGCATCGGTATCTGGTCTTTGACGCTAATAACACTTAATAGCCAACAATTTTTTTTTCTCATGACAGTTTCGATGATCAAACTAGGACATCCGAAAAGCTTCATTGGAATGGTAATTTGGAAATAGCCTCAAGGCGTCTTTAAATCTCTGGGGAATGAGCCCTCCAAATAATGATTTTCCATTCTTCAAATAATAATGTAACAACAGCCAAATATCAAACGCTTTCAAAAACAAAAGAATAAAAATAAATGTAAATCTTGATATTTAACATCTAACTTAGATTCCACATGGTTTTTTAATTAATCGCAAATTAAAAAATAAGCTGGTATCAAAACTAGAAAAGATGCGAAACTAAATAAAGTTGAGAAATTGAACCAATGAGAAGTGCCTGAGTTAATGGCTAAACCAAAATCGGTACTGTACCTGTGCATAGAGCATGGCATTCCAGAAATCCCAGCTGATTTTTTGATCAGTGTATTTTATCCCTAATTGCTGCTCGTACTTAGCCAATTCAGAATTTAATCGTTGTTCGACCTAAGAGTGCAAAAAACAATTTCACTGGGTTGTAGGAAAATATTAGTAATGTCTAATGTTGACTTCGCTTAACACTATTTTTTAATTTTATAAACATTTCGCAAAAATAAAAGAAATTCATGCTTGATGAGGGATAAATTCTTTGTTTTTTCATCGCAGCTAAGTATTTAATAAGCAACCTGAGAAGTTTGGTTTGCAGTGAGAAAAAATAAAAATTCGCTATTATTGAACATAGTTGGGATAATCAATTCTATGAAACGTGATCTGTTCTGTTTGATGTCGTCGTTCCATTTCATTTCTTTCGATTCATCGAAAGATGCTTCGCAAAAATAGAAAATTCCTGCTCCGATAAACTGATAAATCACAAGAACTGATATTAAGAGAATATGTTTTAATCCATATTCATGGTAAATCTTGATCAAGATACGAATCCAACGAGGTACATGGCGAGTTCTTCGAAATCTTTGACGTGCTTCTCGTCGAATTCTATTCGCTGTTGAATGAGCCTTGAAATTCATAATATATATGGTTCCTTCTTTATAATATTGAAATAAATTTGTTATTATTTTTGAATCAAAATGTTGGTTTCTCTATTTTTTATACGCTGTTTAAGATTGAAAGCAATAAACATTTGAGAGCGGCTTCAATTTAAATCGACACTAAATCAACACAAATCAACAAATTTTACTCAAAATCTGAGTGATAGGAATTGAAAACTAATTTAGGTATATATTTACTTCTCCATTATTACTTCTTACGTTTATTTTTATTTAAGAGCTCTCACCATTACTGGTTAAACTCGCTCCACTGGCTTGTTGCATTGGGCAATATGCCAGGGAGTCCTTTGGCGATAGAAATACACGTGAGTCGCTAGCATCACCAGGTTCACTCATTCGAGGAACAGAACCTAATATCGGCGCTCCGAATTGAGCAACCACCTACTGAGCCACTCGATTCCCATCCTTGCACTAGGATTATTATTATAATAACTCTTCAGTTATTACTTCTCTTACATTTTCCTAAGCGCTTTCCAAAAACAAGTACCATAATCAATAGTTAATTACATGTTGGATTTTTATTTCGTCGTCAGCCAACAATATATCTAATGTTTGATGTGCCAGTATGAAAACTTTTATCGTAAAATTTATTATGCTTTTTACTTTTTACCACTTTTATTTTAGAAACTTTCAATATTTTTATCAACAACATACCCCTTCACGAAATGAGTGACCAATAAGCGAAAAACTGCGTCGAACGTTAGATGGCCGTTGTTTTGAGATGACCATGCTTCACGGCAGCATGTTATGCTTTACAGCCCACACGTTTTGCCTCTAGTAAAAAAGCGAATTTGCAAAACAATTTGCTCCACCTCCATTGGCCACGCCTTACATTTATTTGGCGTCTTATATCTGTTTTAAAATTGCAATATTTTTTGGTCTTACATCAGATAATAAAATGGAAAGCACCGTAAGACACAATAGGTTTCAGAGATTTTAACTCAGCAATTAACTCAGCAACCTGTTCGAATTTCTCATGTTCTCATGTTGCACAATCTGTTTTGATTTTCAGTGGTAGGATTTAGTGGTGCTTTCTCAAAAGGCACGTGAATCACTGTTGCTTGAACTGGTATTCTAAACATTCCAAAGCCAAATATAGTAAGATATAAATATAGTAAGCCAAATATATCTACATTAACAGCTGAAATCCAGCAGTTTCTTTTAATTTTGCCAGAAATTTTTAGCTTTTGGCCCAATAATGATGATTTGCAAGACAAAAACAATTTGCATTTCTTTTCATAAAATAAGAAAAAAAAATTTAAAAAAGAATTTATGCAGATTTATCATTATGTCGCATTATATCGTTCAATATTAATAAATAAAAATACCTTGGGACCCTTTAAATTAAATTACTTTCATAAATACTGCTTCTTCTGACAGCCCCCACCATTTCTGGCTTGGTCAACCATGTAAGAGAAGTATGGATCCCTAGCACCAACTGAATTTCGCATTTCGCATTTAATGACAGGCTTTTTCCCATAAATTTACAGGGATCAAACTCATGGTGCCTTTAACTTTGTAAAAGCATTGTTCACTTGATGTTCTACCTTCACCTTATTCCACCTTAATCGAAGCCATGCATCATCACATGACCACCCATCCGTTCCTGCTTTCATAAATTTCCACTGATAAATCGAAGCTCCAAAAGGTTTGACCATTTAAAACACTCCATTTTTTTGCAATATCAAATTAATTTTAATTTCTTTCGCTTGATATTATTTACATGTGAATATGTGAATATGACTTCGAAATATTCTGCGCCTATAGCACATAAAATGATAACTGGCAGCTGATCTGACATCATATGGCTTGAATTGTTTATTTTTATTTTATTAATGTGTGAACCTATTAAAAATTTTTTAGCGATAAATTTTTCAAGAAACAAAATCGATAAGTGAAATAGCTAAGTGGACTTTTTTCTATTATCAGTAAAAGTCCACCTTACAGACATATTTATTTATCCCATTGTCAAAAAAAAATTTTCGTCTATTGGGCTAATTTATGAATGTATAAAGATAAAAAAATTGTTTCGTATCTTTTTATTAATCATTTCTGATAACATTTTTTTCTTGCAAGAAAAACGTTCATAAAAATAACAAGCAATAATTAATATGAGAATCAGTAAATATGCTAAGTTTCAAATAGGCAAAGAAATAAAGCGATGAGGTATAGGCATTTTTTCTAAAAATGCATTACCTGATTTGCTTAAGATAAAACGATAAAACTTATGCACTTATGCACATGTTATTGCCAAAAAGAAGATTTGATGAGTAGTGCAACATCTATTTTCTTCAATAAAAGTATATGGCTAAAAGGCCTCGACAAAAGGAATCGATATATGGGATAGTTTTAAAAATAATTAGATATGAAAATCTATGCATCAAAAAGTAACCAAAATATCTTTAAATGGAAAAATCTAATCCAGGTCACCTGAGACACCGGCTTTTTCATAAATGCGAGATGGCTTTTTTTCTGCTTCTCGAAATTTCAAATAAAATGATTTTCAATATATGAATGATTTTTTATGTACTTGTAGCATATCACTGACTTTTTTTTTGTCTGCCATGATGTTTTGGGCAGTTAAATTTTCCCTTGCACGTTGGACAGTCCTAGCGCGAGCCTTTCGATCGCAACCGTAATATATCAAAAGTAAAGGAATGACAACTAGAATACCAATCGGACCGTAAGAAGATGCCTGAAATTTAATAATTAGCCGTGGAATTCCCCGGATAATCGATATTCCAATCAGATTAACTATATATTGGTCAGTCGCGGCTGGTTGAGTTCCGTACTTGATAGTCGTTCTCTGAAAATGGTAACCGCCATGGGTCAGACCATGCTATATTCGAGTCAAGATTCACATAAAATTGATAACTCGCAAGAAACAACATCCCCAAGATCTTTCAACTGTCTCAAGCTAAAAAATTCGCAACAGGGAGCATTTCAAACCGAATTATTGAAACACCTCGATGGCGTAAATAACAATGACCATTCTGGAACGGCAAATGAATGTTGGTCTAAACTAAAGATATGGTTACAAAAATCAGCCACTTCCATACTAAGATATATTAGTAGGGGATGTGCTAGTTGGGTGTCGGAAGCAACTGTCTGCAAAAGTTGCCAAAGTCCGAAATGTCAGAAGATCCTATCGAGTGATCGGGTGCTATCCTACGGGGTGTGACTATCGGGCTTCGAAGAATTAATTAATTAAGAATTACAACAGCAGCAGGAGGGACAGAAACCACTATATTGGAGCGATCGTTGAAAATGGAGACGGCGGCTTGGATAGGTGATAATAGGAAATTGTTTCGCCTTCTCAGCAAAGCAACCATAACTCGAGAAGGGACCAGTGAAATGATATGGGATATTAATGGGGTGCCTATTAAGGCTATTAAGAATCGCTTCATATGATGGAAAGAATTTTTTGAGGTCAAATTTAACCACGATGCACCATGTTTTGTCTCGGATATAACTGATTCGCCCATCGAACCATACGTTTGCAACTGCAAACCGCCAACAAAAGAGAAAATAATCCATAAGGCCAATAAAACTCCTGAAAAAGATGGTTTTCCGGCCGAACTCTTCAAATGTTGTCCTTCATAGCTCATAACTCATCTTCAACAAATATATTCTCTGGTGTGGCAAAAGGAAATAATACCAGAAGACTGCAGCAAAGCAATTCTGTTTCCAATTGCTAAGAAAAGTGACAGAGCGTAATGAGACAATTACCGAGGAATCAGCCTACTGAATATCTCCAGAATAATTTTCGCTTCCCTTCTGCTAAATAGACTGACTCATGATTTAAGGATAGAATAGTGATTTGTTGCTCAATTGGGGCGCCGGTGCTGAGGTTCGATTCGCAGGAGTAAACCTGTACAAAAATCCGAGTGATGCTCATCTGTATATCGCCAAGGGCACTCTCTGGCATATTGCCTAATGCGACAAGCCAATGGAGCAAGTTTAACCAGTAATGGTGAGGACTCTTTTAAAAAAAAATAGACTCATAACAACTCGAGATAGCAGAATGCGTCCTAACCAAGCTGGATTCAGACCGGAATGCGGCTGTGCTGATCAGATATTTACGCTAAGAAGGGTGCTGGAATATCGCTACAAATACCAGCAACCAGCAATGTCACTTTCTTCATCGATTTTGCAGCTACTTTCGATTCGATTGATAGAGTAGCGCTCTGGAAAGTAACGAGATGTCACATTGTCCTAGAGAAGAATCATTCGGCCCATAAAGGCATTTTATCAGCATACCTTGACACGGCTCTATGTATATGGGGAATTGACTGACTCTTTCAAAATAAAAACTGGTGTCCATCAGGCGTCCTCTCCCCCACAATATTCAACTATGCGATAGACTGAAAGTAGAAGATATTAAGAAGCTATCACCACTCATATCTAAAGTACGTTTTACGGGTCCGTCGAGCGGATAAAATCGCACATGATTGTATCCATCTTCGCTCAAATACCACCTGTATTAATAATATTATCACAGAGCGTTGTCTTCCCTAGTTGAGGCACGTTCTTCGTCGTCCACCACAGGAATTGGCACACATTTCGCTACTTGCCGAACCCTCTGATGGTTGGAGTCAAAAGCGAGGAGAATCAATTAAGACTTGGACTGATACAATCAGGAAAGATTTTAAAACGTATAGGGAGACCAGCGATATATGGACTCAGACGAAGGAAAAAGGAATGGCTTCCATTACTGTCGACGATGGTATCAGATCGCGCCGACTGGAAGCGTCTTACTCTTGTAGCCGTTAGAACCAACCTAACCAATGGTGAGAGCTGTTAGAAGAAGAGGAAGAGATTAGCTGTGCAATAGATCAGTGCAAAAGTAAAAAATATTTTAATATATCATTGTTTCTTTTTTTATTTGTTTGAACTTTTGTATATACGTATAAAAATCATACTCTGCGGTTGTAATATAAATAAACATCGTCAGTTTTTAATTCATCACACCAATCACCACTGTATGGTTCGTTGCAGTTACATTTTTGCTGCGTTTCATCCGCTTGTCCTTGAACGCATTTGATAATTTCACATTCATTACCTCTCCAACCTTTCTCGCAGTTCAGACATCTGGGTTAAATGACAAGTTAAATGTGGTCTCCATCGTGAAACACTTCTGGTCTGCATCAAAATCAAACCAGTGGAAATCAGCGGAGTCTCTCCGCTCCAATACTCGATAAATGACTGATAAATTAAAAAGTGATTAAATTTTTCATGGATTTTATAATGGTCAAATCAAAAAGAGATTATTCAGTGGTATCCAAAGTTTGGGCTTCCAAGGGCCACATGGAATGCAGAAGAATTTTCTATATTTAAAGGGGACAACAAAAAGGTGGGATATTTTATCTTACTTTCGTGAAAATGATGTGTTAATGTCTGGTTTCATAGAAAATCACATAAAAGTTGAAATTTACGACTCTGTGTGGTCTCATGCATCTCTTGGGTAGATGATTGAACATCCCAGATGCTAGCGAACCTTGTTTTCTATTAAAAATCTTTATGGAGAAACAAGTACCAAAATATCTTGAAACATTTCAGGTATTCTCATGTAATAAACTGAATTTAAACGGATGAGTAACTCTACTTGGAATGAAAGTAAAGTCGAATTTCAGCCAAATTGAGATCAGTAATATGTACTTGAAAAAGAAAATAATGAAATAAACGAGCGATCTGATGATGTACACCACTTCTTATCTGACTGGTTCATTTGCTCAACAAAGGTTTATGACCTCTTCGCCGGAGAATCACTTGGAAATAGAAGTGGATAACCAGCATGACCTAGATCTCTCCTTTAATAGCAGTCTATTTCCGTCAAAATTTCCATGAGTTGCCTTGATCTTAATTGAAGCGATGTACCTACCATTTCACTATGTCTTAACCATAAAATATATATCCACAAATAATTCAGTGGTTGTTGTTACCTGTCATCTTTGTGACTGTAAAGCTGACAATGTTTTTTCTTTTCGCAAAACTGTCCTGTGAAATCGCTTTTACAGATGCATCTATGATCAACTTTATCCCCATTTACACATCTGCAATCGATTGTAACATTAACGATGTCTTTTTTTTCATTATTGCTTAAGCTAAAATTGTTGGTGGCTCAGTATCAAGATAATTACCACCAAGAATCAAGGCTTGTGTTCGAGTCCGCTGACGCAAACTCTTCGTTAGGCAGAAGAAGAGTAGAATGGCTCAGCGGGTTGTTGCCCAATTCGGAACGCCGATACTGAGGTTCTATTCCTCGTAGGCCTAAGCTTCTATCGCCAAGGAACTCCCTGGCATATCTGTCCATTGCGTCAAGTCAGAGCAGCGAGTCGAACCAGTAATGGTGAATGCTCTTTAAAAAAAAGCCAAAATTGCTGGAAAATTTTTCTGAAAAGGTAAAATCAAAAAAATAGGTTATGTAGAAATCGGTCAATTTTTTATTTTTGACCACTAAAACCTTTTAATTAATATAAATCGAAATAATTATAATTATTAAGGAGTAATTGTAAATGCTAAGATAAAAAGGATAGCAAACAACATTTTAAAAATCTCTAATGGCGTTGCATTAGCTGTTTGCGTAAAAATGAGCAAATGAGCAAATGATTCAGCAGGTCACCAGTCTAACGAAGCAAAGGTCATAGAGGTGACCACCGCCAAGTGGATACGGCTATATAAGACCAAGAATTTGAATTAAGATGTGGAGGATTAACGACAATTGTTAGCTGGAGGATGGCCGTTACATTTCGATCTTGGTTTTTACTTTTTATGTGATAAATGATGTTCTATATTATCTAGATTTAAAATAAAAGGTTTAATTACCCAAATTTGAGTTACATGCCGGACGATAATTCTGATAATATAAAATAACGAGAAAGAAACTAACGATCTAATTGCAAGACAATCAGTAAGAGAGTAATAAAATTTTTTGTCGCTAGTGGTCGCCTGTCGAGCAATGAAAGAAAATAAAAGCTTTTAAAAAATAAGGAGCAAAGTGCTTGGTGGCATCTGATTCTGCAAATCCTCGCCGCATTCATGCATGCCAATCAATCCAAAGCATTAATACAGGCAATAAACGGAAAAAAACGCAATTAATAAACGTAAAAAAGCTTACATAAAATCCGACTCATGACTTTCGTATGAACCAGAGACCACATTTAAGGTGCAAAAAATTAGAGGAAAAACCAGTACCATTAAACCTTTTGTAAAAAGCCGTCTGTTCCAATAAATAACAGTCTAAAAAAAATTCATTAACAATTGTCTTACTTCTGGTGAACGAAATGCATAACAAGTGGAATATTTCGCATAACTGATCCAGAAAAACTAAAAATTCACTAAGGCCGATGTCATTTGGTTAATCGGCACAATACAAGAACCTATTAAGTGTAAACTCGGCTATCCTCCCTTATCAATTTCTGGATTTAGGAAAATTGATTCAAAAAAACAACCAAAGCAGCAAAAAAAGCAAGGAAAATACGGCTTATGGCTACAGTCTCCCATCATTAAAAGACCAAGGAGAACTTTTTGGTAATATGATAATCGAAAACAGGCCGAATGTTAATTAAATGAAGAATGTTAAATGTCGATCGCGAAGACGTTTCCATTAAATTTTTTAGAGTACTGACATTGATTTTAATTTATTTTCATTGCCTGTATCAACTAAAGTTCATCACCAAGCGAGAGAAAATAGAAATGCATAAGAACTTCTAAGAAAAAAAAAATTGCAGAAAAATTAATTCCCGATGGGAGCAAATAAACCATTAAAAAAATTAGTTAATGCTGACAAGCCAACAGCACTTCAATCGCCAAGTGATTCTGTGGCAAGAACTAACAGCAAGTGAGCGCAGACCACTTCGTTGCAAGGCCTATATGAAGTTATTTTATATGCTACAGTGCTTTAATCATTAACGAGATCTTGCATATATTATAGAATGAAAATAATTCCAGAAGAGATTTTAAAGATTTTTGGAAGTTTTGGATTCATCTGATCTTTCTTAGAGTAGTGTGCTTTGCATGCGTCAACTATTAACTAATGTAGCAGAAAGTTTTTCAACGAGAATAGGCTATAGGAGCATCATCTTTCCTTAACGTAGATTACATAACGTAGATTTCTAACAACGATCAGGTAGCATTGCCGCATAGCATTTCCTTAGCAAATTTTTAGCCTGATCCATCTTATAATGAGCCAACATTATTATTTTTCAGTTAGTTTAATTTATTAAGAAATTAATGTGAATTATGCAAAATAATGTATATTTTCGTATGAAGACGTTTTCGCAAACTTCTCTATTCAATAATTTTAGACGTAGGATGATCGGAGAACAGGATTCGAAGAATCGGAGCCATTTACCAATTCAATTTGATTATACCTGAATTATTTTACCATAGGATACCATAGGAAATTTATTGTAACATTAATTTTTTAAAATTTGCTTTAAATTTACTAAAGACAACTAATTACTTTAACTATTAAAGTAACTAACGTTGATTATATAAAATAACGTATATATAATAGAAAAAACAAACGAATATTTAATTTTTCTATACATTATTTATTATTATTTATTGTATAGGTATAGGATGGCCGAGTGGCATGTTACTCCGATTAAGGTCGAGAGTATATTATGTGTCATACTTAGAGGTATACGGAAGAACGGAAATCTTCATGATCTGAAGAATAGGAGACCAATTTAGATTTCTTGAGCATATAAACTCAGTTGAGTACTAAAGCACTGCTATTAATAAATGAAGAGCTCAGCAGTAAATTATTTTTTAAAGTTTTATAATCAAATAAAAAACATAAAGTACAAGGCAAATAACTTTTAAAAACGAGGAACATTTCCGCAATCACTATATGCAATAGGGTCAAATTTAAACCTAAGAAGCCAGAAGTATTTCAGATTCGGTGGCCTTCTCATGCACGGAAATTAAGACGCACGCAAATCATCAAATTCACATGTATTGCATGTCGCTGGAAAACAAGTTATAGAAAAGTTATATTAAAAAATCCCTTTCTCACTTCCTGTGTGTGGTGTGAATCATCCTCGACTTCGCTTCTTCTATTGTAGGCATGGTAACTTAAGGCTAATTCTACGCAATATCTTAGCTGTTTCTAGCAGTACGCTCTTCTAAATGGAGATCTCTGATATTGCATCTGGAATCTGTTAGAGCCATTTTTCCAGCTTATGGCTCACAGCGATCGTACCATCGTACCTTGGCTCTTGTTTTCCACATCTCTAGGCTCTTTCAGCCTCTGGCATTTTTTTAACCTCTCATATTCCTTTTTCCTAATGTTCTTGTCTTGGTATTGGCTCTATGATCTCTATGATCACTCGTTCTTATATATTACAATGACATCTGGTTGATTGGCCATTGCTTGCTTGTCTGTCTGGATGGGGAAATCCCACAGGATCTTGACCTTATTATTTTCCATGATTTTCTAGGAAATCTTCCATCTGATCTTGTGAGGATCTAAGCCATAGACTGAGCCAAGATAGTGCCAACTCCCTGGCTATGCCTTTTAGTGAATGCATCTTACATTCTACCACTATGTGTTCGTCAATTTCAAAATTTTTCTTCATGATCTGCATCTTAAATCTGGCATCCTTTCAATAAATATGGTGCTCAGTACCTATTCTTATTCTTATTGTGATCAATACTCTGTATATATATATATAAACATTTTTCTCACCAGCTGGGGGTGGTCATGATCACCTAAACCTCAGGTCCTCTGCCAGAGAGCTAGCAAATTCAGGGTTCTGCGCAGTATCTTAGCTGTTCCAAGCAGTGTGCTCTTCTGGATAGGGATCTCTGATGCTGTTCCTGGAATCTGTTGAAGCCACTTTTATAGTTTAAATTAAATTTGGTGGTGACATTTGCTGTAAAAAAGAAAAGTTTAGATTTCCTCTTTTTAAGCGCTTATAGTTACCATCTGATTTTCTTGAGTTTTCTCGAGTCTGTTATTATTAAATCATTCAGGTAATTTATTCTTGGAGAATGTTTGGCCTTATGATTAAATTTTATTTCGTTTATTGATTAAATGATTATAAGAGACAATATTTTAAGCAATCAAATATTCTGATAAAATATATTTAATGGAGTTGTGATGCTTAAGAAGCTTTTATTAGATTAAAATTTTTATGAATTTTATTTTAACAAATTGGCGTTGAAACAGTTTCACAGTTATTTGGTTTAAAAAAACTGGCATTCATGTTTAACAATGATATTAAGCTTAGCTGGTTAATTAGTTAACGAGAACCTTGTTGATTCATTTTTCAATAATATTTTTTAAAATATTTATTCAAAAAGTAAAAAGTGTACAATTGTAACTGGAGGCTTATTATTGAAATACATTCACAATCGAAGATTATACTTCACATTGCGTGGGATATTGCTAGTAGTATCGCTGGAACAACGAAGTTTAATGGGGAATTATGGATGGTGTCAAGCGAATATAAGCGTTTCGAACACACCAAATGGTTGAACAATTTGTTATGTATGCATGTATATGCATGTATGCATGTATGTATGCATGTATGTCAGCATGTATGCATATATGCATGTGCTATGCCTTCGAAAAAAGGATCATTTATTTCTTTTAAAGTTTACCAAATTTTTTCTTCATAATACCAGTTCCACATACAATCAATGAATTGGCAGATGACAATTTTCTCATTCATTTCGCAACAATTATGTATTTAACGTAAAACAAAAAAAAAAAATATATAATTTGGTTCTTGAAATTCACTTACGAAGCGTGTTAAGTAATAAGCTTCCGGCTTTCATTTAAAAGGCTTAATACGACTGAGAAACCAATAATAGTAAAATAAGGCAAATCCAAGGCAAAGAAGCGACTATAAACCATCTCCAAATTTCTTTTTCATCAAAATCAATCTCTAACGATGTCTTTAAGAGTTCTATTTAAAGGCGTAATATAATTATTACTACCATCTCAATTACTGAATGAACCATAAAATAAGAATCATGTTGAAATATTCGTTAGATACAGATTAGTGGCCATCAAATTGGCCTCTAGGATCTATTGGGGTCGTTCCGTAGCGGCTCCCATCGCGAGTGTGGCAGCATAATTCGATTTATATTTTCATATTTTATTTTATATTTTCGAAGATATTCATTCAAAACTTTTTATTTGAAACAATTTAATAAATATTTAATAAATTTAATAAATTTAATTTAATAAATATTTGAAACAATATAGTGTTTTTAAAATTAACATTGAGTTAGACAATCTTGCAGTGCATTTTAAATTTCATAAACGCCTGATGATTAAACCTTATACTGAATCTGATGTGGTGGCCTGGGCCTGATCCTATTGAGAATTTAAAAAATCTCACGGGTTGTGAGAAAAAAAGATGATAAAATAGGCACAATGACTGAACTGAGGTAGCATTAATGTAATTTTTCAATTTTTCATTGCCATTGTTTTGCATTTCATTTCATTAAATTGTGTACATTTCTTTTCCTTATACTTTTGGCCTTATGACAAAGCAACATGACTGAGGCCTTGTTAAATATGATTAAGCTACACAAGTACACACTAGTTCATGTACGCAAAGAAAAAAGGTTCGCGATAGCAAATATCAAGAAATAGTCAAAGGCAATAGATAAGCCTATAAGAATTTTTTATCAGTGATGTCTAATCAAAGTGATGGTGAAATTTTTTTAAAGTAATTCTATAGTCCTATACTCATTCTAAAATAAGTATAAAACCTTTCATTAATTAATTGGCGAGTTTAATTAAGCAAATAAGAAAGAGCTTAATTTCTTTTTTATTTGGTACCTCAGTGGTTCACATCAATTTTAGATTAATTAGAAAAAGAATTCAAGAAACTGGTATAACTTAAAGCTTTCAACCCAGTGATTTAGGAAAGGGAATTATTTTTTACCCGTTTTGACTACATGCATCACTTTTGATTTTACTGGTTTCTTTGACACTAGAAGAGGACCATTTTGCTATAAAAATTTTTTCGTTAACCTTAAATTATCTCTTTCTTTTTTGAACTCATTTTTAAAATATTATTTGGGAGGAAACAAATGGAGAGTTTGTTTTTGGATCTCTTCGTAACTGCTTGACAGCTGGACAAAAAAAGTGGACACTTACAAAGAGGAAGAATAAGGAAAGCCTTGGCTTAAGATACCTATATTGTTATATAGAGAGTCTAAACTTATGCTCATCCTGCAAGAGCATGAAAAGAAAAGCAAAATTGCGACATTAGCAAGACTATCTACAGTCAAGAAGCCATAGCCTGATGCCTGGCCAATGAATGCATTGAAGGAACGTGCTTCGAATAAGTGCTAGAGGAAAACGAGATTTAAGGCGGGTTTAAACCTCATGCTCATCATTATTTCGTTGATTTCACAGATTGCGGATGTGGTCATTATTTGTGTTTGCATGTATACTTTTTCTTTTTTTTAAGAGTCCTCACCATTGCTTAAACTCACTTCGCTGGCTTATCCCAAATTATGCCAGGGAGTCTCTTGGCGATAGAAGTACAGTTGAGCATCACCCGGATTTTTGGATAGATTTACTTTTGCGAAGAATAGAACCTCAACATTGGCGCTCTGAATTGAATAACCTACTGAGCCATTCTATTCTTGCTTGCATGCATAATAGCATGGACAAATAATAAAATTGACTCTTTGCCTGACTTAACAAGGTTGGAGTAAGGTCTACTGATGACATCGCGATGAACCTTTAACTTGAATTTTAAATAAAGATCGCGCGAATAAAATAGGACGTGAAAACATGTTAACTGAAAAAGATCACTAAAGAAGAATTTTAGGGTATTAAATAAAGAAATTTGATTAAAAAAGGCTGTTACAAATATTGAAAATCAGAAGATCATTGGTTCCACCAATTATCGATGATTGTACGAATATATTTGAAAAAAATTATTCAATGTCACTACACATTTATTTACAATATTTGCATTTTTATCAGGAGCGAAGAATTGATAATCCGGGTGTTGGCAATATTTCATTTTAATTTTTTAGATTTTAGTGCCGAAATATTGCTTTATTTGTTATTTCGCTTATTGTATTGCTGACGGGTTTAATTTAGGCATTAAATCTAGTTTATCATTGTTATCTATTCTTTTTTTTTCCTTTTTAACAGGCTATAGTTTCCATTTACACGGAATAGCTATGAATTAAACGAATTTTTGCGGGATTTCTTTAGCGAAATTCAAATAAGAGATCGAAGTTCGTTAAAGAATGTAGGATATAAGTTATCTGCCTAACATGGATCATTAGATGTTTTAAGTTTGGTCTAGAATGGATAGTCGAGAGAAATGGAAAATGGTTTAGATTATCGTGTCGAGAGGGAAGAGTTTGGCAGGTCGTGATTCTAACAACGGTGAATCTGTTATTAAAAAATTCTGACAATCCAGCTGAATCTATTTTTATATCTAACCACACGAACAACTTTACTGCGATTTTACTTAAATAAAAATTGTTTAAAACTATTACAAAGATCCGCCCTACTCCTTGGTATTCTCTCAAAACCGTAAAACCCTTTCAAGCACTGCTCCGACAATCCTAGTCACTATAGTATTTCTGTTTGTAATTTTACATTTTGTAAATGAAAACACACACGCAAAAAGTATAACCATGAAAATAAAAAGCGTTTTATGAGCTCACAAAATTTGGCACCTACTGGACGATATTGATGAATTTTCCCAGACATACGCATATGCACTATCACAGCAAATTATTATATAGATTAACGCTAATTAATAGTGCCCACTTCATGAATAAATAAATCCAATTTCATTTCATTTTTTTTTCACTGAAAAGGCTTAAAATTCCTTCGCATTTAGGCAGTGAACTATATTGACATTTGCGTTAATTGGCATTTAATATTATTTGTATAAAAAACAGGCGATTTATTCATCGCAAACTCCATTTTCATGAAAAAAAAGTTTGGTTAAAAATTTTCCCAAAAAGTATCTCATTTGTTTATTGCAGGATGTTTGGGGAAAAATTCGACATATCATTTGCTGATTCTTCGTTAAATACAATTGAATTAACAAAGGCGAGTAAGCATCGTAATGAAAGCGGAATGCATTGGTTGATCACTGCATGTTTTGTAGTTGGCGAACTTGCAGGTGCAGGCATTGTTGCTATGCCTACAGCTATGGCGCAGACAGGTAATTATGTCACCTGAGAAAAAATTTCTTTGGATTATGCAAAATACAGATATCTCGATTAATTATTTAGCACACCAGATCCTTGTTTCTGAAGTGTAATCTTTCTATGATAGCCGAAAAAGGGTAGTAGAAGTTCGACTGTAGCAGCGAACCTGCTGATCTGTGCTTTTCCTGTAAACAAATGCACTCATAGAATTATTTTCGAAAAACAATATTTTAAAAAATAGTAAAGAATTAATCATTTAGCAGTTCTTAACGAACGTTTTTGGTATCTTCTTTTTGTTTGACCGGCTACTCTTCACTTATAGATTAAGTGAACCTTGAGGGCTTGTGGCGATCGAAAAAAATTGTTCCACCTGGAGTATATGAAAAGAAAGCATTCCTTTTGGCGAATTTATTGACCACTTAGCAAGGATGTGTTATATATTTTTATATTTTGAATATGAAAATGTGCTACTATTTTCCCTCATATATTAATTTAATTTTTTATACCTACGGGAAGTGCATTTTATTTATATCTAAGCGGAAGAAACTATAGTTTTCGTCACTTTCTGAAAGTATTCCATGGCGCACAAAAAATTATCGTGCAATTAAATTTATAGGCTATCAAATTTAGATTCAGCAGCATTTGTTCTAGATTATTTTTCTCCCTAATTATGAGCCAGCTTTGTGTTCGATGAATTTGGACTAAACTTTCATAAATTTTGGCTTATTTTCCAGATTTCTACGTCGGATTGGCTTTGAATATTATCTTGTTAAGTGCAGTGGCATACACCGGACATTTACTAGGTATTAGTTGGTCCATATTGCAACGAAGGTGGCCGGAATATCGCGAACATTGCAGGAATCCTTATTCGGAAATGGGCGGTCGAGCTATTGGACCTAGTCTAAAGTACTCATTTCTATTTGCTACTGATTTTCGGAAATTTTTTGAACTCTTGCTTTTTAACCTATTAGCACATTTAACTAAACTTTCTATTGTATGTAACTAACAAAAACTGAATCAAGCGATTCAGATCCTTTTAACAAAAATGCACTGGAATTCCCTCTTCTTTTTCTGATATTGCTTGCCATTTTTGGTTTTCTAGTTCCATTGGCTATAAAGATGAAATTGCTTCCAACAGGAAGGATAACCGAATAATATATCGCTTCTACTGAATCATTTTTCGAATCCTTTCCCTTAATATGAAACCTTGCCATTAAAGAAGAAATGATGCTAGTGAACACTCTGTACCCTCCACCCCTAAGTGAATTTTTAGCAAAGAATATCTCAGCAAACTAGCTCAGGAACTAGTCAAACGAGAAATGGTGAGTTTGAATTAGAAAAAATGAAAACTTGGAGCGAGTTCGAATATTACAAGAAATTCTCTCTCAATGAAACCTTATTTTTTAACTTTAAATTATATAGAATTCTGCGAGAGCAAAATTTTCAGGCATTTAGTTTCAATTTGCATCAATTTAACCCAGTTCAGTGCATCGGTTGTATTACTTTTGCTCGCCTCAAAAAATATTCATGATTTCATACAAGCATTCTTCACCATTGATATTTCCCTTTGTTATCTCATTTTAATCGTTGGAATATGCCTTCTTCCACTTACTTTTCTCAAATCACCTCAAGATTTCTGGTACGTAGTAAAATCGAATATGGTCCATTATTTTAATTGATCAAGTTTCACAACTATTTTTATATATTAAATGGGTTTTTCAGCATACATATATTGATTCAGCCTAATTGATTTTATCAGCAGAAATATTTTCTAGCAGATATAAATTATTGGTACAAGCCATATTTGATTTTAGGTGGGCAGTGGTAATTGCAATGTTTTCAACTACATGCGCTGTAATTTTACTTTTGGTAGGAATGGCATTAGATTACAGAATCTGCGCACCTCATCAGAGTTTTAATAAAAAATTGGTCGCTACAAATTATTTCCTTGGTTTCGGCACATTCATTTTCGCATACAGTGGTCATGCTGCTTTCCCAACTATCATTCACGACATGCATAAGCCTTACCACTTTACCAGATCATCCATTGCTGCTTACGCAAGTATGATTTTGTTTTATTTCAAGGATTTCAAGGATATTTTTCATTTGAGACTGTGTGACGAACAAGGTATAAATCGATTTTCAAATACGATTGCAGTAATTTTGGTACTTTATGGACCAGTTTGTATATTGGGATTTCTAACATATGGCAATTCTCTGCGAGATTCAGTAATCAATTCTATACAAACAGTTACATTACAACAACCAGCCAATATTCTTATCGGAATACATTGTATATTAACCTTGACGATAATTTTCAATCCACTTAATCAAGAAGTTGAAGAGCGCTTTAACGTTCCTCATAGTAATATTTCTTTCTGATATAATATTGGATATTTGATCTTGCTTGATAAGATAATCAAGAAGTTGGAAACCAATCTCTAGATTCAGATATCGATGAAAAGACAGGAGCAATAAGGAAAAGGCGCGAATGATCTGGGCGAAAACCAATTATTTTTTGAGCAAAAATAAATTTTTTTTGATATTTATGCATTAAAAACAATTGTTGTGAAAAAAGAATAGACTTCAGGATTTTGTTGGCAACGAATAGTGGTCCGCACTGCAATAATGGTTATAGTAATATTCATAGCAGAAACTCTACCGGTTTTTGGACCACTAATGGATCTGATTGGTGGTTCGACACTAACTCTGACTTCGCTGGTCTTTCCCTGTTTATTTTATCTATATCTCTCTGCTGCAGATGAAAAAGCTCGCGAAATGGGAAAAAAAGTGATAGAGGGGCCATTGACTCTATATGAGTAAATATTTTTGAAATTTTAATTTATATATGTATAAATAGTAAAAATATAAAATTATAAATATAAATATAAATAGTAAAATGAACAAAAATCGTGCTAAATATGCGAAAATTCTGGTGAAATAAAGTCGATTTACTGGAAAAAGCATTGAAAGCAGCAGCAAAATTGGAAAAATTGACTACAAGAACTATGAGAACAAATTGAAAAAATTATTCTTCAAAATAACGCATTATGAAATTCAGCACTTCTTTTTAAAATTTAACAGTATAATTATATTAGATATTTAGAAAAAAATCCATCAGTCGGAAAGTTCATCTTGTAAAAGATATAAGGAAAAAACTTTATGGTTTGCCTTTAAGATGTCAATTTCTGATTTATATGTCTTAAATTTAAAACATTTAAGAAAAGAATTTTAAAATATCCGAAGATTCGTTAAAAATTGGTTATTTCAGAATGATAACGCGAACATCGAACGTGAAACTAATTTTATGTTCCTGTATCATTTGTAAGTTTTCAAGCTTTCGTCCATTTTATTAAATTGTATTTTAAGCAGTGTTTCGTATATTGATAAACTGGTTGTCCTCATCCCTTCATTCATTATTTTTATTTTTTTCTTATGCATAGTGTTCAATGCTTCTATTATTTGCTTTGACTGAATATGACAATCAAATACGTCTACTTCTTCTGATAATACTTCGTTTGAATGATTATTAAGATCATTATTTTTTTTTTTATTCGTTATTTTTCTTCATTTGCTATCTCGTGAGCGGTTGTGTGTTGATCATTTTCTCTATATATTCATTATTTTATTTTATCGTGTTGTGCTTCGCTAAAACTATAGAAGGAATACATTATTCTTCTTGCATTCGTCTAAAAGATTTTTTTCAGAAGTATATTCTATCGTTTTATACTGTCCACTTATAAGATAAGTGAAAATTCCAAATGGCACCGAAAAAATTTGACAACTAATGCGGTCGTTTCCAGTAATGATGTCAGCTATTTAAATAAAACTATAGGGAATCTAAGATTACAACTATCCTCCATTAATGAGAAATATGAAAAGCAGCAAGATCTAATTTTGCACTTAACCAGATCTGAAATACTTACAAAGGTCAATGAAGAACTTAAGAATGATATTAATAATTTGAAAGCCTCGTCTTTGGATGGCAATTTTGAGCCTCCAAAAATTTCAACTGAGCAAATGTTCCAAACTGTTGATGAATATTCCAAAAAAAAGGAAAAAGAACCATGTCCAGTTGCCATAAACATCCCGGAGAAATCTACGGATGATGAAACTGCTATTGCGTATAGGCTGCTAGCAGAGAATATGGTAGCTGCCGCTGGGATCAAGACTGACTACATTAAGGAGGTTCGTCGACATGGAAGGAAGGGTTTAGGCAAGTCACGAGTATTTAAGATTCGACTTGAAGATAAGTACATGGCTATGTCTTTTTTGTAACAAGAATCTGCGCTCTATTTCTTCCCATGGAAGCTTTTTGCGGAAGTATTTAGCAGAAAGGGAACTATTGCTAGACAAACAGTTGTGAAAAGAATGCCATATGCGTAATAAGAGTCTTAATCTGAAGAAGTATGTTGTCAGAAATCTTCAATTTTTCGATTCCAACTTTTTCTCATCAATCTGCAATAGCCTAGGACAACTTGCCAAGTAAGGTTAATAAAATAGGAAGTGATTTACATATTTAACACAAGAAGCTTAAAATATAAACTTTATGACGTACAGCTCTTACTAATTGATAACCCAAATAGTATTTTTTGTATTAACAAAACGTTGTTGGATTACTCTACTGATAATCGGGAACTAAACTTCGACGGCTTTATATCACACAAATATCACATAAGGACAGAACAATAAATAGTTTAAATACGTGGAGGTGGGCTTATTCCTGATTATTATAAATTTGATGATATTGTAATTTTTGATGATTTTGTTTATTCCTCTTTTGGATCTCTAATAACTAAAATTAATCTTAATAATAGAAACATTTTCTTTTTAAATATATACTGCCCACCTAGCTATGGAAGTGAATTCACTAGGGATCTTTACAACCTGTTATTTAGATTAAAATTATTTGGTGCCGATTATGTAATTATTGGTGATCTTAATATGTCAAATATAAGATTGGGAAAATAGTTGCTTGAAAAATAGCAGCAAATTTGAAGGGCACTTTCTAAACCTTTGTGCCTATATAGGTCTAGAGCAACATGTTAAGATTGCCATTAGGCATAGCACTATTATGACTTTTAGTGCTTACTTTTAAGCGCCAATTTTGTCCAAAAATGAATCCTTTCCTTATTTAATAAAAAGCACAAATCGATGGTTGTTGAAATATGTTCGAAGCTAATATGTAACCCAAACACCTGCTTTATTTGACTGACTAATGGCTTAAAGATAATAAACTTGAAGAATATTATTCGCCAGTTATCACAATTTCTGATTTACTGCATCTGTTTGTTTGTTATTTTAGATATTGTGTTAGCTACTCCTACTTCTCTTGTTGATATGTCTTGAATCTTTTTATAATAGTGATCACAATATCATTCATACTTCATTAAAATTAAACCGTTAACTCTCTCTATTGATGAAAAAGTTAACTTTCTTAATAGCATCATTTTACCTTGTAGAGCAATAGATTCCTCTAAGAAAAAAAGCCGATTCCCATTTTTTTAAAATCTCTTAAAAAAAGTGTCAAGAAGCTCTATAATAAATACAAATTAACCAAATTACCAGGTGACCTCTCTGCAAAGAATGTTTAAGAAGTTTCTGTTGTGCCATTCATTATTACTTTTCAAATAAAGAAGAGCAACTTTTAAGCATTAATAGAAATTCTTTCTGGACCTACATCAAAAGAAAATTTTCAAATCCATGTAAACAATTGATTCTGCAACATAATGATAATGTGATCACCTCTGATATTGATACTGCAAGTAATATTGATATATTTAATCAACATTTTTCTAGTGTATTTGTTGAGGATAATATTTATACTTTTTGTTTTAACGTAAATCGAATTTGTTCCACTTCTCTCGATGAGGTAGAAATGCCACTACTGTTTATGATGCCTCAAATAGACTTAAGCCGTCCATTTCAGCTGGTCGCGATAATATTCCACAAATAATTTATAAAAAATGCGCAGTCTCTCTGAGTTTTCCCCTATTTTTAATTTATAAAGATATTATGAAGTCTGGCTTTAATCCCAAAATTTGGAATATTATCGGGACAAGCTGAACATTGTCTCATATAATTCCCATTCATAAAAAAGGAAGCACCTATGACCCTTCTAATTATAGACCTAACATGCGTTGGCAGCAAGGTACTCGAAAAGTTGATTTGCAACAAATTGCTTACTTATCTTGAAGCCAATAATTTCATATCCTCCTATCAAAATGGCTTTTGTACGAAAAAAATCTTTCCTCACAGATACTGGCAAATCTTTCCGATTGGTCAACATCAATTGACAAGAAAAACAGTATCAGTTGTATAGCTTGATTTGGCTAAAGCTTTTAATACTGTTTCCCATAATAAATTATTGATCACTCTTAATAATTGTTGTATTACAGGGACCCTTTACAACTGGGTGTAAGATTACATAAAAGATCGTCACCAAGCTGTATGTGTCAATAACATTCTTTCTGACACAACACGCCTGTTAAATCTGGTGTTCCCCAAGGTAATGCGCCATTGCTTTTTCTATTATGACATCACCAATGTAGTACTAAATTCTATTATTTATCTTTGTGCTGATGACTGTAAATTTTATTATTCTCATGGTAGATCAGATAGCCTATCTCCACTGCAGGAGGACCTTAACAGAATAGCCAGGTGGCTATATGACAAGCAAATCACCCTTTCCTCTCAAAAATGTACCGTTCTTCATATCAATTCTAAAGGTTTCGATTTTCCTAATCTTTTTATTAATGGTATTATAATCAGTAGATAGAATCTCATACATTTCTGATCTTGGAATAATCATGGATGAAAATTCGATTTCATTGCAGAACCATGGTAAAGAAATCCTCAAAGATACTAAATTTTATTTTTCGTTTGTTTAAGAACAAAACTGAAGGTTTTCTTATCAAAATGTACAAAGCGTTCGTTCGGCCACTTCTTAACTGTAGTATTATATGTTACTCCCCGAGATATCGTAAATCAAGTAAAATAATTGAAAGACTCCAAAAATATTTTATGTGACGCCTCTCTCCTAATTGCAGTTTTAATTATAAAAGAAAACTTCTACAATATAACCTGGATTCTCTCTCAGTTCATCGTATTAAACAAGATTTAATTTATACTTATAAGATTTTGTATGGTTATGTTCAATTAGATTGTTCAAAATAATTTTAAGTTAAATTAAAGTCCAACAAGAACTAATGGGCTAAAATTGAAACCTATATGTAAAACTAAACTAAGGACTCATGATTTCTTTATTCGTACTATTAAATACTGGAATAAATTACCGAACGATATAGCTTGTGCGTCATCCTTAGTAATATTTAAAAAAAGATTACATATCATTTATGATATTATTTAAAAAGTTCACATCATGCAGGAAGTGTGAAATCTCGATTTTTACCATCCGATTATATACAATACAATTACTCCGAATTATACCATATTATAATATTCTGCAATTTCCTCTTTATTTCCTCTTTAAACTGTTAATTTTTGTCATATTTTCTATTTTTCTTATTCCAGTAATTAATATTATATAATAATCAATAATATTAAATTTTATTATGTTAAACTATTTTTAAACTATTTTAAACTATTTTTATTAATACGAGCACATGGCTTTGTCGCCCTGCTTGGCTGGTTTTCGATAAATAAATATCTTTCACCAGAAAGTTAAAGAAAATGAACGTGAAATAAAAATGAATTAGCAGCAGCCACTCAGATTTTATTTTTACTTTTATTTTTAATCATTTAGGCAAACATCCTACTACTTCTTAGCCGCACTAATGTACACCTCAAGTACTTTGGATTAAATACATTCTTCATAAGTTTGAATGCATTAGTGAGTCCTTAAATAGTGGTTATAAGATATTGAAGTATAATAGTTCTTATAGTTCCTTCATGATTTTCCAAAAAAAGGATGGAATAAAAATAGTGGCTAATGATTTCAAAAATTTTTTTTCAGTTCTTGGTCTTTTGGGAGGTTGTGCAGCGACATTTTCGGCTGTTAATGAACTAGCAACGACTCATTTTACAGTACCATGTTATATACAACCGTTTCTGAGCAATATAAACAAAATACCAGAAATCAAGCGATTGAACTGTTGTGGGGTCTCGCAAAATATTTCCATAAGCAATGACTCATCCATTTGTAGTTCTTATTTCGATTTTTACAAGCAAAATTGACATTTATTATTGGCCAAGCATATTTCCATCATTATCATTAATATCCGCTTGAAAATGATGTGCTTTTCGACCTTTCATTCTTACTTTTATTATCAATTAACATATTGTTTAGATATATTTGTCCTTGTAATTGATCATATGAGTGTATATCACTGGATAAATCCAATATTACAAACGTTATCAGTGAGGTCAAGGTGATCCTATTATCACTCAAACAGAATAAAAAGTTACAATAATTAAATAAGGCCCAGATCATTTGCCTAAAGATATTTTTAAGTGGATATTAGAAATTATCGCAATTAAGTCAAATGCCAAGCTTTTCAAATTCACACTTCATGATTTAAAACAACAACCAAAATTGCAATAAAATATCCAGGTTTATTTATCTAGATGTATCCCAATGCATTCCGATGCGTTTTTTAAGAGCTTAACATATTTTTTTTCTTCTAACAGTTTGCACTTTTACTCGCACCTAGGCTGACCCCTTTGTCTACAGTGATGAGGCATCTTTTATTTCTGACCCCTCATCGTTGATTTTTCGTATCCTCGAATAATAAATTTATTCTTTCACCCTTCTAGCAGAAAAACTAAATAAAAAGGAGCGATTACTCCAGTTTCTTTTGTGTGGATTTCTAGCAAAAATATTGCGTCGTGCAAGTTATAAACTGCGTTCACAGACGAATGCATTTCTTTTATTGTGCAAAGCCATATTAGTGCAATTATAAGGAACTTTTTGAATTAAAAACAATTTGAGGGATTTTCCACAGAAAATTTTCATTAAAGTATTCATTTGATAAATTATTTGTATTCATACGTAGTGAATTACGAAAGTTATTGCGAATAATTTATCTTCGTCATATTAGATATCTAACAAGTTTCCAGCATTTATTTTTTAAAGTGATTCCAGATAATGTGGCGTGGAAACTGACTTGAATTGCTCTGTTTAACTCATGCAGAATTGTGATGGATGTTGGCATTGACAAACTTTCTTTTTCATTTTTAAAAAAGCGCTGCTCTGAAAAAATTATATTGAATGATGAAGCCTGTGAGGATGAAACAGTTAGTAGCACAAGAATGGTTCATATGGTTTAAGAAAGGAGACTTTGACCTTCAAGATAAGCCAAAGACAAGTAGGACATAGGAATTTTCCAACATGCAATATTTGAAGACCCATGTCAAATAATAATGGAACTGGCCCAGCATTAAGGGTGTGATCATTCTTCAATGGTGCAAAGACCTCAACGCAGGTGAAAAATTTAAAAGGCTCAGAGATGAATATCACCTGAAATTTCCAAAACATGGGATAACGACTGAACACTTATGTTTCACTTTTTCACTAGATACAGTAGCAATCGTTTTTTGTGGAAGATTGCCACTGGAGACTGCACTCGCTATAACAATCCTAATCAGCAAAAATCTTGACTTGGCCCAATTAATCAGGGACATCAGTTGCAAAACCAACTTTACACAAAGATCTTCCTTGTTCTCTTTCTGTGTGGTAGGATTGCAAATGTTGAAATCTGGTGAAACAATTACCATTTGTTCAAATGGCTGACTGAATAGCATAGTTTGAATGCAGCAATCGAAAAGAAATGGTGATTAACACGTCAAGAAAAAATAATTCTAGATAACAAGGCTTCCCCACGTTTGACATTTGCTGTCTATCTATCTGGCAATTAATGCAGAAAATCATTTTGTATTTGAGTTGCGAAGCTCTTCAGTATAGCTTCGGTATTCTTCAGACCTGACTCCATCGGATTTCCTTCTTATTAGGACAAGTCAGTATTTAAAGATAGACAAAGCTCGAAATTTTGCCAATGTCTTTTTACATTTAAAACCAGAGTCATTTCATTACAATGCATTTATAAACTACCAGATAGATGGACAGCAAGAAAAGCAAAATATGCATTAATTAATCAAGTAGTGCCACATTTTATAAATGACTTTTAATTTAGCTAATTAATATTAGAAACCTATGCACAGGCTTAATAATTTTTCATATTATAAAGCAAGATTCAAACCTATTAGTTTCGCTGCTTCGCATCGATTGTACTAGGAATAAGAAAGATTTTCTTGAGCAACATGTAAATATGTAATATAGGTAAGTATAAAAAGCGAAAAAAATAAATAAGGGAATTTAATTTATTTTTTATATTTTTTATTATAAAATTAAAGAGAAGGTAACATAAAGCTAGTAAAATATTTGACCTTGTTTTTGTGAAAACAATTCATCTGTTCTAAAAACATTTGGTTTGGTTCCACAGAAGTAGTTGCAACTGTCATAAAGAAAAACGCTTTAATGCAATTTTAACTGCTCCATTTAAGATTTAGTCGATGGAGCGAAAGAAGCCATTTCTCAGTGGCATATTTCTCCGAAAATTTAACGTGGTGCTTTATCTCAACAAAAAAGTACTTATCTATATTTCACTGATTACTTCTTTCATCCAAATTTCTTCTTTTTTCGATTCTGTTTTCATTTGAAATAATTTTGAAGCCATGCTAAAATAAAAAATAAATCAAAAACCCATAATAAGAAAAAATCCACTTAAGAATAAGTGTCCGTCGTCGTAAGATAGGTATATTGAAATGAAATGTCAACACTGCACTTTACTCGCAAAAAAACAATCAGATAAAAACGATGAAAGTTTATGACGCCCTGAATGCCACCTGCAAGTTTTGAGCAACTCCTTGTTATGTGGTTTAAGTGAGAAATTTTGTTTTCAACTAACCTCTACAATATTTTCTTAACAGTACGGCAAATCAGTTTATCATAGCTGTAAGTAATTGTTCCAAAAATTTTATTTTAAAAAAATGTGAATCTGCCTACAATTTTTTGAATACATAGAATAGAACAAAAAAGATGAAGACTCGACGCTCTACTTTTCTGAAAAGCCGCTGATATATGTCAAATGAATAATCACTTAGTTAACCATATTAACGACCTTTATTAAGAGAATTATGGCCATTATGGGAATAAGTAACTTGTCAAAAGAACACTGTGGAAATGGCGAAGAAGTTTTACAAAACTAAGTCTTTTTACCTAAAGCATACTGGTAATAATCTATCTTCAATTGTTTGCTCATTGTTCAAATTAGTTGCTTATCACGTTATTTTCAAATATCGCTGCGCGATTAATTAATTTCAATTAATTCTGGTAAAGAATTCTGTTGAATGAGAATTGAAAACTGACGTAAATAAATGAACAATTTATTTATAAAATATATGATGTGTGATCACGAATCAACAAATAATTGCTTCTTACTCAAGCGGTATTATATCATTCGATTATGAGTGATATTCGATAAATTTTCACTTTTTTTAGTTTCATAGTTTCATCGGAAATTTCTATTTCGATAATCTTTTTGCTTCTGATGCTATTATGTACTTTTAAATCATTTTTTGCTTTAATATCGAAAAAACAGAAAATTTAATTTATCTAATTAAGTTGATAAAGAATTTTATGGTATTAGAGATGATAGTTATTATTTTAACATGAAATTAGGTTTATTTATGAATATAGCTTCACTAAAAATGCTTTCAAAATATATGAGAATGGCCTAAACTTTAGATTTATAACAAAGCGCTATTTGATTTTGAAGTTGAGACCCCTATAGAATAAATCAAATTCGCTAAGCAATGCTCAGCCTTTTTTAACTTTGCAAGGCATTTTAAAATATAAATACTTGCATATGCATGTTCATTTTCCTTCTAACAGTAACTTTCCTAGTCATTTGGCTGGCTACATTGACTATTAGGATGAGAACATTTCATAAGAGAGCATTAAGGTAAGAAGAAAAAATATCTTCCACATCTTCACATCTTATTTTTAATGACAAATTTACGCCTGTTAATTCATTCATCATTTTATTTAACCTTACTGCTGCAGAAATTATTAAAAAATTCAAAATTACTAACTAAATATTAAAACTTGATTGAGTTCTCGTAATATTGTTGTTTTCCAAGCGCAATAACTGCAAAAAAAAAAAACAAGACATTTCATTCTTCAAAATTTTGTACAAGGAAAATATTTACCGGCGATTTTTCAAAGCATCAGAAGAAGAAATTAATTTAATTAAAAATTTATCAAAATTATTGAAAAATTATTCATAAAAGAAAAGAAAAAGAAAAGAATTTGTCATTTTTTAATTCTATCGAAACAATATTTCATAAATATATTGGTGGTTCGAAAATCATTTAAATACACAGTTCTGGTCAAGTGATTTTGTGCATATACACGATACGCGATTATGTATCTCAAGCTTGATGTCGTGCATGGTAAAATTTGATTTCTATAAAAGAAACAATATTTTTTAAGTGAATTCTGTCGTTAAAAACTTTGCTTATCGATCATGTGCGGAAAAGATGTGTTCTAACATCTTTAAATCAAGTTCAGTTTTGTTTAAATTGTTCGCAGTTCCATTAGTAGTGAAACTAGATCTTACATAACTTTTGGAACCAAAAAGCAAATAGCTATAAAAGAATCCTATCAGGCGCTGAACATAACGAGTTAAGACCTTAAAATCAAAACTTTTCATTCGCATTTGCATAACAATTATTTTTTAAAAATTTAAGTACAACAAGAGAAGAAAGGAAAGGATTTTGCTGCTTATAACTGGTACTAAAGTGTAAGTTATTTTGTATATTTGAATGTCCAAAAGTACGATTCATGATTCGCATAACATGAATGAAAAACTTATCAATTAAAATTAATAACCTGGAGGCGATGTTGGTTCAATTATTTGTTAATAAAACGCCGTTCGAAAATATTTTCTTTGCTTCATTGAATCTAATATTACTAATAATATTAATATTACGAATGATTTGTTCATAAATAAACTGAAATAAACTTAAATAATTGTTCCTTATTATTATCATTGAAGAAACTTCTACTACACACTCATTTTTATTACGAAGAAAATATGAATTTGACAAGTAGCACTGATAAAAAAGTATTTAAATTTAAATGAATGGCTTCAATAATTTTAGATTTTATTGGCTTCAAAAAGAATATTTTTTCTAAAAAAACGAGAAAACGAAAAACAAAAGAACATTAAAAACACCAGTGCTAACATTTGGTCAACGAATTTTACGTACAAATCCTCAGTTATTCAAGGTTTTGCCTTGTTTTTTCATACATTTTTCTCAATTTTCATATTGGTATAATAAAAATGGTGTTCCAAATTTTCCTATAAAATTCAAACCGTTTAAACATTTATCTGAAACCGATTAATCAAAAACACTGCCACTGAGAACTGATCTGAAAGGTTGCTTGTAACCGGTCCATATATTTCATTATTTTTTCACCAGTAATTTTCTTGGTTTGTCTGGTACTCATTTTTCTTTCTCATTCTATAAATACTTGCTTTCTTTCTTGCTATATTCTTGCTAGATAAATTAATTCATTGATGAATATGAACATTGCTTTTTTTTTTGAAGAGTCCTCACCATTACTGGTTAAACTCGCTCCACTGTCTTGTCGCATTGAGCAATATGCCATGGGGTCCCTTGGCGATAGAAATACAGGTGAGTCGCCAGCATTGCCCGGATTTTTGCACAGGTTTATACAGGTTTACTCCTGCAATCGAACCTCAGCATCGGCGCTCCGAATTGGACAACAACCCACTGAGCCATTCTATCCCAATGAACGTCGCCCGGTGTGCCTGGACTTAATTTTTTAACTCTTCATATTTTTTCAAATGGTCGAATCTATTTTACTCTATGCGATGTAAACATTCGTGTTTTCAATGTATTTCCATATATTAAAAAAGTTATAGAAATTTTCCGCTTTTTTTTGATAAAATTTCATTGCTCAAAATTATATTTAAAATTAAAATTTGCAATAAATTATTTATTTCTATCGAATTATTTATTTCTATTATTCCTATTTCTATTTCTATCGAAAAATGTTAAATCTATAACTTTCAATATTTTTTGTTATTATCTATTATATAACATAAAAATGCTAATAAATTAGTGCTAATAATTGCTAATGCTAATAAATTTCCTTTAAAAAGATTTAATTTAAGGAAAAAAATTGATTAAAACTTGGATTTGGTAAAAAAAGATTTCGTGAAAAAAAAAATCTGCTTCATTCATCAGTTCGTGGACTAATGAAAAATGTTGCCTTGCTCTTGTCGCTCTTTTATCGACACTTTTCGCGATTTTTTTATTATATTAAAATTTTAGAATTTTAGGATTTTAGGTAATTTTGTATTATTTAATATTTTATAATAAGAAAATTGAATAGATTCTGAAAAATAAGGTGGAGCTAACCATCTTCCATTCGTGAAAATAGTATTTTTGGGTGGTCATTTCCATTGATTTTTTTCCTCGATAATATCCTTTATAATTTGAAAACTTCAAAAAAAATTTATTCCTTTTACTTATCAGCCTTTTTCAATTGTTAATTCAAGCCGATTTTTCTTTTATTTCTTCCTCACTTTTTTTTGTGCATCCTCCAATTTTTCGACGCTGAATTTCACTTTCCTCACTATCGATCAAATTCAGAAGTTTAACTGCGTTTTGCCGGAATCTGCATCTGATTAAACATTTTTGCTCAGCATTCGCAACATAAAATCAAAAAGTAGTTGGTTGTTAGCCCATTTTCGTTCATTTTTTTGTGATCCTTTTTTTGTTTGAGTTGTTTTTTAAATGTGAAAATTTGCTCGAAAATGTTAGAAAAAACCAACGCCTTTAGCTAAAGTTTCATGATTCTGAATTTTTCGCCGAATTGAATTCATTCTCCAATATTTTTCTGGTTCAATTTAATTTAATTGAATTTAAATGCCTTTTTTCAAATCGAAAATACTTTTTAGAAGACTGTGAGATGAATAAAATGCATTGAGCATAGAAATGCTATAATAGAAATTTTCTTGTCACTTTTTTGGTATTTCAAAGCTTCAATTCAAAATTTTAAAAATTTTACAGACTTCTTTAAATAATATAATCATAGAGATTATATTATTCAGACTGAGGGCTTTTTTTTGAGAAGAAATGTAAATCTATGATAAAATATTGGTTTTAACTTTGTAAGAAGCATTTGTGAGTTTATTGGAATTGTTTGGTCTCATCAGTTTTAATATTTTCACGGATTAGTATTTAGTGTTATTAAATTAGGCCATTTTAAAATTCAATTAGACATTGATTTCAAAATGCTAGCTTTTTTGCGCTGCGCAAAGGTTATCTTGAATGAGTCAATATTATTATCTTATTCACCCCAACATTATATCATTAGAAGGTAAGAAAAAACAAAGGTTTTATACTTTTTTCTTACTTTATTTCCAGTGATTAATTTAATTTTGGCTAAAGCGATTTGTTAAATAGATTTTCGCCTTAATTGCATTATCTCGATTTCTAAGTCTATTTAATTACTAAAATTTTATGAAATATAGAAACACTTCAAGGAAAAAGTCACATATAAACATGATTTGAAGTGCAATTTTAAAGAAAGATCCGTTAATAATTGGCTATATTCTCATATTATTGTTAATAGTAACGGTCCACGACCACTTGAAATTATTTCAAAAAATTTTTTTCAAGGATTTTGGCGAAAATTCGACTAATGATTCATTTTTTGCAACAACCATAATGGCTGTATTCAAGAAATTAAAAAAATCCAAAGACAAAAATGCAATTCCGGAACCGGAACCGATTAAACAACTTGATTCAAGGTTCGGAATGGATTCATATCGAGATTTTTTCACACTTAAAAACTATTGGAAATCTGTCGATCGGAAGAAAGTCGAATCTGCAAATTTTCTTTTTTACAGGTTATATACACATTCTTATGACAATTTTATAAATTTTACAGACTTCTCCAATCCGTTAGAGGCGTTAGTATTTCTATTAATCGTTAAGGATTCTTGATAAGCTTATGCACATATATTTACACCATGCATGTGGTTAATCGAACGAATTTTAATAAGATTGGATCGTACTGCAAATTTTCCCATTCACTACTTTTGATTTGACTTTTAAACATTTTTCACTAATTTCGTTATTTCGACTAATCTTATCTATTCATTTTAGCCTTGTCTGATCCATTAGTTCTGAACCATGGAAAAAAATCTATTTGAACTAAATCAAAATTAAATAGCAAAATTGTTCGTAAACTAAAAATATTTGAATCTTGAATATTTAGTTTAAATTTCTTTTTGTAAGTATCAAATTGCTTTTATTGCTTTATTAATATCATATAATCGCTGTAATTAATAATTTGATTAAAATCGGCCATTAGCTTAAATCGCTTCTCCGCATTTTTCTGGGTGGCCTAAGTCAATTTACTGACGAATTTCCAAATTGAGTAGGAAGAAAGGTAAAGTAACAAAATCTAAGGCGGAAAAAAATTGAAAAAGTCTCTCGAGTTTTGAAATTTCACAGATGTATGAGATTTAAAGATGAATGCGTTGTCATGGCGTCCTTATAAAATACGAATAAAATCTCGGCCTTACTTTATTAGAAATTTCGTTTCTGTTAACGAGCTGCTGTAACTTCACTAATTAGTCGGGACATCACTGCTATCACTGCTATCCATTTATTAATTTATTGTTATTGTTCAGCATATCAAATAGTCAACGTTTCGCTTTTAATTTGTGTATTAGTAAGCACACCTCTTGTTACTAAATTTCTAATGAACTTTTCTTGTATCGACCGACATTTTTGGTTTACTTAGACATTTCGCGTTTCTAAGAAGTCACTACTGGAAATAAGATGGCTTAGTGGGTTATTGCTCAATTCGAAAGGCCAATACTAAGGTTCTATTCCCAGCAGGAGTAAACCTGTCCAAAAATTCGGCTAATGCTGGCGATTCACTTGTATTTCTATCGCCAAGGGACTCCATGACATATTAGTCCAGTGCGACAAGCCAGCGGAGCGAGTTTAACCAGAAATGGTGAAACTCTTAAAAAAAAAGAGAAGTTACTACTAGGAAATCGTCCATCAGTTATTTTTAAACCACGTTATTTTTAGCATCAATTACTCATTTTCAAAATTTCTCTAAGGCGTTTTTCAGTGATGAATCTGCTTTAAGTTGCATATTGGTGGATAATAATACTTGTGCAGAAGAGCTTAACTATTTTTGCTCAGTTAAGTTCAAATGAATTTCAAACTTATCATCATCTTTCAGTTGATTTAACTTTGAAATAAGTAATTGATTGTTTTTTTTAAAAAGAATCTGTAAAAGATGAGTTGTTCTGTAAATTTTTGAAAATTCACCTCATAATTTTGTTCGTGCAATGTTGAAAAAGTTATTTTATCGTCTAGTAAGTGGAGCGTAAACTTATTCTTGTTTATTTCTGGAAATGAGTAATTTTGTTAGCAATGCTGCAGCACTAATTCTTAGAACGACAGTGACAATGAGAAGATTACCCGAATAGCGTTAACGAAATGGGTTCTGGAAGCAGTGCTCAAGCACAAAAACAGCAAATTGAAACGAAGCGAGCAGTCGCCGATGAAACCATCGAAACCAAATGCGATCCACGATTACCTTATGCAAATTTTCGCGAACTTTTTACTCTCAAAAATTACTGGAAGACTATAAGACGTAACGATAAGGACTGCGCGAAGACGATGTTTGCCCAGTTAGTTACGGAATTTATTATTTACTTTTTGACTTAAAAATATTCACGATGCACGTAGGCACTTATCATTGATTTCATTACAATCTTGTTGAATTTCTCAATAAAAAAAACTTTTATATTAATGGAAATTGCTATCTAATGATCTATGGCTATTTTTTTACAATCTATTTCTTGTGGTCTACAAATTTTTAAAGTTTTTACCATTTTATCAATTTATCAATTCGTATGTAAATAAACTATGACTCGGGAAAAAAACAGTAGAAATAAACGATAGCCCTTTCAGAAGTACAAAGTAGAAAGATTCCTGAAATGCAAAGAAAACTGGAATAAAAAAAATCCATTTTTTAAATTTTATGGTCCGAAAATTCTTTCAACTTAATTCTTAATAATTAATTCTTAATTCTTAATAAAAGCAAACTCGCTTTATTATTAATATTGCTAGATAGATTTGAAAGCACCTTATCCCTTTAGGAAGCAGCCAACCTAAGCACACTGGTGTAAGCTGTTAGAACGAATATTTTTGGAATCCTCTAGTGCTTCAGAGATTTCATTCGGAGATTCGTCATGATTGATAACAAAGCCCTTTAGATACAAGTTATTTTGAAATCTTTCCTTTAATATAGTAAAATAATAAACCAAAAGGTGCGGAAATTTGGAAATGTATCGCCGATTTCACACGTACTTTATTTCGCTATTAGATTAGCCTTATGTTTTAAGTGAAAACTCATCTTAGTTTTCTGAGATTGATGTTTTCTTCGTTAAGGTATCTTAAAGAAAATGCTGATAAGAAAGCATTGTATCCAAAATTGAAAAATGTGGATGCAGGTACGATCAGTAGTGCGACTAACGACCCAGGATTCGAAGCAGTAGCTGCGGCTTATTTAAAGGTGTCATTTGATCAAACCAATTTTTATATTCGATTTCCTCAGTAATGCTTGCTATTTAGACGGAGAGAATTTTCAAAAAATTGCGCACACAACATATTAGTTACAGATAAGTGAAATTCAAAATGCTGTCACCATTAGACATTTTTTACCTTACCATTACCATTCAGTCAAGTTTTTTTTTGATTGCACCTGGCACAGCTTTTCGAAAGGTACCAAATGCATTGAGAAAATCAAACCTATTCAGGCTATTTCATATAAAGTTTATTTTAGGTGTTCGATGACGTTATTACGGCAGTTGAAGAAAAGCCAGCTGATGTAACAGATGCATGTGCTCGCCTCAATTCGATTGGCAAGATGCATCGAGCAAAAGTATGTTCTTCTTAAAATATCTTTGGTAAAGATTCTTAGGTACAAATTGTTTAAGAGTCATTTGCAATAAAATCCTCTTGCTTTGTCAAATTGAATCAATGTTAAATTATTATTGTTATTTGTTGTTATTCTTTATTATTATTATTATTACTATTATATAATATTATTATTAATATTGTTATCATTATTATCATTATCATTATTATTAATTATCATTGTAACGATATATATCATTTATTAAATACGCAATTTATATGCCATCTAACCTAAAAGTTACTGTAAATTTGCTTCAAAATTTTCTTCTGTTATTGGATATAACTGAGGAGCAAATTTCTCTACTAGCAAACCAAATTTTTACAAGGGATTTAACCATTTTGGCCTTGAATTATTTGTACATCAATGAGTTCTTTAGGGCAAGTATTAAAAAAGTGCAATATTTATAGTAATTAGCCAAATTTTTACAAGGGATTTAAAACAAATCAAATTTTAAAACTATTTTAAAACAAATTTCTTATCAAATTTTTGCTGTTTTCGTATTATTTTTTAATTTTCTCCTCTATAGAATTATGTTACACATAAAATTTGACTTTACATCAAGGTTAAATTAAATTATAAAACTTTTAGATTGGGCGGTGAGGCAATAATTAAACTAAATGACTTTATTATTGTTGTTCTTACAGAAAAATTATCATTTGTGGTTTAGTTGGTTGCACTGGTTATCAAGTAATATCTCTTTGTTAAAGAGTCATTTAGGAATAGAGATTATACGACCATCATCCACCGAGTGCATTTCACTTTAATGGGAGGTTTTATCCCTGACAAAGAACAGAAATTGAACCTAATATGAGTTGGTCTCAGTCGAGATAACATATCACATATGTCAGTCCAACATGATCTGCCATTAGAATGGGACTTTAATTGGTCATCTTGTGAGAGTAATTTTATCATAGTATTTCCTGTAGCGCTATTAAGTCTGTCTAGTCGTTTTAGTCCATTTTTCTACAGTATTTTACAATATTATTCATTTTTGATTATTCCTGAAAAAGAACTCATTTATTTCTTCTATTTTCTGAACGTCTCATTTTGTTAAGATCAGCGGTTTTAGTTAAAGATTTCTAAAGACTTGTGCAGTCGGTTATACATTTCTTAAAAATAGAATTAAGAAAGGAACTCGGATTACTTTGAAGGGAATTGTTAAGCAACCTCATTAATCAGAAAATAATCGGATTAGTCCTTAAAAAGATATTCTAACTGGTACATAAATACAAACATAAAATACATGCGACTATTAATTTGTCAAACTGTTCAATAATTAATTAAAAAAGATGGTAAGATGATTATCATAGCGAAAAGTATAAACAAAATTTTAGACGTGATTTTAGATTGTTAAACTTTTCTATAACTTGTTTAGCAGGAAATAAAACTTCCAAATTTTATTTGGATAACTCGGCTCGAAATTAGCTTTCATGTGATGAATTTTAAACAAATTTAAACTGAAAATTAAAAACGAGAATTGTCAACAGTTAATCGTTTTTGGTTGCTTTGGCGACAAATAGCTAACGCTTGACGGGAGTAAATCTTGCCAAACACCAAGTGGTTCTAAATTATTTTGTCAAAAAGAGAGCTGCACAATGAGGGAGAAATATTTATTTATATGTATTTTTTGTTATGCTCAACTCTTCAACTAATATTCAAGTTACACTCCATTAAGGATAATTTGAAACTAAACTTACAAAAATAGTTTGTTTAACTCGAAAAGATTCTCTTATGGGAGCCAGTCACTAAAATCGTGTCTGTTGATCAGTTATTTCGCATCACTGAATCTCCAAATAATCGAATTTTCAGCGAACCATTTCGAAATGATTCTTTTATGAGAAAAAATCAAAAATTTTCCTTTTTCTTTCTAATTCTAATTCTATATTTTAAATTATCAGGTAATATTGAAAAAAATATTTGAACTGGACTGTTAGGCTGGCACCGCTGGTCGCAAGGATAAGGCGTTTCTAAGGCCTCCCGATCCAATACCATAGTGTCTTTAATTAATCGCACTGTAGATGGATAGAAATCTTTTATTTTCTTCAGTCAAATATTTTCTTCAATCAGAAATGGAACTGTGTCATTTATATTGCATATTGCAGGTGTCAGGAATGGATGGGAGCCAATTCCAAGCGATGGAAGAACCATTTTTACATATGGTCAATGAAATTTTGCAAGATAGGTACAACGATAAAGCTGAGAGCCTTTTCAGGAAGTTCTATCAGTTTTGCATCAAACATATGCTAGAAGGCTTCAATTCGTAGGTTTGTCAGAAAACAATTGAATATTGAGTAGTGCTTTTTCGTCCCAATTTAACATTTCTATTCATTCTATTGATTTTCGTTTCGTCTTCTCAAAAATATTTTCGTACGCTAAATATTGTATTTATTTATTAAAGATGGATCTTTAATGATAAACGACATGAATATCAGAGGACCGTCGAATCCATTAGAGCGCTCGAGAGAAATTCTTTCTCTTAGGAATTCTGAATAATTAAAAGCGCATAAGACGTAAGAACAGATACAGCTAAGTAAAAATTAAATTCGACTAGAATTAAAATGGGGCAAAAATTATCAAAAGTTTCATCAGAGTTTTGCCCACACACGAAATAATAACAACCATAACGAACGTATAAAAATACTGCGGAATTTTTTCCATCGTCTTCCAGTTAAACATTCATTTATTGCGCAACACCAGATAAATGAAAAATCTCTCTTCGTTTTTTAAATTAGCTAGAAGGGTCAAGTAAATTTTTAAAAAAGGATAATTTACGTTATGTTCCGCACCTTCTAATAGTATTCATAATTTCTGGTTTGGTTAGCTATTAGGATGAGACATCAGAAGTCAGATTTCAGATTTCACCAGAAATCCACATGAGCATCTGTTGAGTACTGTGATTCTCCAGTCAGTCACCATTTTAAACAATAGGTTTATTCTCGTCATGGAACAGAATCGAATTGATTTAGTTTTAATTATGTCAACTTATTTATGTCCGAGTTAGCCTCGAAATTTCATCATTTTGTTCTTGATATTTTTAAAGGTAAAATCACAGTTTCTCGGTATCCTAATGCTTTTATAGGAAAGAATAAAAAGTAGGCAAATAACAAGTTATGCCCGATTAATTTTATTTTACTAATTTAACACTTTTCATTTCTACGGGTCATTTTTATTATTCCATTTTCCATTATTTTAATAAACTTTTTATTCACAAATAAGTCGACGGTCCATTGCATCATTGGAGAGCGCATTTATATTATCCACTGGAGAAAAAGAAATCAGGAAACAGTTACTCACTCCTGTGATGCAGAATAATCACTAATAAAAATTCATGCTAATTAAATAGTAAATATAAATAGCATAAAATATATAATGTAGTTAGTGCCTTTCATGCACTTTTTTTTTTATGAATAATTCTCACCATTACTTGTTAGGCTCGCTGCGCTGGCTTATCGCACTAGATATACCAGAAGTCCTTTGGCGATAGAAGTACAGGTGAGTCGCCAGCATCACTCGGTTTACTCCTGGGGGAATAGAAAACCTCAGCAACGGCATTCCGAATTAATCAACAACCCACTGATTCCCCTTTCACGCAGATATCATGGAAGTATAGTAAGTCTTAATTAAGTTAACGCTTAAAAATCCAAATCTTATAAGTTGTGCAGGTGTTAACTTTTGCGACTTTGCTGGACCATTGTGAAGCTCGAATAAGTCAAAAATGTTAATCTTATAATAATTTGCTGAATATTATCGGAAATTTACTTCTCACTCCCCCCACAGTTTCATCTGTAATCTGCTTCACTATTTGCACGAAGCGAATCAGGTTGATTTTTTTTGTTTTCCTATTTTATTTCACAGGATTGATGGTCGGCATTGCGTTTAATATTAATACAACTAATTCACTACGAAATACAAAGGATATATGGATAAAAAAAGCAATGAATTAAAGGCCATTTACTAAAATAAAATTAAAAGAGATTGTTGCTGAACAAATTCACGATCGTTCTTCGATGAATAAAAAATTGTTAGAAAAGATATTTATATTTATATAAATATTTATTTATATAAATATTTATAAATATTTATGATATTTAAAGAACGAGAGGAAACAAATCGCTTTAAAATCAAGTTTTATCTTCGTTCGTGATTTCTTCTAATTTTTAGAAACCAATTAGTTGTTGACGAATAGTGCAAAGTCAAATCAATTTCTAAAAAACTCCCTAACTTACAATAAATAAACGAATTTTATAAGTTAGTAATTAATTAAAGATTTGATTTTGTTCATTTATGAAAAGAATAAAAAACATGGAAATTTCTGAAAATAAGTAAAATTTAAGTAAAATTAAAATTAAGTAAAATTTTTGTGGCAAAAATCCTTTGTGGGAAACTCATTATATGCACAAATCCGCATTGTGAAAATCTATATTTCATACGAACTTTTTGTTAATTACTATATGCTGCGTGTTATAATCATTGCACACATAGGTGCATGTTGTGGCAACATAAATATTGTATATAAATATTGTATATAGATGTGTTATTATTTATAAAGGTACGGAATACTGAATGTAAATATTACATAAGTGCATACGTGTGTGTTTTGGTGGCCTACTTTTTGTAATAAACCGCTTACGGTGAAATCCTCAAATTTTTGCAATCCTCCACACTTTATTTTGAAAATTACAACAGTTGATTATGTCAGCCTGAAGAGACAAATCAGTTGACCATTAATCTTGTTCGGCTTGGGTCATTCGCTAAATTGAAACCTTCTTATTCTAATCACCACTCATTAATCACCAGCTCTCATCATTACTGGTTTCACTGGTTAGCAAGAGTGAGACGTTTCCAAGATGCGCAACCTGATGCCATCGTCGATAGTAATAGAAGCCACTTTTTTTTCTGTCGTCTAAGTCCATATATTGCTGGTCCATCTATGTTCAAAATTTAATAATTGAAAATCAAATCAAATTATTGGAATGATGAAAATAAATCAAATTGCATTTTTTCAATAAATAGCGCCTTTTTAAAAAAAAAATTTTTGTAAAAATTTTTTGATGATTTCCTCACCATTCTTCTTCACATTTGCCTATTATTTTCGCCTATTAATAATTTATTCGAATTTATCCACAATCGATTTCATTCATGATTGTGGAATGATTTTGTTTTTTCGTATTTTACTAACAAATAAGATGTTTTTTTAATCGGTTCGCTAATTTCGCCACGACTTGTTCAGTTGGATCCCACAACAGTGATGGGTTCTTGCTAAATTTATTTAAGCACCATAAGCTTGCATTGATTTATGAAATGTAGCGAACAAATTTTGCAAATCTTTTTTTGTCACAAATCATTTGGTATGATGCAATGGTCCTCTGCTATGAACTCGAATTTCTCTTATTCCTTCTAATTCATCTTATCTCTTTCTACAACTTTCCTCAAACTCCCATTTTTCATAAAATTACATGACACTGTAAAACAAGGGGGCAATCAAATGATTTCGAATATTGTTGTTAATTCCAATCTTTTTGGCTGTCTTCCCCCTTTTTGCCGTGATTTTAATTTTTGTTGCGGATCTATGTTACTAATTCTTTATTTTTTTTTTGAATAAAGTTTCATTTTTTTGTTCTGTTCACAATTTCGCTATAGCAGGAACATTGAGAGAGAAAAGTTGCGTTATATTCCTTCTTCCTGTCATTTTTCAAAGAAATCGGAAATATTTCAGCTTTATTTCAATTTTCATTCGGTAAAGTTACTATTGTTTCCTCATATTCTCGAGAATTTTTGCTGAAATCTTCGAAATTTTCGAGTTCCGTTGAAAATTTATGGCACCACAATCTATTTAAAATATTGAGTGAATTTATTGGTTTTTTTTTCAATTGCTATAATTCGTTTATTATTTTTTGATTTATTTTTTGTCATGAAACGCTTACTCACTTAGTTCGTATAATGCTCATATAACTTGCCTAGACTGGTCCGATCTACCAGCTTGGGTTTTTCTAACAACAGCTCGCACCTTTATCGATTAATTACATCCAATGTCATAGCTGAATTAACAGAAACCAACTTTTCCCATCGTTTAAGCCCATATATCGCTGAGACGCCCGTTTGCTCAAAATTTTCCTGATCATATCTTCCTTGATTATACCACCATCTTTTTAACGTCATCCATCACAGTTCCTAGCCTATAGCGAGATGTGCACATATCCTCAAGATGAGCGAAGAACATGGAAACATGGCCTATCCTATAGGATAATATGATGCAATAAATGCAAATATTATTCGTAGATAAATGCAACAATATGAGATTCTATCAATATTATCCATATTTTTAATTCGATTACATAATTCATCTTGTTTTCTAAAATTTTATTAGTAAGGAGAATCAAGATTTTTTGAAACATTTGGGATCATTACGATGACCACAAAAAATGTGCCTTAGGCAGGAATAGTCAAGCGTAGTTAGATCATGCAGCACTCTCATCGGCTATGTTTCACATCTGCTTAGTAGGACTGTTCGCTGTACCTTGACAAACGCAAACTTTCGTTTTAGTGGTGATTTCAAGGCGATTTCAAGTCAGACCGAAGAAAGTATTTCTATTTATGGCAATCTGAACTTGAATTTCATCTTTTAGACCATTTGACTGGACCCAAAATATTTGAAAGTTTGCTTATTTAATAAAAATTGCTCATTCTAACTTTTAAAATTGCTTGTTACTGAATTGGTTTGCAGATGAATCGTGCAAATTTGAATTCGTAATGTGGAAAACTGAATAAGTAGGCAATCAGAAAACGATTAACAGAAAAATCAACTAATTCATTGCAAAACGAGAAAAATCAACTAATTCATTTTCGAGAACAACATACGTATTCGTTCCATTACTTCTTCGATTTTTGCTGGCAGTGAACACGTCCATCCGTTCTAGTAAGCATTCCGTGATGATGGCGAATTCCGTTATTTAATCATGCATGTTATGTTAGTTTCGCAATAAAGGAAAGGAATAAGAAATTTTATTTGTCAAAGTCGCGCTTAAAGTCGTATTTTTTCGAGGTCGTTGAAGACGAAGTCCAGAATTAATCGGACCCCTTGAAGGCATTCCTACGATATATAACATACAATAATAAATAACAATAACGAATTTTTTTGGTGAATATGACCCGCATTTAGAAAATGACATCGATATAAAAACGTTCGTTTCACTTTTGATTTCAAAATTATTTCATGGAAAATGATGGCAGTGCAAATAATTTTGCATTTACAAATGTACGGAGCGAAATAATCAAGTGCAATGCTGTAAGAGGTAAACAGCAAAGAAAGTGAAATCGGGGTAAATCTCTTGGTATAAACGGTGTGATCTATGCGCTCAAACGGATTGCGGGCAAAATCATTTCACCATAACACTGAGTGATAGTATACAGACCACAAATGGTATGTGAAGAAAAACCGACCACCTTCTGACTCGATGTGTCGAATGGTGAAGACGGCCGCATCCACATTTGATTTTAATAATGCTCGATACATAGTCGCTCTAATCTATTGAAAAATTTCTGTTGTGTTTGTTCCACTTTATTGTTAATTATTTATTAATTGCAGAGTTAAATAACTTTACATTTATGGTGATAATCTTTGGTGAGCTCCATTCAATAGATGGATTTTAGAACTGCTGAAAGTGTTTATTTGTAATACCCACTCGCAGGACAGATATAAATATCTGAAACGTCTTTTTAAAAAATCCTAAAATTCAGCTAAAATCTTTCATATAGAAGGACTGTTCTCTTTGATAGTGTCAAATCTGGAAAAGAAATGCTTTTATTCACCATACTTCCAAACAAAGTTGCTTGGTAATATTATTAGTAGTATCAAAGAACGGCCGGAAATAAAAGAGGGCAGAATGGCTGTTAATTGTTGGTCGACTTGGAACGCTAGGGTCCCACATTCGGCAGGAGCAAACGTATCGTCAAAAACCCAGATGATGCTGGCGACTCACCTGTACTTCTATCGTCATGATTCCCCAGCAAAATTTGTCTGGTTCAATGGGTCAGCTGAGTGTTTCTAACCAACAGTGGTGAGATTTTTTTTAGAAGTTTCCAGATTTTTTACCGAAAATATTTCCTGATATTGATATTTTGTGCAAATATCGTTTAAAATATTGATGAGAAGATAGCAAACAGTTTTTTTCAATCAGAAAAAAATTCCGATATTCGTTCACGGTTCATACGAACAATTTTTCGCAAAAATGATTGATGTAAAAGAAAACAAAATTCATGACTTTTGTATAACAAACAGGGAAATATAGATGTGACAAACAGCTGAATAAATGTTTCACGTTGCTGCACAATTAATTTGATGTTTTCGCTGAAATCAGACCATCCAAAGAAAACTTCATTCATTTTTCTCAGTTTTTCTTCACAGTGAAAAGAATCCATATCACCGATTTTCCAAAACTTTTGTCAAATCACATTATGTGCATGTTTAAAAAGGTTTGAGGAAAAATCTAGATTAACAGGACTCGAGTAAATTCGCATTTAAAATCTCTATATTAACTAACGAATCTGTGAATGAACTCGTAATAATCACATCCACCCTTAAGATAAATAGAGAGATATTTTACGAAAAATATGCAAAGATCATTGATAAATTACTTTCGAGAAAACACTAAAAAAATAGAAATTTTGTTAAAATCCTTTTTCCTTTTTTTAAACTATTAGTATTTGCTAATACTTTTTTTCACTTTTTTTTACAAATTGGTTTTCGATAGATAGCCTTCATTTCAAAAATAATAACTCTATAAGAAAATATAATATATAACGCACTGCTATAGAATTAATAAACAAAGATACAAAGCCAAGTAATCCGATATTGCAAATTAAAATCATCTCTCCTCAAATTTTTTAATTGCTGCGATCAAATGTCTGCTGTTTCTTGCTTAACAGAAACCTAAAGAATTCTATTTTTATTAGATTGAAACTAAAAAAATAATAAAAATTTATTCAAAAACCTAATCGGTTAAAAAATATAATAATGGCACCAGAAAAAAAGTGGAGTTTTTTCGTTTCACCATAGTTTACCTTAACGAGTTCTTATGAATTTAGAACAAATACGAAAATACAAATAGAAACCACCAACCTTATATATAATCCGTTTAATAATATAATAAACACTGCAATAATACCAACACCTATCATTATTTTTTTATTTATTATTTCTTGCCGAAACTCTTCGCTCGGATCGAAAAAATGACTCCTTGAAGAATACAGTGTTTTCCTGTCAGCAAAATGTATCGTTCTTCTTATAGATTCGGCCTCGTAAGAACCTGGACTCACCTGAAAAAGTCTTAAAAAGTCTTAAAATCCCTGTTATCACTTTAATCATCCTTATAAATACCGTAAAAACTTGCGATTTGGATTTATTTAACACAGTATTTTATTAAATCATTCATACGAAAATGAAGCAGAAAAATAATGGCTGGCGGTGTTCTCAAACAAATTTGAGCTAATGGACAAAACGAAAATCAAAAAATTATTTTACTGATATGAAATTTTAGGGAATCAACAATAAATCAATATTTTTTTTTTTAATAATTTAAGAAAATCTGAACTGAAATTTAAGAACTGAAAATCAGAAAAAAATTAAAATTTGCCTCCTTATTATGTCCTTTATTCATGGAATTAACTTGACGATCATACCATTCTCTTTTGTCTGCACGTTTAAGCACATCGTATGCAGCTTTAATTTCCATGAATTTTTCTGTGGGTGACTGGCCATCATAACTTTTTTGAATAGTTTTCTTTCCATCAGGATGTACCTAAAGCTGGCAGTTTTAGTTAAATCAGTAGTAGAAACTTATGCTTTAAATGTTTTTAAAAAATGAACTGGAAAACTACCAAAAAAGTCAGATTATAGGCTTGAAAATCACATGAATGGGAATTTTATTTATACAATGAGATATCTGCAACATGCCAATTCACAATTACTTCTAATAAAAGAAAAGCAGAAAATAAAACTTTGGATAACCACTAACCTCCCGCGATTTCTCGGCGAAAGCTCTTTTTATTTCTTCAAGAGTTGCATCTTGACTGAGACCAAGAATTTCATAAAAATTTTTTTTTCTGGAAATGTGCTCTTTTTGAGCAAAACAATTTATATAAAGATTTTTAAATATTACATAAGTCGCCTTATATTTATCGTTAAATTTTCCTAATATCGAAATACTGGAAAATCTGAAATATGAAAAAACCTATGTTGACTTCATTAAAACGAATATCTAAGATTTCTGAAAAATAAAAAAAGGTTTTTGGTTATCTGATCAACACCGCAAGTACTACTATAAATTATCAAAGAAGCTATATAGCATTGATAGGTGAATGAGCTTAGGAAAGGGAATGAGCATACAAACATAATGATGACTCTGCCTCATTTCGGATCATAAAATCGAACAAAAGAGAAATGCATAACCCACTTGGGCATATACGAGACAGTTCTTAAGATGACACGACGTTTAGGGAAGCACGAGAAGCAAGAAAATGCTTGACTTAGTTTGGCATAACTTCTGTGTAGCATTTTCCATAAACATAAACATATTCCATTTCAGATTTCAGTTGATAACCATAGAGACATCGCCTCAGAATATTTGCTGAAGTGATAAAAAAACTTAAAATGTTTTTATCGTTTTGTAATCGATCGCAACTCCAGTTCCCTATATTAGAAAGGAAAAAGCCATTTTTTAAATATTTAATTCAAATATCAATCGATATTATCAACCGATATTTCAAGTGTCTAAAATTTAAAATTTAAGAAATTGCTTTCATTTATCTGAACTCCATTTTTTAAAAGCAATGTAGAATTAAAAAATTAATCACCAAAAATTTCACCAAAATGGAATACTCTGAACTACATACTGTGAACACTGACTAAGAGAAATAATTAAGAAATTTTGGTTGAAATCCGATGAAAATAATGCCTTCTAAAACAAAATTGGCATAATTTATTATTGGCATAATTAAAAGTAAAATTAAAAGTAAAAGTAATTTTATGAATAAAAATGAAATCAACCAAAAAATGTAAAACAATTATTTATTAGTGCTAATGAAAGAAACCAGTACTAAAAAACTTTTAATAAAAAACTGTCCGAAATTTTCTCGCTTATCACCATCACCATTCTTTGAGGGTTTTTCGGAGTAGATTTTAACCAAATTTAGTGAATAAGTGCCAAATGAATATTGAATGGCTATAGTTTCCGTGACAGGCACAATCATGGCAATAATTTCAGGCTAGCAAATGAGTCCACAACAAAAAATACCATGAAAAATAGAAACAATGATAAATATCAAATTAAAATATTTTTTGAACTATAAACTATGAACTATAAGTGTCCAAAAAAAGCATAAGAAATTTGATTAGTCAATTAATTAATTTTATGAAAAAGAATAATTTAATTAAGATTAATTTTCAATATTATGATCAATTGCACTCCTCGATGTGTTCACGACAAGGCTTGACTTCGGTACAATTGAATGCCTAACTTCAGTAATGCTTGTTGGTGTTTGATAATTCGAATCCAATTCTAATTCAATTTGTCGCCTTCGTCGATCCTCATCAATTGATAAGTCAAGATAAGGTATTTCTTCATCTTTTCTTATTCTTGTCTCGATGAAATAACCTATAGTTCCAATGGCAAGAGCAGCAGGAAATATTAAAATCCTCATCAGTTTATCTGAAATAAAATTTTTACAGTACCAAAATCTCCTTTTTGATTATTTCTTTGATGGGAACTTCCCCATTGTGCCACATTACGTCACAATCAAGCCAATCACGCGCATTTTACATACGTTTTTCCTTGCTTGCTTTCTGCTTTATGCTTGAGAGAAAAACTGTGCGAGAGAGGTGCAATCTGAGGACGTGCCAGAAAATGACGAGGTTTATTGTCGCTGATAAGGGACCTAAACCACCAAATCCTCAGCATCTTCCTGAGTTAAAATACTTTTAATGACAAGAGGCTTACTGCTGGATAAAGGACAGAACCAGAGATCAAAAATATGGTCGGTCGGTTTCTAGATCAAAATCGAAGCAAATCAAATCTTTAAAATTTTTATCTATAAAATATGAATAAAGAAACCTGATTTAACAATCGCTCTCAAATACCACATTTTGTAAATTTTTCATTGGAATTCGCTGTTTACAAAATCCAAATGAAGCTAAGCATCTGCAATCACAGAGCACCCGTAGAACATTTTTTGAACTTCTTAACCACGATACAAACAATATGTGGACTCTTACTTGAATGACCCTCGCCCACAAAAAATCCTATCTATTCTCTTGATTTTTCTCTAGTCTTCCATTTAAACCGTCCTCCAGTCTTTAAATTCCTTCCCACAGCTGCACTATTCTCTTACCAATGATTTCGTTCAACAGTAAAGGTTTCTGTTTTTTCATCCAATCGCAGTATTTTTTCCCGCATTATCGAAAATTTGCGACAAGTAAGAAAAGATTGACGCTGTCTGAGGATCGGAGGAAAATACATCAGTAATCCAAAAACTGACCAGATCGTTATCAAATATTTCAAAAGAGATCTAAAATTATCCACGTCCTAATTATGATATCCTATGCATTTTCACAGTCTACAACTCAGACCTATGATGCGTCTCAGCTGCAGGTAGATCGTTTGGGATACCATCTTATTTAGAAAACTGCGACATAAATAAATTTTTGACTCAATTCTAAACGATATTTTCCGACAAAAAATAATTTGCTTACACCATCGCCCATCCGAACCACCACTTATAACCAAAACAGCTATCACGCAACACCAAACAATAATTTACTATTCAAACATCGCTATAGTAATCGAACAATCGTTTTAGGACGTAATTAAATTTGAAAAAAATCTTCTACATTGTACTTCGTTTTTTCCGTCTAAATTAATGCTTTAACTTTTTGTTTCGGTGAATTGGTGAATGGTACAAGTCTAGAATCTGGCCAGATCTACATTAATTTCTGCTGGTTTATTGCTTGCAATTGGTTGTTTTGAAATAGTATAGTAAGCGAGGAGAGTCAAGAAAGATGGACGTTTTATACATTTTGTTTATCAGTGCGCGCGGTTGGGTGTACTGCGACAAATCGTTCGTTTTTGTAACTTTTTCGTTGATATTTTGGCTAAAAAAGGGAATGATTTATGTCAAGCTGGGGTTGCCGACTATGCTACATGCCCACGCAGCTTCTGTCTAAAGTGTCTTATTCATGTCTGGAGATAGCGCTTTCATTATTTTAAAGGTGGAAATTTGTAAATGGCGTTATTTTTTAAGTTTGACTTTTTCAGGTTCATTTATTAGGGAAAATTACATTGGAGAACTTCATTTGTACTGTTCGAATATTTAAAATATTTAAATTTATTTTCTTTAAGACTGTGCAGTTCGATAGAATATCATTTATTTGATTATGGTTCCTAAATGTTTTAAAAAGTCGTGGAATATATTATAGAAATAACGGAATTATTATAGTTGATAGAACTGCTCAAAAGAAATGCGCACACCCATCGTGCGGTGACTAGGATGATCAGTTTCATATTGCAATTATCCACCTGTTGCTCGCGCATGTATGTTTTTTTGGTCCACAGTCTGTGGAAATAGTCACTCTACGCAACATACAACTGTACGCATAAATGCAACCCTCATGTAGGCATCATCCTTAAGCACGAATCAAAATTTTTTTCAGTTATCTTGATACTATGAATTTGGCAAAAAATCAAGCGAAGATTTCAATGGATGATCCGTTAGAAACGTTGAATGATGATTGCTTATCAGTTTTGTCAAAGGGGATTATCACAGATGGCAGTGATGATGGTGATGAACGAACGGTATTTCTTTCCTCAGTTGTGCTTAAATGGTTTTTTTTGAACGGAAAATTGATGATTTTTTCTAGCGATTGAAAAAGTTATTGAAATTCAGTCGAAATTTCGAAATTTGAATTTTTGTACAGAATATCATCTGTATTTGTTTAAATATTTCTTTAAAAATTTTATTTAAATTTTGTAATTCATTTAGCTCTCATTTTAAGTTTTAATCACATAATGTATCGTATAATTCGCACCACGTAACTTTCTTTTATTCTTTTTCACTGTTAAATTTGCTATAAAATAACAAATAAATAAAATTTTCATAAAGTATTAAAATAAGTGCTGATGGATTTGTTAACATTTTTTCCGAAGTTTTTTGAATTTCTGAAAATTTATTTCATACTACAGATTTGTTATTGATTAGCATAATGATATATGGTTATAATCCTTTAAATTTTTTTAAAGCATCGAACAGAGGAAATAAATGTGGATCTTTCTATTAATAATACTTTGGTGGTGGATATATCAGATGCATTGTCTGAACGCGATAAGGTTTGCTTATTTTTTGTTAAAAAATTAATTTTTCAGATCCTTTTCTGTTAAATTATTAAAACAATGTTGTTTTCATTTTTTTGCGATTTTTCATGAAATTTTCAATTCTTAAAATAATTTTTATTGCGGATTGATTTCTGCGAATCCTTTTGCGACCATTTTTATTCAAATACGTGATTTCATTTAATCTAGCATCTTTTTATATAATATTATAATAGATGTGAATTTACAGGTGAAATATACAGTGCATACAAAAACGACTATGCTCGAATTTGCAAAATGTGAAATGAGTGTTGTGCGAGAACATGAGGAATTTATTTGGTTGCATTCATGTTTAGAAGATAACGAAGCATATGCTGGATTTATTGTTAGATTTCCCAGTTTTATGAGAATTCAAGTTTGTAATACTATGATTTCGGATAATTACCTAAATTACATAATAATACCTAATTTTACATTTTGCCTTGGTTTCACTGAAGACCATCAAAACCCGTTGGAAATTTCATTTTCTCATTTCTCATTTTACGTTTATTTCTTTGATTTTTTATGGCTGTTTGGTAAATATATTTTGGTAAATATAATGGTAAATATATTTTTGGAAATTGTTTTTAGACCATGGATATCCTAGATCTCTTTTTTTTGAAGAACGTTTCTAATAAGGCTTGCTATAGTGATTTGTTGAGCTGGACAGCTTTTACCAGGGTATCACTTGGCTGTCACATCAGCAAGAACATCTGAATTCCCATTCGATGAAGAGGTTTAGACGGACAGTTTCATAACATAAAAATAATATCTTGAAATTAAATAATTCTAAAAACTGTTTTTCAGATTCCTCCTTCTCCACCACGACCTGATTTTGATGCTTCACGTGAGAAATTGCAAAGGCTTGGTGAAAATGAAGCAACAATGACGAAGGAGGAGTTTCTAAAAACAAAACAAGAGTTGGAACAGTACGTCTTACTTTTTTTTTTAAGAAAACAGTTTTTTAGATGATTTTCAAGAATATAAGGTAGCCAGGTAGAAAGTTTAGGAACTCTTTGGAATTTTGCTTTATTCAGATGATTTTATTTATTCAAAAATAGATTTTTTTTGGCCGCAAGAATTTTCCGTTTAATTAATTATGTGATAATTATGTGATTTTGTAATTTTTTTTCAGAGAATATTTAGCAACATTTAAAAAAACTGTCGCAATGCATGAAGTATTTTTGTGTCGATTAGCGGCTCATCCAATTTTTAGACAAGATCCAAATTTTAGAATTTTTTTAGAATATGACCAAGAGGTAATTTTTCAAATGCAAAATTTTCGGGTAAATTGTGAAAATTTCGTTCTTTTTTGTTTTTTTTTTTTCAATTTAGCATTTAATTTATATTGCTGTTTCATTTTATAATGAAATATAATTTGCTGCGACATTTACGACATTTACGACATTTTTCCAATTATTTATATTGCATATATGAATTACCAATCTTCAGTCTTTAGCTGTGTGTGCGAGGCAAGAACAAGAAGGAATTAATGGGATCATTATGGAAGCGTTTCACCCAATCGGCTGATGAAGTATTATTATCTGGGCAGGTTAGCAATTAATAATATTTTTGCAGTTAGAATCGTCATTGAAATTTCATTCAAATTTTGATGAATTTTTCTGTAACTTTTCCTTATTTTTTGCATTAAATCGTCCTGTCAATGAAATTCTGGAAAAAAATAATAATAGTAATAATAATAGTTTTAGAAGGATGTAGACGATTTTTTCGATCATGAACGCAATTATCTTGTTGAATATTATGCACATATCAAAGACGCAACCAGCAAATCAGACCGTATTGCACGCTTAAGAAAAAGTTTGTTTCTTTAACAAAGTTTTTTTAAATGGTTTTTCATAGGAATTTCCTAAAGCTTCGAAATATCTGCGGTTTATCTTATTGCTCTCGTTGATTTATTTTTGGAAAAAACATATCTATATTTATTTATTTATTTCTGTTTCTGGTAGTTTTCTGATACCTTCATGTTTTTTTTTCTTTTTTTATTTTATTTTCCTCTTTCATCACCATTTGGCACTGTGTATGAAGTCATTGGGTTTTCAGTTCGTTAAAATAAGTATTTCCTTTTTATTTTTTATGCTCAACTATTAATTCATAAGTATTAAGAAACATTATCTTAGTTTTTTCTAAGTGGTTGTTGTGACAGTTTATTATGATAATGCATCATATTTTATAGCAAAATATATAATCTGGAATTGATCAATAGCTGGTGCTAAAATATCTTTGAAATTTAATTTAAGACTGCAATTTCGGATGCTTTTATGTTTATAAAATTATCTGATTTTACTCATTGCTCTTACATTAACAGATTATTTGGTGGTACATATTTGGTAGTAAGTATGCAGAGGGACGTGGTAAAACGATTCTAAGATTTGAGAATGAAATGAGTTTGCTCGAAATCTCTCAAGGGAATCGAATAACTGTCCATCGATTCTGCGCACACGCGGCGAGGTCTTGGGTGTAGCGTCGTGGAACATTACGGATATCGCTAGTCAGTCATTTTCCGCACCCTATCCAAATACCATGTAGATATCGCTTGTTTGTTAGATATGCATCTTTCTCATTTCGAGTCTCCAATAATTATTAAACTTGGCCCTATGCAGAGAGGGAAATTAAAGGGAAATTCTGTACTATTTGGTCATCAATATGTATGGTCCTGTTTTATGCGCTGATTTTCCAACTCTCAAATTATATCATTATTGCTGCGGTTAAAAAAAAAAAAAAGTAGTTGGAATTGAGTTTGACGACGTGGTCTATTCTTTGGATGAATTAATTTCCATCAGGGCTACGCCTTTTCCTCTATATTCGACTTTACAGTAGATTGGGTTGTGGACGCTGCTTGCTGGTACTTAAGAGTTTTGCAATTCGGTCTTGAGCAGTTCATATATTTTGCATACTTTGCTGACATAGTCCTTTTTGCTGACAGTTATGAAGGGATGCAAGAAATGCTAGACAGCGTATCAACTAACACCTGCAAAAACTTGACTCAGGATCAGTGCGAATATAACGAAATTATTTTGCATATTTTGCATATTTGTCAGTTCATTATGGGTTGAGAAAATGGTAGATTTTAAATATGCACTATTATGGTCAAATTTAGGGCAAAATTGTAGCCCTTAATCCTGATTAATCGCTTCTCGAAATATGTTCTTTTGTCAAGCGAAACTTCTATGAAATTGCGGCGATATCCTAATCAAAATCCCCATTTAGGCTGCAATCATCCTCTTATGTAGCTGCGAATTTAACTGAATAAGTGGTCCAGTGACATGTGGGCTTAAGCGATGGAAAAAAGGAATGACTTTTTTACTCTCATATATGGCATGAGATCGAGTGTTTTCAAACACATTACCTTTGTAGCAAGCGCATCCAACAGAACCAGTTTAACCAGTAATGATGAAAGCTATTAGAAGAAGAAAGGAGAGGATCCAAGGAACTGCAAAAAAAGAATCAAAGAAAGTTTTAAAAATTTTTCTTTTTTATATCTCTTAAAGTCCCATATAATTCAGTCACCAGATGATACGGGAAGGGCTAAAAAAAGGTTAAAGACCCATGATTTTATATATTTTCATTCTTATGATTATTTTTCTTATTTATCGTGAAATCTAAAACTCTTTCTTATCTCTTATCTCTTCTTTCTTTTTTTCTAACAGATCTCAGCAATACTGGCTGAGCTGGTTCCGCTGGCTATAAAGGTACGACGTCTCCAAGCCGCTCGATCCGACGCCATTGCTAGTAGTAAGGGAAGTTATTCCTTTTTCCCTCGTCTGAGTCCATATATCTCTGGTATCTCTATACATTCAAAATCTTTCCTGACTGTATCAGTCCAGGTCTTGATTGGCCCTCTTCACTTTTGACACCAACCATCACAGGGTTCGGCAAATAGCGAACGAAATATGCATCAATTTCCATGGTGGAAGGAGAACATGACCCTAACCAGCGAAGGCAACGTGATAATCTTATTAATACAGTTGGTATTTGAGCGAAGTTGGGTACGTTCATGTGCGATTTTATCAACTCTGCGAACCAGTGAAATATGTCTTAGATATAATTGGTCAAAGGCTGATGGATTCTTAAATATCTTCCTCTCTCATTAGCCATGTGTCGCAGCCATATAGCAAGATCGAAGGAATCGCGACTAGATAGGCGGAGACTTTAGTTTTTATGGTGATCTCGCGACGGCTCCATAAAGGTTTTCGTCAACCGGAAAAACACATCTAGCTGCTGTTATCCGGATTGTAATTTCATCTTTTGCTTGGTCGTTTGGGATTAGAGTGGATCCAAAATATTTAAAATCGTATATTTCCTCAACTAGCAATGAGTTGATAAAAATATGTATTTTATATACATATTTATGTATTTTATATAAACAGCTTATATATAGCTTCTTTCCTTTCACTTTCTTTTTTCCATTGATTCTGAATCCAGTTCTCGCTGAAGTTGTTGATACATTGTTTAGCATTATTTATATTTTATTATAGATATTAACAAAAAGGACTATATTATCAGCGGTCTATATTACTCAGTCTGACCCTATGAACTAATTTGTACTAGCTATTTCTCTTGTGTGCCGACAAGAGATTATCCAGTCTATCGCATAGTTGAATATTAGGAGAAAGGACGTAGCTCTGATGGACATTAATTCTTATTTCGAAAGGATCAATCAGTTCCCCATATACAGACCTGTGCCAGGGTATGCTGATAAAATGCCTTTATGAGCTGAATGATTATCTCTGGGGCACCGTCACATTCCATCACTTTCCAGAGCGCTGCTCTATCAATCGAATCGAAAGCAGCTAAAAAATCGATAAAGGAAATCACGGTTGCTAATATTTGAAGCGATGTCCCAGTACTTTTCTTTAAATATCTGGTTAGTACAACTGCGTCCCGGTCTGAATCCAACGAAGTTAAGACGCATTCTGCTATCTCGTGTTGCCATGAGTCTATTTAGCAGAAGGAAAGCGAAAATTTTTCCGGAGATATCCAGTAGGCTGATTCCTCGATAATTGTCGCAATACGTCCTGTTATCCTGCTACCTCTCTTAGGATTTGAAGCAGAATTGTTTTGCTCCAATATTCTAGTATTATTTCCTTCTGCCATACCAAAGAATACATTCGTTGAAGGTGAGTTATGAACGATGATGAACAACATTTGAAGAGTTCGTCCCGAAGCCCATGTTCTCCTGGAGTTTTAATGGAGTTTTATTGAATTTTATTGGAACCTTAAGCTTATGGAGTAATTCCATTGTGTGGTAATTAAAATTATTTCCTCTTCTGTTGGCAGTTCGCAGTTGCAAACGTATGATTCGGCGAGCGAATCAGGTATATCCAGGATAACAAATGTCGCATCGTGGTTAAGTTTGGCCTCATAAAATTCTTTCCATATTCTGAGGCGATCCTTAATAGCCTTAACAGGCGACCCATTAATATCCCGTATTATTTCACTGACCCCTTCATGAGTTATAATTGCTTTGTGAAGAAGGCGAAATAGTTTCCTATTATCACCAACTGAGCCGCCGTCTCCATTTTCAAGGCTATATCGCTCCAATAGCGATTTCTGTCCAGCCATGCTACTGTCGTTGTAATTCTTCGAAGTCAGAATCTCTTGACATTCGTGCTTTGGCTGCTTTTTTAGATAATTGGACAGTTGCTTCCGATATCCAATTATTGCATTTCCTACTAGTATGGAAATATACTTTAGTATGGAAGTGGCTAACTTTTACTTTTTAGTTGGCACCAGTATTCATTCGCCATTCCCTGGATGTCATTGGCATTCATTTCACTGAAATGCTTCAATATTTCAGTTTGAAATGCACCTACATTCCCGAATCTTTTAATTTGAGGTCATTGAAAGATCTTTGGATACGTTGTTTCTTACGATTTGTCAATTTTATGCGAATCTTGGCTCGAACCATAACGTGCTCTGATCCATGACAGTTACCAGTTTCAGCGCCTCCATAGGAATTATCTGATACTCTTTTAACGGCGCCTGTCTAAGTTATAAATCAATGATTGGAGTAAATGATTAGTTATCCGGTGACTAGAAGCAGGAAGTATGTAGTTCGGCAAAATGAAGAAGGCATTTTCCATTGGCACTGGGCGCCTGTACCATATTTATTTACCATTACCGAATTCATCATAACGGCAGCATGATCTGCACATGCATTTATCCTTATCGCTATCATCTGCGCATAAATTTGGAACATATACACTGTTGGCCGAAATATTGCAGAATTTCCCTTTGAAGCACGTAAGCCATACGGTCATTTAATGGTTTCCAGTCAGTCAGAGTGGATCGAGACTTTTCAGGTATGAAAATCTCTACGCATTTTGCCCCGAGTTATACGAGACATTACAGTATTATAACTATTATCTTTGGTCGGAAGCAGGTTTAATAATTACTCGAGAGCCGAGATAATGAAGGCGGACTCCGAATAACAAACCATATCCACGCGATATTTAGAAAGAGTGTGGACAGTGATTGCTTGGCTTGCAGCGTCCATAAGCGTTCTGACGTTCCAAGCAGCTATAGCCAGTACTTCGCCGCGCTTACAAATTGTTAACGCATATGTTCGCGTCTCTCTTGACGGTTCGCGAGGATATCCTATGCTCAGGCCTTGCAATTACTTTATTATTATTATGTCGGTATATTTGTCGCATGTACCAGTGGGTTGGAGGTGTTATGAGCGTCGAAAGACGCGGACCACATGTCAAAGAGGCCTGACCATTTCACCACAGAGTCACTTGGGGATAGAGATGCGGGTGGGTCCCCAGCAGCCACCCGGATTTTTGATACCATGATGGGTTTGCTTCTGTAAAAGACAAAAGGTAAAGATAATTAAAAGAATAAAATTTTAAGAAAAAAAACAGTATTATTACATAATAATAATGCCTATTAGTGAATAATAAATAAATTATAAAATAGTAGTAAATTGATAAGTAAGTATCGTTTTTATTAATATTTATATTGATTAATGAGCAGAGCACCTTTTCGACACAACCGCTCATCGAAGAAAATACATTCATATATATCATATATATAACCTTATCTCTTATCCTGTTTATATCGCATATCTCGAGTGGTATAATATCGAAACAATCAGAAATGTGTTATATCAATTTACACTTCGTTCTTATCGTCGCTTATTGGATTCTGCATTCGTTTTATCAAATTCTTCATTGTAGCTTCTTTTATGATTTCCAGTACGTACATAAAATTGTTTAATCTCTTAGAATAGTACTTTTAATCTCCATACATGTTTTGCTATACTTTTTGCGAATTTATGTTGAATTTTTTAGGCCATTTAAGAATAGGTATTTAGAAATATATGTTGTATATATTATCGGCTGTTCAAAAATTGGTTGTGAAACCTGCAGAAGTTTCATCTAATGTTAAGTTACATTCATTACACATCAATCTTTCATTTTAAAATTTTTTCTCTCTGTAGTTAAACTGTAAAAAAAATGATATTATAAAAATTTTTGCTGCAATTCGAATCAATAGCCTTTGTAATACTGTAAATATTTAGTGAATTTAGTGAGTACTTTAACTAAATTCGAAAATTGATGAAATAAAATAAAATAAATAAACTTCATATTTCGAAGTCGTTCATCACAGTTGCCTATTTTTTTCGTGGTTCAGTGGTTTTATGATGTGGAATTAATTTTTGTTCGTTGTTCATTTTGTAATAATCATTTAACATTTCTAGGGTAGTATTTGATTTGCTATGGACTTATGTTTAGATTTGGCAGATTCATTTGCGAGAGTCGCTCTTTCATTAGAAAAATGGTCATCGCAAGTTGCAGGCCGAGAACTTCAACAAATTATAGCTCGAAGTATCGATTTGTTCGATAAAATTAAAAAGCTTGAAGTAAGCTTTCTTACATGTGATTTAAATAAATTTCCTTACAGCAAATGATTGCATTCGTGTCTTTCCCTTATTGGATAATTTAATTTAGTATTTTTTCATATAGAGGTAAGGAAACAGCTCTGTTTTAGTTGAAAATTAAAATTAATCAAAATATGTTAGAAAATAATTTGAGATAAGTTATTTAAGAGTCGAGTTGCCACAGATGAGGAGCTGAAACAAAGTGATACGTTACGATATTATATGAGAGATACCAGCGCTGCAAAGGTTCAAATTTTTTTTCGAATATATCACTTGACGCCTCTTCATCATTGGCATTGGCTTCTATAGTTCCATTTCTGTATTACAGTGGTCTTTTTGTTGAAATTCTTTTTATCCTTATGCATATTTTGCTTTTTTGTTTGTATTTGGTAATTTGATAACATTGGCATAGAAATAGTTTAATAACTGATAACAAGTCTAGTGGTATGTTTTTGCTGGATTCAAACATGAATTCTATTCTTGTCTTTGACGGAAATGATGCGGTCATTAATAGTGATTTCGACTGGTTCTGGGAACTCATCTAGCTTCAGATATGATAGCAAATTTTTTGAGAGAGTGCGAGAGGCTATTTATTATACATTGAAGTCAACTGCAGTAGAAATGGTAAATGCTGTTAGAAGATGAAGAATATTAAATAATTTATGTTGTAACCACTGTCACATGTAGAGTTTTGTTTTCATAGCTTTTGCTATCATAGTTATATAGTTTGATTGTAGGATTTGATTTATCGTCGAATGCGATGCTTAGCGAACTATGAGGCTGCCAATAAAAATCTTGAACGTGCTCGAGGCCGAAACCGAGAAATTGCTAAGGTGAATGAAAAATGTTAAAATTTTAAAAAGACTTTTAAAATTTAGAAAAATATTTTTGTTTGATCAAAATATTGTTGATCCTTTACTGTTAGTGATTATTATTGATTATTAATTAAATTATTACCGAACTTTTTTTAGAGCGAACTTTATGAATTTGAATTCGAAATAAATATTTGCAGTATAGTATAAGATAATAATTCATAGCAGATTTTAATACATCTTCTTGATTTCTCCATACCAAAAATTTCTGAACCGCTTCCTATATAGGCGGAAGCTGAACAGAATGAAACTTGTAAAAAATTTGAAGAAATAAGCGAAGTTGCTAAAGTTGAATTGCAAGATTTAAAAAGGCGACGTTTGGCTGGTTTCAAGAAAAATTTAGTTGATTTAACTGAATTACAAATTAAACACGCAAAGGTAATTTAATTGTTTATTGTTAATTTTGATTTTTAAATTGAATTTTAATTGAATTGAAATATAAATTAAATATATAAATTAATATATAAATATATAAATATAAACTGTTAAAAGTTTAATCATTTTTTAATGAAAAACAGCGAATCATGAAAATCATAAACTTAACATCAAAAAATTGTTATCTTAAAGATTGATCATTTTTTAAAATTTAATATTAATGAAATGATCAGTTTTATTTCGTTCAAGATTCCTTCTCCTTCTCCCTCCCTCCACTCTTTGTTCCACGAACATTTTTATTCTTAGAACCATTAGCCCTTTTATATTTTTTACTAATAACCGTTTTTTTAAGGCTCAGATTGCTTTACTTCATCAAGCGGCTACGGCTTTTGAAAAGGAACTGAAAAGAAATGTTTAAAAATTGTTAATTTGAGGCTACCAAAAATCATGACAAGTTTTAAACTATGCGGGATGAATTGATCATAAATATTTTTTTTGAAAGGCTAGATGTTTAATTTAAAAATAGATTATTTTGCTGAAAATTACCACAAAATTTTATGATTCTAAATCATTTTTGAGCCAAAAAAAGAAGGGAAAAAAGCATAGAAAGGTTTTAATCGGTTTCATCTATGAATTTTTTCAATTTTTTGACAAATTTTTCATTATTTTCAGTCTTTTGTGCCTATTTTTTTCTGTTTTTTGTTATTGAACTCTTTCATTATTTTTATCCATATCTTTGTGGATATTTGGTTTATAAATAATAATTTCCAATTGTTTTTAATTTATTTATATTTTTTCACTATTATTTTATGGTTTTTTAAATTTCATTCATAAACATTTTCATTTTGCTATTAACGAACAATTAAAACAGCAATTGATTAAATAAATGGATGGTAATTAGCAAATAAAATATTTTAGAAAATTTTATTATATTAAAATATATTTTTATCCGTAAAATTTTTATATGTTAAAAAATCGTAACTAAGACATTTTTATTATACCCATTTCAGCTTTTCAGTTTTGAATGTTTTACTCACAATGTTGGGTAAATTTTGTTTTGTCAAATGGTATCATACTTGTGATTAATTGGAAAAAGGAACAATTTCCAAAAATTGTGAGGTAAAAGTGAAGTTTTCTCGATTTCTTCTGATTTATTTTGTATATTTTTGTATTATCATTTCATACTAGTTGATTTGATTATCGGTTGTTTGAGAAGTTGTTAAAGAAATATTAGCAAAAATTTGTTTTTTTTTTCAGACATCTTTTGGAATTATCAAATTTGCGATTATATTGTGTGCATCATATTTTTTTGGAAAATTTTTACATAAAGATATTTTTGCAGCAGAAAAAAATCAGCAGTTCTTTTGATTAAAATTGTTGCAAAATGTTTTTCTCCGATTTTCCTCATGATTCAGTTATCTCTGAAAAGTTCTTTTCTAGAAATTATATGGAGAATTTGGAAAATTTATAAAGCTGATCTTTTTTATGCAAGAAATATTATTTCTCATGTATTTTTAAGGAATTTGTCAAATGTTATTAAATGTAACGGTTGTTTCAATGAGTGAAAGTTGTTCGGTATGTTGAGTTTATTTAGCTTAGTATTTTTTCTTTTTGCTTATTTATTGTTATTTTTAATGTTGTTCAAATTCCACCTAGACCAATAAAAATTTTTTTATAAAATATGTTGCTGATAAACTTTTTTTATAATTGGTTTTAAGGCCAATTTATTTAGAAAAGTTCATCTGTAATGCTTTATTAAGAAATAAATGCGGAGCAGCTGTGAAATTTGATGTAAGAATAAGTTTTTTCCTTCTGTTGTCATTCCTTCTTTCATCATCTTTCCAGTTCATCCTTCTCTATTCATTCATTATACCGTTACACTTAATACAGCTCACTTTTTTTGAAAAAAAGATTTGATTTCAACGATTTTGTTCGTAATTTAATCGGATTAACTGGTTTCTCCTGTAAATAGGAAACTCGATTTTTGACTGAATGACTAAATAATTGTAATGCGATGTTGTATTTTGACTAAGAGGGAAAAGGTATTGAATTAAATTGTGAGTTAAGCAATAGGATTAAAAGTTATAGGATCGAGACTTTGAGTAATTGGATTTTTGTTGCTTTGTCGTGATTTCGCTTAAAAAGTGAATTATGGCATTTAAGTTTTTTGAAAGTTTTTTCAACTCATTATCAGCTCCTAGAATAAACTACCAAATAAGTTATGTTTTTTTTCTAATAACTCACCATTTTTGGTTAGATTCACTCTGTTGGCTTATCAGACCAGGTAAATTTTACCAGGGACTCACCTGACGATATGTGTTGAGTGTCATCGGGTCATTATTAAGTTGGGCGTTTTTTAGGAAAAAACGACGGAATTTAAAATTTGTTCATTTTAATTTATTCAGAATTTTGAAGTGGTCGATTTCTTCTTTTCTGGTGACAGATTGTCTGAAAGAAATTTCGTGCAGCATTCTCAAAAAAGACCAATTTTTGAATTTTTTCAATTTTTTCAAGAGAAAAACGACCTTATAAAAGTAGAAAAGTAGTTGAACTATAGAAAATGGGGAAAGAAACAAGCGAAAATTTCCATAGGAAGGCCAATGCGTTCTAATTCTTTAAATGCATTTCTTGAGAAATGTTTTTTTTTTAATTTCCATATTATTTTTGTTGGAGAGTGAAAACTGGACAATAAAATCGTACTGGTGATGTTTTTACTATTTCCTTAGAATATTTTCCGTGTTGTCTTACGTCATCACGTCTGATTCATCTGTTTGAGTACAGCGAACAATTTTCTCGGCCTTCTAATATGCATCTTCTGCAGGTTTGCTTGGTTCTGTTGACCAAAATATGATCTTTAGCATTATCCACATTTTATATGTGGAGCCGATCCGCGTTGTTCGCCCTCAGAATGAGACATTTTATTATTTTATTAAGATATAGCAATTTTTGAAGTACAAATGCACTCAACCCTTTGGTACTTATCGTGCTATCGTGGTCCTTAATATTGATTAGTTACTAAATGATTACTTGGAAATTAGTATTGGTTTTGTTGATCCGTAGATTTTTGCCGATTTTGGATTTTTTGTTAAACAATCGATTGGGGTTTTTTTGTTTATGTAATTGTCGATCTGAAATTTTATTGGAATCGTTTTCATTCGAAAGTGTTTCTACATCGAATTTTTGTTTTTTCCAAATAAAAAAAAAGAATTTCGTAAATAGTTTTTTTTTTGTGTGAGCATGTTGTGAATGATAAGAAGATGTAGGCAGATTTACTTCATTAAGGTTGTTCAGTTGACGATGAGTGTTGGTGAAGGTAGCGAAAATATTGTTATACCATGGCCAAACAAAAAAGACGATTATGTACTGGAAGAATCAATTGGAGTTGGTGCAACTGCTACGGTTTATAAAGTTAGAAAATTTTTTGCACTTTTATTTTCATTCTTCGTAGTAGTGTATTAGTGATTTGATTTCATAGAAACATAGTAGTGTATTAGTATTTGATTTATTTAAGATGGGGCTATTTTATTAGACATTTGGTTTTATTGGTAACAGTACAAAGCAAAATGAAATCTATAATTTTTAAATGGAAGTAGTTTTTTACAATTTGTTTGTTATAAGATTAAGCATAACGTTTGTTTCTGTTTTGTGAGAAATAGAGAAGTTTTATTAAGCCGTTTGAGTTCAAGAAATAGAATGGACATCTTTTTTAATAGCTGTAACGTTATTTAACAAAAAGATTGGCTATTAGTAACAGTAATTGAGAAATTACTTTAATTTTTGAAAAAATTTAATAACTTTATTTTCATTAGGATTTAATTGTTTTTTTTTATTAGAATAGCGTTTTCTATTTGCTGAAATTTTTTTATATACAATTCACATATCAGGCATTATGTGTACCTCGTAATGAATATTGTGCGATCAAATGTATCAATCTGGAAAAATGTCAAACTTCCGTTGATGAATTATCACATGAAATACAGGTGAAGAAATTTTTTCCTTTTTTTCAGTTTTCCTCATATGAAAATGGCATTTTTTTTGTGCAAATTGCAAAAACTAATATTTTAAATGAAATGTTTTATTCTTTTTTTTTCATAATTTTTATGCATTTAATCAACATGTCCAACATAGAATCTTCACTGATTACTGAATTTTTTCAATGCATTGAAATTTTTTGATTTTTTTCTTAATTTTGACTTTCTTGTTCTATAGGCAATATCACTTTGTTCGCATCCAAATGTAGTCAATTACTATACCTCGTTTGTCGTTGGTGAAGAATTATGGGTGGTAATGCGCCTTCTCAGCTGTGGTAGCATGTTTGATATACTAAAGCGAAGAATCAAGGTATGTTTTTCTTTTTTTCTATTATGAATTCTTTTTTTATTTTTTTTAAGTTCATTTCTACCATAAATATAAATATTAAATATTTGGATTAATTCCTTATATTTGCTAGTTTGATTTTAGCCTTAAATAAAGTTGCTATAATTTTATAAAGTTTCTCCATATTTCGCTGCAACTGTATTTTTTTTTTTAAATGAAAAATTTTTTGACATCAAGTTTGACAACTATTTCTTTTTATCTAAATCCTGCTTGAGGCTATGGGAAAGGATTCCGCTGCATCTGGAGTCCTGGATGAAATAACAATTGCAACAGTGCTGAAGGAAGTCCTCCGTGGCTTGGAATATTTCCATAATAATGGTCAAATACATCGTGATATCAAGGTGATGAACCTAAATTTTTTTTGGAATCTTTTGATTTTGTTGAAAAATAAAATATTCATTTTTTTCATAAAGAAAAGTATTGTTCAAAATATTTATTGTCAAATTTTTTTGGCAAAGAAATAATGTTTTAAGGCTGGAAATATTTTAATAGCAGCTGATGGCACCGTGCAAATTGCCGATTTTGGTGTTTCAGGATGGCTTGCAGCAAGTGGTGGTGATTTATCCAGACAAGTAAATATGCTTTTTTACATTTCGTACTAGTACAAAACGTATATAGATTTCGCAAGATATTAAAGTAGAATATTTACAGTGTTGTTAGAGAGTTGATTGTTTAATAATTTTTGCTTGATTCTGTTTAGATTTTATAATATTTTTTAATGATTTATGATGGATTTTGAAATGCAAGGTGGTTAAGTGGTTAATTCATTGTTAAAAGTTGTTTGAAATGAAATTCTCTAGGGCAGATTATTAGCGGATTAAAAGCAATTTTTTAGCATTAGTAGATTATTAGCATCTTTTTTGGATTGTCTATCTGCTTTTCTTCTTCTTTTTGGATTTTTTTTTTGGATTTCCATTTTTTTTTAAATTTCGAAATTTCTGTTCTCGAAAATAAAGAAATTTCAACGACTATAATATTTCGTTTTAGAAAGTGAGACATACTTTTGTGGGAACCCCTTGTTGGATGGCGCCAGAAGTCATGGAGCAAGTTTCTGGTTATGATTTCAAAGCTGATATTTGGAGTTTCGGTATTCTAGCTATTGAACTGGCGACGGGTGCAGCTCCATATCACAAATACCCGCCTATGAAAGTATTAAAATGTTTAGTATTTTTCTGGAATGAATCGCTTAGTGATTCTCTTTGATGGTTTTAATTTACTTATAGGAAAGCTATTTTGGATCATATAATTAGTTTCTTCTAATAAAAGAAAATATACTATGCCTTTAATTTTTATATTTTTCTTAAACTAAAAAAATTGCTGATATATCATATATGCAGGTACTGATGTTAACATTGCAAAATGATCCACCATCACTGGACACAAATGCGGAGCGTAAAGATCAATATAAAGCTTACGGCAAAAGCTTTCGTCATCTTATCAAGGATTGTTTACAAGTAATCTAATCCATCAGCTTAAACCTAAATGCTTGAATATTGCTTCGAATCCATTTAGCTGGCTGAGTTGTTTCAGAAAGATCCTTCAAAGCGTCCAACTGCCACAGAACTATTGAAATATTCGTTTTTCAAGAAAGCGAAGGATAAAAAGTATCTTGTACACGCATTGATCGAAAATCTCGCCTCTCTCCCGCTTCCATCGTCACATCATCAGCATGATCTTCCAAAAAAGGTGATAAATCTTGTTACTTATAATTTTTCTGGTTCATTCAGATTTATAGTTTTTACTACTTTTGCCTCTTATCTAATCATTATTATTTTATGAATTTATTGTTTTTACACATAAATTTTTTTCATTTTATCCCAGTTTATTTAGGTCCACTCAGGCAAACTGCGAAAGTCTAAAAATGGAAATTGGGAATTTGAGATTGAAGAAACCGGTGAAAATTATGACAGTTCATCAGGTAGTGATCGAGATCAGCAAGTGGGAAGTAAAGATATCAAGGTTTCTCCATCTAAGAGTTTGCAAGATGCCTCACCTCATATCTCGTCAGTGAATAGTCCTCCGGAAACTATGAATTTGGTATGGTAATTTTTTCCATATTTTTTGTTCTCAGCAATTTAGAACGAAAGCAGTTCAATATTTGTTCATCTTTCATGTCACCTTACACTTACGAATACTTACGAATGTTTTTATAACCAGATATCGGATTCTTATTTCATAATGATGATGAAATTATTCATCATAATACAGCACATTTTAAATTTACTTTCCGAAATTAAGGTTTTACGTGTGCGAAATGGCGCTAGAGAACTGAACGATATAAAATTTGATTATACTGCTTCCGTGGACACCGTCGAAGGTATTGCACACGAACTTGTTACTGCTGAATTGATTGATGGTCATGATATTGTCGTAGTTGCTGCTAATCTACAGAAATTGATCGACCTTGTTCAGCAGAAAAGTCCACGGAAGTCGGTTACTTTCGCTCTTAATTCAGGGGTTTTGCCGAATGAAATTCCTGATGAGCGCCTTCTCATTGGGTTTGCGTCGATATCGGTTTTGGACTGTTGATTATCGGCATTACAATCAGGTCTAATTGTGAAATTATTATTGGTATTATTAATATTTTTTTACTAAATTTTTATGAATTTGTAATTGGCAAGGGTTTCTGTGATTTTTATTTTTCATTAATTTTTTTAATTGAAGGTATAAGTATTGAAATAGAATCTCCCCACGTAACTTTCTAACATCATTGTTTTGTAAAATTTTTAACGATATATGTCGATTATATTTATGACTGTCTAACATCAGAAAATTCGTTAGGTCTTTCATATTTTCTTTGAATAGTTTGAGGACCTCAGTTAATAGATTTAAAAAATCCTTTGCTTAGTTATCTTTACTTAGATTCGTTAAAATGTTTTCTGATTTTTTTTTATCGCTGAGGTGATTCTGCTATCGAAAATTATTAGCGAAGTGGACGTTAGGCCTTGTTAAAAACCATAGGAAAAAATGGTCCTTAATCACACATTGTGTTTCCTTCTTTTTTAGAGATTTTTTAAGTTATTCCTGTGTTTTTCTTTGATCTAAAAGCATTTAAGCACCAGTATTTATATGGTTTCCTTATGGTTTGGTTAATTATATTCTAAAAAAAATTCGTTTATGCAATTTTTTATAATAAACGCGTGCCTAAAGATATGCTTAATTTAACCTCATTTTAAACCAAGAGTCAGTCCAAAGTCTAGTTGACATGGTACTTCAGACCAGAAAATTTTTGCCCTAAGCCTTAAGTCTCAGCTTAATAATGTTTATCGTGGTCACTTTTTTCGCCTTTCCTTATTTATTACCAGCTTTGTTTTTAGTCGCTTAAATCGTATTTTAGTTTTAAAATGTTTTGGATTGAGTATTAATAATTTTTTGCAATGCAATGATATGAAATATTATGATATGAAATAACATCAATTTATTATATTTTTTAGGGGTTTTAGAACAGAACAGGTTTTAGAACAGAGAAAAAGGGGTTTTATCCGTAATTAGCTGTTATTCATAATAGTAAAAAAATTGATTTTAGGATTAGGAATATTTGGTTGAGAGAAGATTGTGCCATGCATAACTTCGGTCTTCCTTTCTTTCATATTTATTCAATATAGAAAATTGCGATCGTTTAAATCAATTTATTTGCATTTTAACACGAATTTGTGATGAATTTTAATTTCTCGTTTTAAAATTAGAAATAATTAATAGTATGTGTTTTGAACTAAAAGAATATTATTTACTGGGATATTTTTTCCTCTCAAGGAAAAAAATCATTTACCGAATTTGACTGATTAACTTTATCGAAGTAGAAATTTTCCTTTTGTATCTATTTAATTAAGGAACCCTTGGCTTTATAAATACGAAAACCCTAGAAAAGCTTTTTGAAAAGTTCGAAATAGAAAGTGCGCTTATTATGATCGTTTTACACCTTTTTTCACGAAAAATTATGCATCCTGATCGGTCAATAATTAATATATTTTTTGGAATTTCTTGGAAAAGGATGGATCAGAAGTGTATCCATCGGTGGACAAATTTATTTAGCGGGTGATTTCGATAAGTTTTCTAATAAACCGTTGTCAAAACGATCATTTAATATATTTTTCATTTCATTCCCTTCAGCAAGTAAATTTTGTACGAATCATCCCACTTAAGGCAGTAAAATTTAATATTACTTTCCAGACGATTTGGTTCTTTCTTTCCATGTAAAATTTTATTTTTTTTCTTATGTTTGGTGTTAAAACATAAAAAGAATAATCTAGTAAAATAAGTACAAAATTATCTGGAAAGAATGGTACATAAAATGAAACCTAAATTTTGATGGAAGTATGGCTGGGACTGTTTTTTTTCTCTTTTGCTCAACGATTCTTTATGAATATAGTAAAACTGGATCGGTATTCTTGCATTTTTGCAAATCTATTTTGATTCAATTAAAGGGATTTTATGGAAAGGAGTACTTCTTGTGGGTTTAATGGATTTCCTAGGGTTTTTTTGGCGCAATACATTGAATACCGGTCGTTTAAATCTAATTATTGTGATTCTTGATACTTATGCATTAATGCCTGACTATCTTTATCTATTGAAATTTTTAAAAAAAAATTTTTGGAAGATCGATCAGATGAAAAGAAAAAATTGAATAAAATTTTCAAATAGTCAGTCTTTTGCAAGGAGTATCTTATTTTTAAATTTGTAATTTACATTTTTTTCTGTTAAAATTTAATAAATTTTTTTTAAAAGATTGGCTTACAGAACTGTTAGATATCTATCATTGCAACCGAGACTCAACATAATGCATGTGTTTATCAAACAAGCTTTGATAATTAAACAAGTTTCTATGTATTTGATGGATTTTGGAAATTCCATGTTGGATAGAAGGATTATAATCGAGGAAGAAATTTTATTTAAATAAGGAACATGCGAATAATTTAATAAAAGTAATTTTGATGAAAATAGCATTTAGGTAGGTGATAAGTTGATCGGTATTTAGACCATGAAGTGGCATAAACAGATTTAAAATTTAAATTTAAAATTTAATTTACAAAGATTTATTTTGTCGATAAAAACACGTGCGTGTAGGCAGTTCATTCCATTCATCCTACTTTTAGAATTTCTAGAAGAATTAAAAGTTGGGCTTATAATTTGCAAAAATAGATCACTGCATTACCTGCAAGATTGCCATTATATATAAATTTATCGTTTTTTAAAATTCGATCTTTTTTATCGTTTAATTATCTATCACATATGGTTAATGGATGAGCGTTGATGGATTTGTGTGGATTTTTTTTCGAAATTTTCTAAATTGTATTGAATTAAGCTCGCTGGGTATTTGCTCTAGTTTGATACCAAACACCTGGCTGGAAACGGTTCCAAACGATTGCTCCTTCACCAATTTCGGGTTCTGGTGAACTGTTTAACTCCAGTAAAACGTCAGGGTGTTTTGTCGTAAGCCATGAACGCCATGTAATACGCCTTAATTTCTCTATTAGCTTCATGTTTTGTTACAATGTTAATTTTTGCAGAAATTGCTATAAATAAGAGATTTTGCTGCACCAGTGTTTCTACATATTTTTTGGGTTTTAGAAATTCCCGGTTGGGCAAATGGTTGTTTCTTTTTTGGATTAGTATCTGCTTGGCCTAAAATATTTATAGTTAATGGTACAGAAATAACTGAATTTTTTTTCGAACTAATGAAGTAAATCACTCATAAAAGAAAATACAAAAGAAATAAAAAAGTCGAAAAAATACCTGAACTTCTCACGGCCATTGTTGGGAATGGTAACAGATGGTTCTGGACTTGTTGTAACTTCTCCGTTTTTTTCAGTAGTCCTTGAGGTTGTGAAAAGCTTGCGCCATATTGGAATATTTTTTGATAGATTTCGCCTTTCATTACTCGTAACCGATCTTGTTTCATTTAGGTTTGCCAGCTTCAACAATCGAGCATCGATTTAAAGCAAAAAGAATTTTTTTTAGTGATTACAGTGGTTAAATGATTTGCCCATCATCACAGAAGCATTGATATGGCTAGGAATGAGCTGAATTCAGGTGGTTTTCATCTAAATTTCAGACACAAAATTTTGCAATTCAAAACTGAATTCTGCCGATTTGAATTTAAATTTTAAAATATTTGACTGTAAATGAAGTTAACATGTATTTCGAATCGGATGTTGATGGTGATCCACCTGCTACTGCTAAATGAATCTGTGGCAAAAAGGGTAAAATGGTTAACCGTGCTAATAGTCAGCGACGCGAGCTTACTAGAAATAATGAGCGCTTACCACTTTAGTAAGAATAGGGGGCTTAAGAAATTTTATTAGAAATATTAAAATATTTCATTTCTGAGCGGTCGTTTCTGTTCTATTATTCTCTTACATTATTTATGGAACTTAAAATTTGCTGCAAACAATAAAGCTAGTTTCTTTTAAACTTCTAAAACAAATAATTAAAAATAAATTTTGTTTTGAATTAGTTTTATTTTAAATAAATAATTAGATTTTAAATTAAATTATATAAAAAATTTCCCTTTTCACTCTCTGTGGGTGTTATGGGTTATCCTTAACCTCGACATCGGAGGATAATGCAATGTGACCGTGTTCCAGAGAAAATCATTTGACTCATAAAGGCAGCATTTTATCAGCATACATTTTTATAGGTGTGTGTATATGGGGAACTAACAGTCTCCTTTGAAATAAGAACTGGAAATAAAACGAAAGTATTTTTGCCTTATATACGAGAAGCTAATACCTATTTTTATCAATTCATTACCAGTTGAGAAAGTGTCTGACTTTAAATGTCTTGGACCCACTCTAATCCCAAATGGGCAGGCAAAGGATGGAATTGTAACTCGGATAACGACAGCTAGAAATGTTTTCTGTTTGATATGAAACCTTTATGGAATCGTCACAAAATCACCATAAAAACGAAAATCCGCGTCCATATAGCTGCAATTCGCTCGATCTTGCTATATGGCTTCGAAACATGGTCAGTGAGAGTGAAGGATATTAAGAAGCTATCAGCCTTTGACCACACATACCTAAGATACATTTTATGGACCCGTCGGACAAAAGCGCATATGATTGTATCCATCTTCGCTCAAATACCACCTGCATTAATAACGTTATCACAAAGCATTGTCTTCGCTGGCTACGGCAAGTTCTTCATCATCCACCACAGGAGTTAACAAATATTTCATTTCGTGCTAAACCTTGTGATAGTGGTCTAAGGCGCCAGATTCAAGTTCTTGTATCGTGATCGATGCGTGGGTTCTAACCCCACTCCGTGCAAACAATTTTGTGAAATCGTATAGCCATTCTCATGACGTCAAAAGCGAAGATGGCCAATTAAGATCTGGACTCATATAGTCAGGAAAGATTTTGAATGTATAGGGGAACTAAGCGATATAAGGACTTAGACGATGGAAAAAGGAATGGCTTCAATTACTACTAGCAATGGCGTCGGACCAAGCAGCTTAGAGATGTTTTACTAAGATGCGAACTGTTAGAAGAAAAAGAAAAAGAATAGAAAGTCCATACTAAAAAATCCGAATCTGTATCAACCTTAACATTTTCATTAACCATTGTGCTGTTCAAGATTCCAGTTTGAGGGTTGCAAATTGAAGTTGCATAACAGCGTGAAATTACCTGAAAGAAAATTATGATTTCCTCTAAGTTATTTCCAAATTTGAGTTTAGCAGTGGCATCCATTCTTTTTGTGTGAACGTAAATATACTAAAGTATTACCATTAAAACCTTTGGCAGCCAGACGAAGCCAACGCATCCCTTCTCTAAATAACTTTTAAATACTTTTAACGCATCCCTTCTTTAAATAACTTTTAAATACATGAAATCTAGGGATCTAGTGGGAAAACAAAGTGATATGAAAATATCCGAGATTCCTAGTGATGGCAAAGTCATATTACTTCTACTACAGTGGCTTGTTGCATTCATGATTAAAAAATTCGATTTTTTTAACTTTTTTCACGTGTCATCATGAAATATCCAGGAATCTGCAGAAAATCTATGGATCGCAGAAATATTAAAGATAATTTCATTTATGAACCATAGATTTCATTTTCAATTCTTGAGCGTCTGAGGGTAACTAGTAACTTACTATTGGTATGGAATAATTAGCAAATTTGGAAAAAAGTTTATCTTTAAATATTGTGTTTAAAATATTCACCTGATGTATATATGCTTTAGCTTTATATGGGTCATTTTTGTGTTTCATAAGGTTTGTGTCAAATAAAGAGTTGGTTCTGCAATACGCTGGATCGGATGCATCCTGACATACGAATTGCAGTTTTTCACCTAAGAGTCTTTTTTGAAATTTTTGAAAATTTTATTATTTAAATTATTATTATTTAAAACTTTATTTTTTATTATTTAAAAGTTTTTAAGTGAGGAAAACGATATTACTTTATTTTCGATTCTATACCAATTTTTGTCCGACAAACATCAATTAGATCCGCTCTTCAGGAAGCGAGATTCCAAATTTCCCTTAGTCATGATGCATATAAAAAGTCGATCACCCACTAAAATCGGATTTTCTGCATCTTCACTCCGTAATTTAACTACTGGGTGGTATTGGTTATTGAGCAAACTCGTAAAGTGTTCCAGCTAGAATCTTCGACAACCATTCTGGTGAATGGCCTCTGGTTTAACCACAAAAGTTGCACTGCGACTTGTACATGGGCGGTAATGAGCATCTAATCCTTATATTAACACATTAAAGGCTTTTGAATAGCTCTTTGAATAATGAATAAAATAAAGGCTTTCGGTTATCAAAAATAGGAAAAATTAATTATTTAACAGTGACAATTTGGAATAAAGAACCTTTCTCAAAACAATAATTAAAGCACATAATCCCGAAACCGATTTGTTGGCAAGCACCAATTCTAGACGCGTAAATATTTGCACAAGTCTTTTTGTACTGAAATCCGCTAAATGACAGTGGTCATTTTCTCAGAGAAAAATGGGTTAATTATTAATGAAAGTATAAATGCCTTTTAATTGATCAATCACCTGAAAGTTTGAACCGACAGGTTCAGTGATTCCGCTTCGAGGAACGATCCATGTTTTATCAACTATTTGTAAAAGCTTGTTTAATTTTGACACATCAAGTGTTTCAGTGCGACCTATTAATGATGGGCTTCTCGTGGAACTCGTTCGCGACTCTAATTGTTCTTTTGGGCGATAATACGCGTTTATGTCGATGTCATACATTGGAAAATTCGTTTCATCACCTTCAATGAATCAAAATGATCAGAGGTTGCAATTATTTGTACCATAATAATAGAACCACTATAGGTGCAAGTGCAATAAATTAAAAGCAAGCCTTTCAGGAAAATAGAAAATTGGAACTGCCTTGGCAAAAAATTTTATAAAGTTGGTTTAATAAACAAACTGCAGATGAAGACGAATACTGAAGAAATGGCGCAATATCTTAACAAATACATGACTGAGCGTTTATCAATGGAACTAGTTCCTAAAAATGTCGACAACATATAGTTTTTAAAATCAGTAAAATTTAGCAATAAGCAATGACAATAGAAATAATGATTTTAGAAAAAGATTAAAGTGGTAATAGCCAATAATAAGGGGTGAATATGGACAATTATATGGACAAACAACTCGGTTCTTGTTTTAAAATCTGCCAATATGCAAAAATTGCAAGACTGAATCCTTTATTACAACTGGACTAAACCATTTTTTAGATGGTTTGTGGAAAAAACGAAGCAAAGGAAACGGTGGTAAACTTAGCCGTTTATGCTAATCTAAATTTTATGCTAAAATGCAAATCTTTTTGGATTTTCATCCCTCGTATTGCTTTTAAATCAGTTGTTGGTTCAAATAAATCCACAGTTACCAAATAAATTTAGCTTTAGAAATTAGCAAAGGATGTCTTAACTTGTTGCAACTAAATAATAAAATTGTTTACCAACTGACTTCCGACTTACTAATTTAACCGTCAACAGTGACCAGCAGCAACTTGTCCAATTAGTGATCAGTATTTCAGCTAATCTAATTCAAGTAGCATTATATAGTCGTCGATAGTAAAAAGTTTACCTAAAAGCTTTCTAGATTTGTTGTACTGTTTGCTATGCAAATTGAATATATTTCTATAATACATCTTCAAAAATTCATCGTAAACTGGTCCTTTTTTCCAAATTCTTTACTAAATTTCATTTCATTTTCTCTTCTCATTTCAACAATTGTTTTCAAAACGAAAAAAACAATTATACTTCATATAGACGAATAAAAAAAAAATAAATGGAAAAATGGATCGGATGAATGGTTCGCAGGTTAGATTGTCAGAGAGAGAACTTTTGTAATTGGTTTGATGGTCAACGTTTGGTCACGATTTAAAGCAACTGTCTTTATGCTTTATAATTACTTTATAACAAAGAAAAATTTACCTTCAAAACATTCACGCTAAAATAAAGGGTGATTTTTATTTGCATTAATTTTGGATCTTATCGTTTGCTTACTTGAAAAAAATGAATTTTTTTCCAGCAGCTTTGTTTATTCGATGATATGATGGAAAGAAGATATCTAGAAATTGCATGAATACTTCAAAAGATCTTAGTTATGAAACAGTAGTTGCTTCAACTGATATGGTCGGAGAATATAGGTTCAATTACTGCCACTAATCTATTCCATTCAATGAACCCTTAACTAGAATTGCAGCACTCTCCTAAGAAATGCCATCGTGCAATTAGCATCAGGTGAAACTGCGTCAGCAAAGTTATTTTTTAAGAAAATTTTATTGTATTTTTAATATTGTGTCTTTGAAACTAGACTCGTGACACATTTGCTTGTCCAACAAACCAGCGGAGCGAGTCTAAATTACAACAGTGAGTGCTCTTGAGAAAAAAAATTATTGCTTTAAGAATAGTGCAAGGAAATACGCAATAAGATAAGCTAATTAGGGAATCATTTGATTTATTTGCAGTTTGTCAAATGCTTGACATTTGACATTTTTTGTTTCTTACTTAAATTTGCTACTTAAAAGCTGGAAAAAAGATACTTAAAAGGTTTCAGAAATTAATGTATATCATCCATTTGACTATTTTATCCATTTCTGGCACTAATGTTCTGACCACAGCGTTTGACACCATTTCAAATGAAACAAACACTGTAAGCATTGAAGTGTTCCTCTTCTATTCTAACTGCACTCATTATTTCTGGCTTGCTTTGTTCCAGTGGCTATTAGGATAAGACTCCTTCACCAAAATAATTTGTGGACAGTATAACTGAATCTCCAGCATTATTTGAGTTTCACCTTTTATATCGACCAAAGGGTGCGAATCGTTGGTGTGAAAGCAAAAAAGTGCAGATTATTCGCTAAAGTTGTAATGAAACGTGAAAAATGAGAAAGATACGCCTTGAGTAAAATACGAAGATTTTATCGAAAAGATGACCCAATTCTGCAATTCATTTACATGAAATGTGCCTCCAAGTAAAGAATTACTCGGATGACAAAAATGTTCAATTTTTATATAAATATTTCGGAATTATTTTACTCATTCTGCAGCAAGCCAGGTTTTTTTTTTGAAGCGAGATATTATTGTTTTAAAAACTTCTTTTCACAAAGTCGTGATTTAGCATGCCACTTCTGGCTCGATTATCACGATACCGAAAACCAAGTGAAGTCTTTATTACGACTGTCAATGTGCTAACTATGGAAGTGATCAAACTTGTTGTATGTTCAGTAGTAGTAGCAGTTAATGAAAATTCTTTACGCAGGTAAAATTATGGAAACACGCAGAATACAGGCCATACTACGCTCCTTGTTTATATAAAAATTCCACGATTCACGCACGTCATGTTGTAATAGACGAATAATCGAAAATCATAGCCTCCTAGCTCTCTTTACTTCCTAATGCCTTATTATGTTGGATCGCTGTCCTAATTATCATTTGAATTGACTAAAAATTCTAGGCAAATCGGTTATATTGCATTATTCGTGGCATTTTCTTCCAATTTCACCAAGGCCATTTCAAAAATAGCGAAATTTTTAAGAAGCTAAAAAAATTTTTAATAATTTTTTCAAGAAAAAAATTGTATTGCGATCTACCCATATAATATGAAAAAATTTGTACTTGTCGAAATTCTATTTTTCAAATTTCATAAACATGTAAATATCGATAGGATGACGAAAGAGATATGCATTGCTGTTATTGTTATTGGATCTCATGCAGTTACTTAGTGATCTGAGTTAAAATGAAATGGATTGATTAAATAGGTTGCAAAGGATATTTGTTACTTTTCTGTTGTATTTTTACGAAATCTTTCCAGATTTCTTGCACAGTTTCATGTGGCTGTTATACAAGAACCAACTGAGATGTTCAAACTTTGCGTACCTGGCCTCATTTATGCATTCCAAAATAATCTTTACTATATCGCATTATCACATCTCGATGCAGCAGTTTTTTATGTGAGTTATGAGAATACAACCCGTGCAAAATATGCCATTTTATTTAATTTCATTATGAAGATTGTCTTGAAAGATATGAAAAATTGATGCTATTAATTTAATTAACCAACAAGGCATGTTGATATATATCTTGCTCATATCGAAGAGTTTCCAAAACCGATTTCGGCAATTTTCGTAAACGTAAGATAGCACAGGCGAGTGGTTGTTGCTCAGATTATTATCTCGAATGTCATAATTCGAATCCTACCTTCGACACCTATCATCAAAAAGTCGGAGTGGTACCAGCAAGTCGGAGCATCTGTACTTGTCTCCAAGAGACTCAGTGGCAAAAATTTTTCATTATACTGTTCAGTGGAATGAGCCCTAAAAAATAATTTTCCACAGCTATTGAATGAGAATTGATAAACAAATATTGCATAATTCAAATTTAATAGAAATTGCTTTCATTAAAAGAAACAGATAAGCTCGAAATGCTGAGGCTTAACAATAATCTAAAAAGTTTTCAGCTGCTTTATCAGACAAAAATTCTGACAACTACCATATTTTTGCGAATCTTTCTCGGGCGTAGTTTCTCTCTTCGGCAATGGCTTGCTTTAGTTCTTCTCATTATTGGTGTTGCTGATCTTCATTTAAATCATAAATCGCCAAAATTATCTCCTGGCATCGAACAAAATCCAACTTTAGGATTAATAGCTGTTTTCATGATGTGCGTGACGTCCGCATTTGCTGGTAATTCTTTAGTTATTTGTTTGAACTGCTAGTAGATAGATATTCAAATGCTTAAAGCATTATTTTCGATCAATGACTCGAGTTTTAGGAGTTATGAATAGTTCGGCGCTTTTCAGGAGTTTACCTGGAAAAGATTTTGAAACAAAGTGCAATCAGTATATGGATGCAAAATGTGCGGCTTTCACTGGTCAGTATTCCATTATGTGCAACATCAATGTTACTCAAGGATTACGCTGTCATTACTAAAGGTAATCTTAATTTTTAAATTTTTGATGTTATTTCTTTGTTTAAAGTAAATTCAGCTGTTAAATGAGCTAATTTCAGACGGAGCATTCAGAGGTTTCGATTTACTTGTTTGGATTATGACGATAAGTAATTCAGTTGGCGGGATTCTCATATCCATAGTCGTTAAATATGCTGATAATATTCTTAAGGCTTATGCTCAAGTAAGTTATAATTCTAATAGATAAAACTGACAGCAATATTTAAGTATGTATACAATATAAGTATATAAGTATCCGTAGTTCTTCACAAAATTTCATCAAATGGCCATAATTCTCGTATTACTGACATCGATACTCTTCCATAAAATCAGGAGAGATCCACTCAGAAATTTTATTGAAATAATTAAGGAACTAGGCCTAGTATTTCTTTATTATTTTTGCAACAAACCTTTAAATTTGATGATTTTGACTGCATAAATTTAAGAGTATAGCGATCATTGGTGCTGCCATCGGTTCGTGGATATTCTTCGACTTTACGCCAAATTTTGAATTTATACTGGCTTCAAGCATTGTTATTCTTTCTGTTTACATTTATACTGCTTATCCTTATAAAACTGCTCAGACTGTTTAATAATATGTACAAAATTATTGTCCGTAAATAACTGTTCTCCATAAATGTAAAAAGCCTGATCAAAATATTGGAATTTCCTTTTTTTTTCAAACAGAAGCCTACGTAATGGAAAAAAATATAAGGAAAATACAAGTAAATGTGTCGATAATCAATTGTCAGCTCCTCGTTATTCAGATTATCACTTCTTGCATTATGATTCGGTTCTTGACCTTAACAGAAGTAAGCCGGTCATTAAAAAAGTCCAGATAGTGCTAGGGACTCATCTATTTCTAGCCTCAAGCGACTCCTTGGCAAAAGATGTCCCATCCTATTAATAACTACTAGTCTAGCGAAACTACAAATAACAAAAGATCATTATTGCTGGTCAGACTCGCTCCGCCGACTTGACGAAGAAATGTGAGTCCATTGGCGGTAGAAATATGAGTGACCATCATCTGAAAAACAGGTTTACTGCAAAATGGAACCTCATGGTCGATGCTCTGAGTCATTTCAAGTCACTCAGAGTCACTCTCTTTCTGCTTTCCTCGTTAGGCGACGACATTACCGCTCGACGAAGCTGCGTCGGTGGGATTCGAAGTGAAGCTTCGGCTCGCAGCGAGTACTATCTCGTCACTGAGTTACCGACGCATCCTTGTTCTTATGATTTAACCATTTACTTATATCAAAAAATGCACAGATTCGAGTTTATTTAACATTTTTCTTCAGAAATTCATAATAAATCCAATTAAAATCTGTGGTTTAAAATGTGGTATGTTAATAAAGAATGTGAAGCATATATAGGCTTCCAAATCGGAAAGAGACCGCAATGTCGATTATCCCCTATGGACACAGTGAGTCGTTGTGAAATATCCGGATGTTCGTAATAACACATTCATAGCTCTTTCCCTAAAATACAAACAAATGGGTACAACAAATTGGCACCCCAGAGGGCTGACTGGTGCAACAGCTTGGATTCATCTTGAGCAAGGCGATGCAGGCGACAAACAGAGACTCTCAACAACCCTCCCGCGAACAGCCAACTGCCCGATGCGTTCAACCACGATTTTTCTCGAAGATGCATCCGCTAGCCTTTGCCTTCGCCTATATTCCTCAGCTATGAGGTTTTTGAATTCAACTTCTCAGTCTGGTTTAGGCCGTTCCCTTTAGTGTTTCCTCTTATGCAAATCGATGGCAAGCTGCGTTTTAGATCCATTTTAACGTTGTGTCCTATGATCGAAAATGTTGCTTGAGACGTTAATGATTGCTCGATTGAAAAAGTTAGTACAACGTCACAAGGCAAAACGAGAACCATTTAAAGCCATAACATATAACAGAAAATGCTGAGTATCACCTAACTAGAACCACTGATTAATTTTTGTATAAAGTACAATTGAATCCGAAGCCGACTGATTGAATTAATCGGCCATATGGAAAAAAGGCTTTCTGGAATCAGATTGGTTTAGATTTGTATTGGTATTTACATCAGAGTTATTTCTGCTGTCCTATTAGGCGAACGAAGCTTGGCCATCGTAAATGTCAATTCCAACATCAGGCTATCCAAATTCTCAAAATCAAACGGTGAGTTGTTGTAAAAATTAAATTAATTAAGATTTAAAGCCAGTTAAAGTTCCATGTAATTTCATACAAATAATTCACATACTGCTGAGAAAATTTTATGCCCAAAGAAATGCAGAGTTGAAGTATTCGATTATAAAATTGCGCGAAATACTTAGTAGATAAAGCAAAAATCGTCAATTACAGGCGAGGAATAGCTTGGGGAGAACATAGAACCATTCGATTGCATTCTATGGGCTGAAAGAATGTAAATCAGTAGCCTTTCTCAGTTTCGGAAATTTGGAGTTTCACATTTTTTTTAGTGAACTTAAGATCCAACAAAAAATTCTACCGATATAGAGATCGAATTTTAGAACCATTCGATTGCATTCTATGGGCATTCTATGGGCTAGAAAATTTTATTGTGTAAAATTTTGGCAATTTTCTTTCAGATGTATGGTCATCAGTCAATGCAGCGGGTAATGAGTGGAGGGCAGTTGAATTCAGTGATGCATCCGTCGATGATGATTACTTCATCTCAATCGCATATGATGAGTGCTGTATGTTTGATTACTTGAGTTGCTTTAAGTCATGTTCGTAATTGATAGCATTGTTGATCTCACTGATAATATTAAGGAGCTAGTCCGTTATCGTTTTAACAGATTATACGACAATTTATTATTGATAGAATTTGTTATTGATAATTCACATTTGGTAGTTTTACACTCATTGAGTAATTTACGTCGACCGATTAGTTTTATATTCTATTCTTTCATTACTTATTTTTTTCAGTCAGGATATCCTCAGACAATGATGAATACTGGTCAACCACCCCCACAGATGATATCAACGATTTCATCACAGCAACAACACATGGGTCAAGCAATGAATACATCACATATGGTTGGTGCAGCATCTATGGGGCAACAAACACATGTTATTTCTTCACAACATCAACAACCGTCAAACGCATCAATATCACAGGTTCAAGTTGTTGGTAACAGCGTTCAGCAGTCATATATACAGCACCAACAGGTTCATTATTTCATATTGTTTATTGCTATGTTCTGTAGTGATTCAAATGAGAACTTGGCTTGCTATATTTCAGTTGGTTAATTACAATTGTTTGCTTTATTAAGGTTTAGATCAAAGCTCTAAATTTTTCATGCTTATAGGTATAAATATTATAAATATGAACATATTACAGACTACACCGTCCAGTGTATCTTTGCTTTCAAGTGGACCTTCTTCGAATAACCCGCAGACACCTTTAACAATGCCATCAATGAATCCTTCATCGCAACAGATAGGGACGCCTGTAACTCCCCAACAGGCGCCATCGTCTGTTCAAACGTCGGCTTCAACTGTTGAAAGTAATTCAGGTGGACTTTCTATTGTACCTCCAGATCCGATTTCACTAGCAAAGAATCTCATCTTAAAGGATCTTCGATATTCTTTAATTGTTCGTTTCATACTATTATTCTGGTCTTATTTATTTACCACTTGTTTAAAGTTTGCGATAGCAATGTATAAAACCCTTGTTGATGGAAAAAAGAACCTCTTCTTTGCGATAAAAGTGTTCGCTATACTCATACTTGCTTTGTAGGAATTGAATAAAGCGGCGGCTGAAGTTATTCGTCCATCTGTATCAAAGCAACAATTAGACGCATCAGTTGCATCTCACAATCCGATGTCGGTCAATCCTCAGTCAGTAAATCCTCAGTCCGTTAATCCCCAGTCTGTAAATCCTCTTTCAGTAAATCCAGCTTCGGTCAAATCTCTAGATGATCCAAATTCAGTGGAAGCTGCAGATAAGAAAGCAATATTGTGCCCCAGAGACGCTTATCTTAATGCCTTTAACAACTTTCTTGCAATTTGCGATCAAATCGAAATGAATTTCGTATGTTTCTCGATAATTAGGAATGTTCTTTCGTCTATTCGAATCTTTTACATTTAATTTTTAGTCACTTGTACAAGAAGCTCAGAAACAATGTGTGCGTTTCGATAAAATGTTTGCTGGTGAATTGAAAGCAGTTGGTGAAATGGCAAATGTGAACTATTCTCAATATGCTCAAGATATGTTGCTTTCTTGCTCATTCTGATAAAAAATTTTAACGTCTGAAAAATGCAGCTACAAAATTCAGTTTTAATCAGATAGTCCTTTCTAGGCGGTTGGCACGGACCATTTCTTGTTAATCTTCATTAACTGTTTGTACTTTCTAGAAATAGGATTGTTATTTACAATTTTAGGGTATATCGACTCTGCAGATCGTATTCGGACAGCGATTCATCGATCAGTACAATCAGCTACTTTTATTATTGATAAATTACAAACGGCTGAAGAAAATGTATGTTATAAGATACCTTGGAAGTTTCGACTTTTATTATACAGCATATTTCTATTTCGAAGTTTTTATTTTTTCATTTTTTAATAAATTTTCAGAATTATTACGAGAAAATGGAATTATGAAAATTGAAGAGTAGAAAGGGAAACTGGTACTGAGCGAGATGTTTCCTTGCTCGGTGAAATGTTATCATCTTATGGTTTTTTATTTTGTGATAAAGTACTTGTCTTCATTGTCAATAAACTACAGTAGTATTGCAATGTTTATTAAATGGTCTCAAATTTTTTTGCTTTTGGTAGTCTCTCAGAAATTTGAAAATCCAATAGAAAACTTTATTTTAATGAATTACGCTGCTATTTGCCGTAATTGATGGCAAGCATTGAAACAGAAATTTTAACAGAAATTTGCAATATATTTAATTTTTCTAAAAATAATGTCCGACACTCACCATTCCTAATTAGACTAATTCCCAACCGCTAATACGGTTAAAAGATTTTGTTATGGAATTACTTGGCAATAGAAATACGGGCGAGTTGCCAGCATCACACGGATTTTTTAATGATAATTTTACTTTCTTCAGGGTCAGAAAATCGAATCCCTAATTTTACATAATTTTACAAATTTCTTCGACGGCTAAATTAACAGGAGGGGAAGGTACAGTGTTTGTGCATGGATAGGTATGTCCGGAAGACTCAAGATGTCCAAATGTTGAAAAACTTGCAAAACCCATTAAAAAATGCTTAACTTTAATTCTGCTACTGTCCTTTCATGATGATTCTTTAAGAAATTTTATTAACGTCGTCCGCACCCTTATCCGCCACCTCAGCACCTTCAGTCCATTTATTTAAAACCTTTTAAAAGCTATAGGTCATAAAATGGGAAGTGACAGTGAAGAAAGTCGTCAAAGTGTTTGTTTTCTTCGTCTTATTTGGAGACTAAAATTTTATCTTATGTGCTAGTTTAGTAAAACCAGTGAAACCCTTTTTCGAATGGTTTTTCAAAATGCACAGAATAAAATATGAAGAAAAATATGAGATAGAATGTTTCCGTTGTATGGAAAAAAATTATACCTCAAATGGTGGCATATTCGAAGATCACTGCATCCACGATTAAATGATCTACCAATTCCCGTCTTAAGTACACTACGGTCTGGCTGACGCCACAGATCAGAAGGAGAACGCCCTGTGAGCGGACGAGTCAATAAAAAGCCGGGATTACCCGCACTTCGAACTGTTCCCCTCAAGGGACCAGAAGACCCATATTGCTTGCCACAGGTCCACAGTGGCACGCCGTTGCAGCGGCCTATCAGTGAACCCAAGATTAGTGAAATCTTGAGCCCCATCCTGCCGAACCCCTCAGGACAAAATACCGCAGGAAATACCAACGTACAACCGCGTGCGACACGCACCGCGACGATGGGCGCGTCGCGGTAGACGCGGAGGAATCACAGAAAGCGCCATTTGTGCAAATCCAAAAATTGCATGCTAAGGTTTTTGATTTTAGCCAAATAGCAAAACCAACTCAATAGAAAATTTACTATGCAAAAAAAGGCAAACTTAAGTGAAATTGCGGCAAAAAAGTCATCAAACAGATTGGCACTATTTCTTTTGCGAATCTGCGATTATAAATAGGGTCGTTTCCCAATGTCAGTGTCATTGTGTCGCGGAGCTTCTTTGAGTGCGGCTTTCTGTTCTCGTTCATTTGCATTTTGGAGTTGGTTGGTCTGTATTTCCGCTGTGGCTTGAGAGTCGAGGTCGATGGTTGCTCTCTTGGATTTCGGGCAATTTTCATGTCCGTTGTCGTGCGAACAGTCACCGTCATCATCATCAGATGCTGATCATGGAAGGGACTTAAATGCAGCTAGATTGCTGGAGTTGGCTATTCAAAAGCGTCGCGCTGCTTTTACGTCAAGGCGGCGTGATTTTCGGCGTGAAATCGCCCACACTGTTATGGTACGAACGTTATGTAGACGATTAGGAGCTGAACTTGCTATGAAAAGAAAAAAACGCCTGGATCGTGCAAAACGACTTGTGCAATCAATGAAATGTAAGTCGGATTGTATTCTTCATGGAGAAGAAGTTTTAATGAAATCACCATTAAGTAATACGCGGGAGAACTATGCTATGAAAGGAAAATCTACCAACCATGATGCAGAGTCGAGCAATGTAAGGAATATGGAAAACACGAAATACTATCATGAAGATGATCCGTTCGATTTGGATCGATTATTCGAGGAAGCTGGGTTAATTAAAAGGAGGTGAGTGTTTTTCCATATGAGGTTTGGCGAGGGGAGTCGGGCTTTATCCTTTTTTTTGGTTGTTAGCAGCCATTGAAGCGGCCATTTTTTTGCGCTTTTTGTCGCCATGTAAAGGTTAAGTTGGTTTACTGTTGACGGTTGACTGGCGGTAGTGTAGTGGAGAGCCTGGTTGTAATAGCGGGTGGAACGTTTTAGAGGGGATGCGGGGGGAATTTTCTTCAAAGAATTTTTTTGAAGGGTTTCTTATTGATTAAAGAGCTTCTTATCGAGTTGTCCTTTTCAGGCGTGTAGTCGTCGATGGGTCGGTGGAGATTAACGCAGATATTTCGTGTGCGGCTTGAGTTGCCGAATGTCCATTGTGGTTTTATTTACTTATTTCTGTGATACGGAAGGTGGTCTAGGCTTGCGGGATCGGTGAAGGATTCGATGTTTTCTTGTTTGTATGGGATGATAATGTCATTTTTTATTTCGTATAATTATTTTTATTGTACGTTTTAAGTGAACAAAGTTGCTACAAATCGTAGTGTGCTTTTACAATTCATTTAGATATTTGGGTGCCGAAACGCGGCTCAAGCAAACGCTGACACATTGGATTAGTGTTTCACTTAGTTCTCTCAATGGTATATTTTTCTTTTATCGTTATTAGGAAAGTGTAGAAAATCTTTTGGCACTAAGCATTCTGTTGATCCCTAATGGCTCAGGTTGGGGTAATATGTCATCGTTTTCTGTTGAAGTTTTTCAGAATAGTTGGCGATCAAAAGTCGTTGGCTTTGGTCCGGCTATTTTCGCAATATGACAGCTCATCCAGTAATAATAGCCTTTTTTCAATTCATGATCTCCAGTTGCACAGTTAAGTGAAAATTATGGTTGTAGGGAATTCTTGCTACAGCAAGATTTTTGTTTAAAGTGTTGAAATTATTTTCGTTTTATATTTGCTTATTTTTGCGAGCTTGTTAACTTGATTTAGTGGGTTGCTGCTCTAAATGCGAGTATGTGGCAAGAACGGGTTGGTTCTCTGTTGAACAGTCCCACGGTGAAGCTAGCGCAACGAAAGGTTTTTGCTAAAATGCGTTGCGAGGATTGAGCAAGCGCATACAGGCTTGTTATATTTTTAGCAAATAATGGTTGTCATTGGCTTAATTTTGGAAAAGTGGAATGGTTTTCACGATTTAGTCGGGAGGATATGCGGTTTTCATCGGGTAGATTACGAAATGGAGGGTGGGATGGGAACATGGCAGTTTTCTGCAATAGGGCCGCGATTAATTCACGAGGAATCTTTTAGAATGGACATCGTTATACCGCTGTTTTACGTACGTTGCAAAACCGATGTGTTTCACTTGTGCGGTTTTCGATATCCCGAGGTAAGCCTGTGATAAGGTTTGTTAAAATTGCTAATGTATTGTGCAAATTTTCTGAAATAAAAGTTTATTAAGAAAAATGTTTTGAACAGAACAGAAGTTTGGATAAAAAGGGGATTTACGAGGTCTGCGCGAGCCTGGATGACATTGAAGCAACTATGAAATCCTGAAATAAATTAGTAAATTAGTAAATCATTAGTAAGAGGTTTTAAACTCGATCAGACACATTCAGAACGTGGTAAACGGGAAAAGGCGTAAGTACTCTTAGTGGTGTTAACATGTTGATCGCGTATAGTCCGAGGGATCTGGCCATAACGACAGGTGTAGTACTAGAGCGGTATAAGCGGTTGATCCAGTCGCAAGCCAGCTGCATTGGTAAATTGTATAGTCTGCTTTCGCGGTCGTATTCGGATAAATAGCACAGTGACCCTGAAATGTAGTGAGCGCCGTTGGCGGCCGTGAGATGTAGCATGGGTTAGAGACGTCATTCGTTAAGTTAAAAATGATCACCAAGATCGCTTCCATCGTTGGCGCATTTCTTGAGGCACTTGGTTAGGATGGCAACGTCATTCCAGCCGATATTAACTCCTTGTCCGGCTAATGGATGTAGGCGGTGCGCGGCATCGCTAAAATGGGGATGACTTTACGATTTCCTCATTAGTGCAATGGAAGGAACATGGAATCTGTGGAATTCCTTTAATAAGCGGTCATAATTTACCCTATAAGTGCAGCGCGCCGAGTAATGTAGGTGTGGCAATGGCGAAAACCGAGAGGAAATGCTGCCCGTGTGTCTGTTTGTAACGACAGTATCACGGGCGGAATTGGTGCTGGCTGCGATTCCAAGTGCAAAATCGTGCTAATCCCTTTGTTGACTAGTGTCAATAAATTGTTCGTGGCTGGATTCTGGTATTTTGAGGTGCTCTAAAAAAATGGAAGTAAACAAAAGGATTATAAAATTTCTGCTAAAACTGAATACAAAGGAGTAGAAGTGCTATACAAGTTGTTGATTTAATTCGTCGATAAATTCTTCTGGTTTTAACTTTAAAAGCATGTCAGCGTGTTGATTACTTGTCGACCACACTAGTGAACTGTGTTTATCACTTAATGGAAGTAAAGCAATTGGACCAGTCGGCATAAACCTTTGCCATGCCACGTTGTTTCCGCTGCTCTTCAATAATGTTCATAAGCAATTAAAAATTAGTTAAAAATAAACAAGCAATTAAAAAAGTTTAAACAAACAGCTTGCAATTCAAGCGTTGCAACGACACCCTTTTGGCCATATTCCCATTCAGTACAGTCTACTTTCAGCAACTGTCTTACCTTACTATTTAAACCGTCTGCACCAATCTAAACAAAAAAATTTTAAGCAACATAATATCAAAACATAAAAGCATTTTCAAGTCACTTATCTTTGGAACAAACATCAAAAAAGGCATTGTGAAAAATGTGATCATACAACAAGCGAAGTTTCGATTTCAGTTCCATCGCTAAGTTTGAGTGTTGCTAAATCTTTTAATGAATCTGGAATGCTGAAATAACGCAAATTAGATCAGAGTTACTAGATTTGGCTTGCACGAATCAGGTCTGATTTGGCCGATATTCATCGTTTGTATGCTTTTCAAAATTTTGCGATCTCTGTCCCATTAAAAAAGTATTACTTCTATCTAGATGCCCAGTGACTGGCTTATCTTTAAATTGAAAAGATATATTCACCAAACTTCAACTATTTCCATTTTCATTTTCAAATCAACAGTACTAGCTTGTTGAAGATAACAAAACATTGAATTGATAATTGCGTTGTTCTCGATTATATATGCCACTTCTTTTCCATAATCAGATTGTTGTAATTTTATTTCCGATTGAGAACAGCTATCTAAAACCTGCAAATGAAAAAACCTATCAAATGCAGCACCAGTGAAGGATTTCTTCCATCGTTTAGAAAAGGCAATACCTGGAGACGATCAACTTTTTTTATTCTGTACCGCACCAAATCATCCCAAATGCCTAATTCTGAAACAAATGGATAAAATCGGAACCGAAACTGGACAAATCAATTTGAAAAGTACTTTTCGTTATTGGTGGTTTTTGGCATTATTTTCTTTCTGTTAAGAATTATCAAAAAGTTCTAACCAGCATTAACTTTATTAAACAACTATAAACTATCCACTATCCACTTACTGAAGAAGAAAAAGGCATATCCATTAGATTCTAAAAGCAAAAGTAAAAATAAAAAATAAAGCAGAGAACAAAAAATTAAATATACCCTTAAGAAATTCGACTGAAGAAAGCGCAACTGCTGAAACTCGATTGCTGTAAATCGGAGTTTTAACCAGTGGTACGATATTTCCCGATTCGATTAGCAAAACTTTTTTTGCTTTCAGTGAATTTGATAAACCTGAAAAGTTAAAGATTATTTCACTGAAAATTTATCATAAGCGCCTTGCGACATTTTTGGCTATAATACGCTCTATTATATATTGAGAAAGCGGTAGCATGGGATCTTTACAAAAATTATTGAGGAAAAAAGATAGAAAAAATGAAAAAATGAAAAGATAGAAAGATGAAAAAAAAACACGTAAGCGTATGATCTCCCGGTAGCAATATTCGAAGTAAAAGACAAGTTTTTCAAATAATTTTCCAGTTTTGATTGATTTATGTCAAGCAGCCGTTAAGGAATTGATAAGCTAGTCAATTTTGATAAACTCATCAAAAAATCAAATGGAAAAGTTAAAAAATTACTTAGAGAAATTGCCATAGCATTTCCAACCATTCCGCCACCAACTATCACTATATCATAATAAGGCTTCGAAATTGTTGATAACGCCGATCGACATTTAAGCGCCACAACTTTTCGCAACAGCTGGTGCATCGTTGCCCTCTGAAACGTGCTCCATTTTAAATCTATCCAAAAAGGAAATGTCGAACCAGCAACAAAGGCAGAATAAAACGCAATGTTTCGATCGAGGCCATAGCTCCAATTCTCATTGCTCAACACGTCATTAAAAGAAATGCGGGCAATGTTGCGTACCTGCCTGCCACTAAACGACTTTCAGAAGCAATCTCTAACATTTAGTACAGCAAGCCAAATTTGAAATAGCAAATGCCGTCATAAATCGTGAATAGAGAAAAACGAATTTTTCCCATACAGAAAGAAAGAAAAACGAACAAAAAAGAAAGTTGCAGACATTTTTTACGTTCAAAATACAATTTAAGTCGCATATGCCGTAAATATTCCACGACGATGGGGCCGTGCAATATATCTTCTGCAGCTGCGTCCACGTTTTCATGCAAAGAAGCATCACCGGTCGTGGCCGAGTTTCGCGCGTTTCTGGGATTTGCATTTGTTTCTCATGCTACCGCTGTTGACTCGGATCACGTAAATGATGGCGAAGCACATAAAAGGTTTTATGTTGAATGGGCTATTTTTGAAAATGGAAAGTTTTCGCTGAAAAGTAGTAATGTGGCATCCTTTTCAAAATGCAACTCATATATATTCCTGCCTCTTCACAAATGTATTTAAAAAATACGGCTAGTCAATTGCGCACTATTAGTGACAGCCGCCACCCAATTAGATGCGACAGAAGCCAATGAAAAAATCGTTTCTTTAATATATTGCAAAAACTTGTGCAACACCTCGGTTTATAAAATCCCCACGTATTGACATGGGAACAAGGTCTGACGAATATGGACTGAGCTAAACCACTTTTTGTTAACTGATTTTTGAAATGGCTGAAGCACTGGAACATCTTCCTGCAGGCGTGGGTGGGGGTGGAACGCAAAGGGGCGTGAATTTCTTTGGCTCTTATAGCCACGCGGTGAGCGGACCTGCTCGTTCGCCGCCATGCTAATACTCCAGCAGTCACTTGCTTTTATTAAAGGGTTTGTATATTGTACCCACCGCTATATTGTTTCTTCACCAGTCATGAATGAGCGCTGCTGTCCACGTAATCGGAAAGCTTTCTTTTTGGATTGGCTTTATGTAAAAAGTATGCGGTTTGCTGTGCATTCATACAACTTGTTGAATTCTCCATTTTTTTGAAAAAATGAAAATGTTGAAAGTTTAAAACGTTTAAAAAAATTAGCGGCGGCACTAACTAGATTTTATATGGCAATAATTGCTTCATTTAAAGGGTTGAAAGCATAAAAAAACGATTCGAGTAGAAACCAATTTAATAACAATACAACATTGAAATGGTATGAAACCAAAAAAATTTATTGGACATTGGGAGATTTTTTTTAAGAGTCCTCACCATTACTGGTTAAACTCGCTCCACTGGTTTGTCGCATTGAGGCATTATGCCAGGGAATCTCTTGGCGATAGAGATACTGGTAAGTCGCCACCATTACCCGGATTACCCGGTACAGGTTTACTCCTGTGCGGAATCGAGCCTCAGCATTGGCGCTTCCAATTGAGCAATAATCCACTGAGCCATTCAAAAAAACGATTCGAGTAGAAGCCAATTTAATAACATTACAACATTGAAATGGTATGAAACCAAAAAAATTTATTGAACATTGGAAAATAATGGAAACGTTGAATAAAAATTCAGAATAAGCTGGATTTATGATTTTAAGTTGCGTGTTCCTTTGCGAGAGAATTTAGTTAAAATTGTTTTTTTGGGAGTCTGATAGAAAATAGTGGATTTCTTTGAGAGCAGCATCATGAAAGCCACAAGTTTGCAGGCATTTTCTTTAATGTAATTTTTTACTCCCATTCTGTTCAGATCTTTTTCGATAAGAAACTTGTCACTAAAAGTAAAATCCGGGTAGTGTTGAGGAGCCACCTGCGGTTCTTCCATACGAGTCTTTGGTGACTCTTAGTGTATGCAGTGGAGGATCAGTAACAATATGGCCAATATTTCTGACTTCTATGCTCTTTGAGTTATCTGACACTGGTTACTTTTGCTTTGATTACTGGGCCACATAAACAGTCCAGTCACACTCCATCGTTTTTCTTGTTTCATTATATGTCGCTTCCATCGTTCGCCAATTGTACTTTGATAAAATTTTTCTGTATTCCTAAATAAACCAGTAAAAAATATCGTGAAATACAAGTAATGAAATACAAATTAGCAAAAAAATTTTAGATTTACCAAAAATCAAAAAATTTTTGTTTCAAATTCAGTAAGGAAATTGTGTAAATTGCGAAATAATAAAAAGCCATTTACCATATTTTTTGAACCGCTGAATATTTTCTGTGGTCATTGTTACATCGTTTTTCTTCAACATTTTTGATTGTCAACCTGTTCGACTTACATTCCATCTTTTTGTTGAATGCAAATATAATGAATCTGCAAAATTTGCAAATAATTCGTTTAATTCGTGATTTTCTTGGAAATTGTTCCCTATTTTATAAATGATTTTTACTTTGAATATTAATTTTCCTTTATGCAAATTTAACGAATTAGTATAGTCAGCATAGTATTTTGTGATAGCTGAAACGTCGACCATTATTCACCATTTCCATCCTTCTGTTAACTACAAAGATGAATGAAATCAAATGAAGATGAATGAAACCTTCGGTCGCCAGTTAGTCACATGAAGATGGATGGAAGTTAATGATAAGTTTACTCGTGTAAAAGGGTTAGAAATAACTCGGATACCCCGTTCCATTTTCGCAGAAACGTGATAGTATCTTTTAAATAGAGTTTAAATACAGTTTTAGATTTGCATTGTCTTGCATTTTTGCAAATTTTTTGAGAGATCTGACCCATCAGCAGTATGGAGCATTTCCCAGCCAACTGTGACTGTAAGAAAGATATTCCACCTGCTTTCTTGAAGATTCGATAAGCCCCAAAAACTGGATAACGAAACGATCATTGCGGCATTTGATAAAACCGACTGCAAAGTTATCTTTTCAAAGTTTATTCGGTGAAAAATCGAAATGGATTTAGGTGATTCAGATTGTAGCAGACTATTCTAATTTCTTATCCAACAAAACGTTTTTCACTGCCATATAACAAAATTCATTGCAAGGCAATTAGCATAAAAAAATAAAAAATGATTTAAAATCTAGCTGAAGTTGACTTGAACGAAAAATCTATTTTCTCGTGCCCTTTTCTCTCTCAATAAAATTGGTTGAACACTGAACTGGGCGATGGAATTCTGAAAGTATTGTTATAAGTAAAAGATACTTTAGTATTTTTTTCAAATTTTCAATTTTAAATTTTGGTTTCTTTTTTTTTAATAGCAACCACAATTTCTGGTGGCAGTACTTACTACTTAAGTGAAGTGGTTTTGGGTCAGCCAAAAAAATTCAGCCATTCGACCTATTGTATTTTATCAGCCAAATATCAATAATTTATCCTATTCATAATTTGGTAATTTGACAAATAACATTTTATTCTAACATTTTCGCCCAAACTATTTTGTGCAACCTAAGTATAATTGTATGCTGGAATGAAACTTAACTTAATTACCTTTATCATTTTTTTTAATTTCAAGAATGTCATCATATCAATGGAAATTACAAATATGGCGAAGAAAATGTTTATATAAAGTTCAAAATGATTTGAAAGGAAATGTCCACAGTGCGATTCAGAATATACAAACGTTAAATGATTCCGATCAAAATAATAATTGCATTCATCTGAAATATGAAAAATGAGTTGGAGAGCACCATGAAACTTTAAAATTTATTTATTTAAATAAGCAACACCTTACTAAGCCATTATTTAAAGATTGCAAATCCGACTTGTGGCAATAGCTTTCTTCTTAACTGAATAACTTGCCCAAATGTAGCTTTTTAATCAAAGCTTCGTCTGATAGCACCCATATTTCTGATTTGACTGAATGTATTGACAACTATGATGAAACCATTTCGCAAGAGAGTCTTAAGAACATAGGTAAGTCTTCAGCAGCATCTGGATTTTAAGGAAGGGCTCCTCTTATCGAGGTGTAGGAATCAAAATGATGCTTGGACTTTGGTTGTAGCAACACATCATTACACTTCTATTCTCCCACTGCTGCCAGATAAGTCTTATAAGACGTTAGCTTTACTGCAGTTTAAAGAATGCAAAATTTTCACTGGAAAATTTTGCAAATTTTCAAAATTTTATACAATAACATTTTGAATTTTCCTTTCAAAATCGTTTATATCAATATTTAAATTCTTTCAATTTAAAAAATTCAATAAAATCCTCTTTTCGCAACTGATCCTATGACAAACCGAATTGATAGGCGCAACTCTGTAGGAAAGAGATTATCCAAACCAAAGCGATCCATAGCAGTGTTATACGTTCTTTGAAATACTTGTTATAACTGAATGGTTTTGAAATCGCCATATAGCGATTTATAGTTATAAGGCAATGAGTGTAGATCGACGCATAATAGAACCAAATACATAATTGACCAATTGTATAAGATAGCCTTGCATTTGACATAAAATGAGGTAATCTTTCTGGGTTTCTGCAACAATCAGCTATAAAAGATGTCTATAATGTCTATATACTATGTCTATATATTTAATATTAAGCCAATTGAAAAAAAACTACAGAAGCTAGAGAGATTTTCTATTATTTTCTTTTATTATAATTCGATTTAGTAAACGAACTCTCATCTCGGGGATAGGATGACTGAGTGGGTTGTTGTTCAGTTTGGAGTGCGCCAATGCTGAGGCTCGATTCGCACCAGCAGGAGTAAACCCGTCCAAAAATCCGGGTGATGCTGGCGACTCTCCTGTATTTCTATCGCCAAGGGACTTCCTCGCATATTGCCCAACTGCGACAAACCAGTAGAGCGAGTCTAACCAGTAATGGTGAAGACTCTTTATGAAAAAATGAACTCTCCTCTATCTGTTATATATCCCTTCTCACCTTCTGTGGGGTCTCCCACCTTAGCCACTAATCCCTTATCGAGGTTTAAACGAATTATCCAATTATTTATATATCTTTAAGAGCACTCATCATTACTGGTTAGGCTCGCTCCTCTGGCTTGTCGCATTAGACAAACATACCAGGGAGTCCCTTGGTGCATGTATATATATATATATATCTATAAAATTATATTTAGTTCTGGTCCTAAATTTTAATCTACTTATTATCTTTCTTCTAACAGCAATCATTTCTTATTGAGGTGGCAGTACTGACTACTTGAATGTAAATTTTTGGTTGAGAAGACGTTTGCGGATAGAAGTATAACTGGATCTTCACTGCCTGAATTTCACTTTTAATGACAGATTTGCCGTTAGAGGCAGCAATATCGAATCTTTGATGAATTGACCTTAGTCAAAAAAAGATATACTCGACTATGCTATTATTTGTTGCCGTAAAAGAAAGACAAAATTATGAAAACCGATAAAAAATATCCCTGCTCGTCGATTTTTTTCTGCTTAAAATTATAATTTGTAAAAACTGAGACATTTAATAGAAAATGAGGAAAAAAGCCTTTAAAAAAAACTTGCAAAAAAATAGTGATGAAACTTGAGAATATTATAGCCAACAAATGAAGTGGGAAGTGATCGATACCATATCTGGGTAGATTAATTTTGCTGGCTATTACGATCAGAAACTTTTGGAATTTATTTGCGGCAAAAATAAGGGTAGACAATATCACTAAGATAGCAGGTTTATTTCTTTGAGGGACAGGAGCTGAACCGTCGTCTCGCAACAAAGTAATCTGAAGCACTCACTCACTATAGCCAACAAATTGAAAATGAAGAAAAAAAATGCCTTTTATGGTGCCTTTTAATTAAATAACCGTTGAATCAAAAATTTGAAGTTTGTGCCTCATTTCAGAATTCAGATGGATATAGATTAGTAGGATATATGCGAAAAATTTTGGTAGATTTCCGTTATTCTATTCTCTGTTCATCTCTGTTCAGTCATCTAATTTTCCCTTAAGCTAATATTAAATTAAAATGATATGGACTCTCTAGATTTATTTTTAGGAATTTCTAAGAAATGATTTGCATCTCGTTCCATAGAAAAATATATTTAGAAATATAATCAGCATTAAATTTTATCAAGACTGATTCACACAAACGCTGAAAATTGAAAGAAAAATCCAAAGCAGAAAGTCGAAAACGTAAGTCTAGATTAAACAAGTAGTGAATGCACCTGCTACTGAAAATTGATTATATTTAATGGTTAAAATGACTCCTCTCTTGAATCCAGTTGAGTCTGAGATTTTATGCCATTCCAGTTCTTTACATTTGATGCTTAGAGATATTTTATGTAAAAGTTTTATTCATGGTTTCTTATAAATAGGAAGATCATATAATAGAAAGAGTAGCACTCGTTACTTCCCTTTAATTTTTCGACGGCAGATTTACTCACGTTGGAAGCAGGGCCGAATGTTGACGCTCGAAGCCATAATTTGAGCAACAACCACTTGGTTATCCTGTTCCTCTTCTCTCAGAAAAAAGTGACTAATGATCTTAATTTGCCTGAATTAAATAAAAGCTTACGAATTTCTTAAGTATTTCTCGGCAATTCAAGATGATCTTTGGAAACAATCTTAAGTTTGCTATAAGAAAAAATGAACATACAGCTAAAACTAACCCAAAAAGAATTGGTGCCACCCATATGCTAAAAATGAGTAGAACCCCCATTCCACCGATAGCATGTGAAATTGTTGAATAGCCAAATGCATTGCGGAGATTTGTTGTTTTAAGCACGGTGTAAATCGATAGTCCATTTAGTATGATACCAAATATTCCTAACTAAAAATTTGCTATGAAAAGATAAAATTTTTGGCTAGTCCAAGCTATGTACTGTATTACATTCTTCTCGACTAAATTCTTTCCTGAAAAAAAACCGATAAATCCTATACTTCAAAAGAGAAAAAAGACTAACCGTGCCCACTATTAAAGCAGCATCACGATCTTCTTTCAACACAGTATCCATTTTAACTCACAAGTCAGTAGATAAGAATAATACGTAAATGGACCAGCAAAACGCAAATAGGTGCCAAAAAGTTTTAGCAAAAACTATAATTAATGGTTTGGTTGAAATAATGATGCACACTATTTTCCCTTGGAAGAAAACTGAATAATATTTTCTATACAATGAGATTTGCAAAAGTCGCGATCACTGATATAACTCGTGAAAAATTAAATCATCGGTTGAAACTATCTAGAATTAAGGATTAGTAATGCAACATCATACAAAGCATAGGTCAAGACATTATGAATGAAAATATTCAATTCGTTTTACTAAAATTTTAATTTCTCAAAAATAATTTTTAAATGCGCTAGCTTTCTCTGCCGTCTATAACGCTTAGAATTTTACAAATGAGATCAGCTTGCTTCCTTTTTACTCAGGATTCAAATATCTCGAAGAAATGATGTATTATGCACATTTAATTCATGAAATAGATTACCTTCCTCAATTCAATATTAGAATTGTCTGATTAAAGTTGTGTGAAATTAATAATATTCATAGAGATTCTGATGAAAATCGTGCGAAAGGCGAAAGTTTCATTACTTCTGGAATAAAATTCTCACGATTTCTGTGGAATTATCAAGTTTGTTTTAAAAAATATTTGCAGATTCTGGATAACCTCAATTAGATTATAAATTAAATTAAATATAAATTTTGCGGAGAAAATTTTATGCAAAGTTTTAATGCAATTTTTAATGCAATGGAATTTATGCGAAAAAATTAAGATTCTTAAATTAAATTAAATTAAGATTCTTCGTTTATAAAGAATGAATCCTGAAAATCCGCATTTTATGATGTTAAAAATGAGTCATTAATTTCGTCGTTACCGACATATGAAGCAAATATAAATCGAAATTGACTTATTCCCATTGTTTCAATAGTTTTTGCCTCATTCAAACAAAAGCCAAAATCAATCGCTTCTTCCAAGAAGATTGATTAATCTTCTTGCAAAGTGTTTTGGAATGGTTGATCATTTTCTCAAAATCTCTAAAAACCATTTTTTCATTCTTAAATTTATTCTGAAATTTGAAAATCGGGAACTGACTTTTGTTGCTTGCCGCAGCAAAACTACCGTTGATCCCCATATTTCATAAATGGAAATATGTCATGAAATAACTTATCTATATTTTTGTTAAATTTAAAGCACATAAATTTCATATTTCGTTCTGATTATTTATAAGTTTAACCAAGCGTGAAAAAGTGCAGTAAATCGTGTTATGACATTAAGACGGCATTATTAATGTTGGATCATTTGTTCTGAAAACAGTTTTTGATTTTTGATTTTAACAAACGCTACGTCATTTCATTTGCAATTAAATAAACCTGAAGAGCAGGTTTGCTGTGTAACATCGGCATTGATAGATATCAAACATCATGGATTCAAATCCTCTTGGTAAGAGCAAACCTATTATTAAAACGGAGATAGTCGTGGTGCTGGGGATCACTTTATATAAATGGCTCACTAGCGAGAAGGTATTAGTTAGAGTAGCTAACCAAACCATAAGTGGTAAGTGATTAAAAGAGAAAAAACTGAATAAATCCAGCCGACCACTGCGTTACCAATTATAATGTTAAGAAACAAGAGAAATTAGCAAAAAATTTGGATTCATATATTTCTAATTAAATTACAAAGAATATTTCAATGAACTTGCAAATTTTATAAGATAATCGTCCACTCAGAGTTCGGCAAATTAAGAAAAAACTAAGCGAATTTCACAGTTAATACTTTTGAGATTAATTTTTACTATTAATTGTTTTCTGCATGAAAAAAAACTAATGGAATGATACCTAAATAAAAGTGGAGGAAGAGTCTCATAAAAAATGATAAAGGCTGCCACTAAGGATTATTTGCATTACCTCAAAACGGATAACGTTATATCGATTCAAATTAAAATCTTGTATGCTATTGCTTAAGCTTGTTGAAAAAAATTTCCATGATTTAAAAACAGCTCAATAATCATAAAAGATTTATGGGAACTCATTTTAAAAAATGTATTACTGCTTTTCATTAAGAATTATGTAACTTTCATGAAATATAAGTCATTCATCTGAAATTTTTTTTTTGAATCGAATATTTTAGATATTTATAGTTTGAAAATAATAACCACTTCGAATGCTAACAACAATCGTGCTAATCAATGAAATAAATTTACACTAATTTCAGAACAAAAATCATCAAAATGTTGTTAATAATAAACATACCTTAGGTAACAATAAATTTTTAACAGATTTCTTCTAATCCGAGTCTTAAGCTTTAAATTTGGCTAAAAGTAATTTTAACTCTTTCTTACAGAATTTCTGAAGCGTAGAATGGCAGAATGGATGATAACAACTCAAATTATTGAGGGGAAAGGGTTCAGGCAGGTAGAAGTAAGTCTGTCATTAAATAAATTTGGGTGGTGGTAGCGATTTTCTATCGCCAAATATCTCCTGGGCAAAGATTTCCAAAACTAATAATCGGTGGAGCTAGTCTAATTAGAAAATGTGGGCATTTAACCACACTTTATAATTTCAAGTAAAAATTTATAAACTTTTGTGAAGATTCTATTATTTCTACAAAAATAACAATTTTTTCTTGTATGAATTTAAATCTAAATGTGGCTGAGAAATTAAAATTTTTATGCTTTCCTTACAGATTAATTCAGTTTTATGATTTTCTTTTATTTAATCTGAAATCTTAGCATTTTTTTTTTAAAATTTGGTTTTCAAATTCCTCTTATCGCTAATTTGAATTTAAAAAATTTTTTATTTTTTTTCTTTCTGGTGCTCTTTGATTATTATCAGAATTCATCTACTGAATCATCTTAAGCTTGAATTTGTGCTTATTCCCATTAATCTTATCAGTTTGAAAGGTGGATTTTGCTGAAATCTTCATAAGGATTTACAAATTGAAATATTTTAAAATTATCAGAGAAAAATTTTCCTGAATTAGGCGCAAAGAGTTCAATCGATATTAAAATAGGAAGTGTGCGTAGAAATGATATAGTAAGCCAATTTTCCAAAACTTTTATGGAAGAGTTCATTGCAATTCTGATTTAATCGTTTGAAGTTTCCTAGTTTAATTTTAATCCTCCCTAGATAGCTTGTCTGAATATTTATTTAAAGGCTTGATTCGAAAGTTGTCATTTATATAACAAACTTTACTTTGCTTCGCTATCAGTATCGAACTGCTGCTTCTTATATAGCTTGATGCTTTCCGATCTGCTTTTTGACTATTCTGGGATCCTATTATACTGACAGTAAGTAAAGCTGATAAGCTGATAAGTAAATAAATGTTGTAAGTTGAATTAGCTAATAAATGGTTTATTATTAGATTAGGAAACTCTGCTAGATGAGCACTGAAATTCTACCAATACTCTTGACCTTTTTCCTGTTCTTGAACAATTCTTGAATAAGGCCTAATATGAGACAAGTTCAAGAAAGAGGTTAAATCCACTCGCTATTCATACAATTCATTTTCCGCATGATCTACGGCATACAATCGAGCTAGATCATTTCATTTGCTTCTCTCGCAGTCTTTCTCCTATCTATTATTCGTAAAAGTGCTTGGTTAATATTAACTGATTGTCTTATGCATTTCATTACATGATTGCATGATTTACTTGCGATATAATTTCCCATTTCCCACTTCACAATTTCTTGTTTGGCTAACTATAGGGGTTTCCACCAACAAGCCACGGTAGAATAAAAGCATTAATGGGTTCTCGGCTATGAAAATTATTACTATAAATTATTTTCGAGTTTTCATAACCGTGATTCTTATTTCGTACTTTCCTCTCTGCATATTGTCTATACTAGGCTGATGAGTATTAAAGATCGAATATCCAGAAAAGAAGAATTAACGGCCTTTTTGTCTCAGACGATACTGTTTATTTTCAAAATTTGCAGAAAAAATTTTGTTTTTTTTAAAAAATCCTGAAGCAGTATATTTGTTTCCTCTATTTTAAAGTGTTTTAGAATTTAGTCTTTGAAGCGAGATAAATGAAAAAATATTCGCTATAGAAATATTCGCATCAGCAGAATTTTGTCATCGATCGAAATCAAAATCGAATTTTCTTAGCAACTTTAAGCGAAAAAGCAATTTGCAATGATGGGACTTTTTGAAACCAGCTTTCCTTAAAGAATACACAAAAGGAAACAAGGAAAGAGATTCAGATTCACTTATGCACCAATATCAGAAATCGATGATTACTAAATGCTGCAAACGCGATCTTTTTGATACAATAATAAGAGTATCTTTTGATATAAATGATATTTTTTAATAGATAATTATAGATGAAACAATATTTTAATGGATGAAATGATATAGATTTAGGTGCATCAGTTTTATTTTAACATTGATTCAGGCTGGACAAAAAGCGGTTTGTTCATTCAACCTAAAAATGTTACATTATGAAAACATATTTTATTAATACTTATTAATTCTCGAATATTAATACTTTATATCATTGATTTAATAAAAAAATAATGGAAACGTTTTTGCATGTCTTTGAACTGTAAATATTTATGTTTATTAAGGGATGAGTAAAAATAATTTTTTAGTAAATAATGTTAACGAATAACTGGCGGTGAACAATATGCAGATATTTTTTTCTCCCACACTTTGGTTGTGGATTTTCATAGAATGCGTTCAGTTGCGAAATGACAAAACGCTGCCAAATAATCTATCAATAGGAAAAACTGAAGCGTTCATTGGAAGATATAATGCTTGCAAGGTGAAAAAACTTTCAATGCAGGAACTTTTTTTTGCGATTCTTAAAATGAAGGGTAAACTTTGATTTCGAACTGCCGTTTTTCGGTGGCTTTTTTCGATGGCCGTAAAGAATTCATATTTTTGAAATAATTCACCAAAAAAATTTTAATGATTATTGAAAAATATTGAAATGAAGAAAAGTCTTACGATTTTAAAAATTAAAAATTTCATTTCCTATGCATGGGACTTCTTCAATCAGAGCGCACCATTTCTGGTTTCCTTTACCGCTTGAAATAAGCCTAACAACATTAATGTCAACTACAAATTTGAAATAAATCAAATTACAAATTACTCTGAACTAAGCCCAAGCATATTTGTTAGTGATATAGCAAAATAAAATTCAGTTGATGCCAAAACGAGGAAATTGTACAGAGAATTTGTTACGTTATTTTTACGATAAAGCCACAGCACATTGCAGAAGGTTCATTTACAGGTAAGTATTTACGTTGAAATGCAATTTAAGTTGTGCATAGTGTTTCCAGTGTTTTTTTGCTATATGAGATGAAAATACTTGACGTTTGGAAAGTAAGCAACAGCCTTTTTTGAACGCAGGATATTATTTTTGAACATATCAGATATCCTCTGAAGCATATTTAATAGAACAAATTGCTTAATAAATTCTAACTAATAAATCTTACATTTTTTTTTCATATTTAAGTGGTTGTGGTGGAAATGAAAATTGCTTCAAAACTCGCTTTCAATGCGAAAAATACTGTATGAAGCGGAAAAGTTCCATTAGATGGGTCGATCATACGCGTGGTATGCAATTTCTATTAAACCTATACGACATAAACTATTGTAAATTTCTCCCATTTTGATTCACAGCCCAAAAACCTCCCAGTCCAAATAATCCAGAGAAAAGTGAATAAATTATTCCTACAAGAGAAGAAAGCTAGGAGATATTCTAGCGTAATATCTTCGTATAATCAAACAACTGCGCAGGTGAAATTAGCATTGTTTAATTTAAAGGAAAGTGTCGTTCAAGTGGGAAAATTGTTCAACGATATTATTATGACCATTTGTCTGAACAGTGTAAGATGTTTTGGTATCGTGAATGCCCTATGATTACTACTGATAATGCAAACATTTTTTTGGATCAAACGGTTGGTAAACAACAACACCAAGATTAACATCAAGTTTTAAATTTGGAGTTGTAAAATAAACGAATAAACGAATTTTTATGATTACATTATATATGCAAAGTAGCAGTAAAATGTATATTGGCTGATACTCTAGCTTATTCTTGTTCTGCTTCAATTATTTCGCTAAAAATATTAAGAGCTCTTGATAGAAGTTGGAAGGACTGACTTAAGCCTTATCGCTAAGTATCAGTAAATTCTAAAAACTCTATAATCGATATTGGATTCAAACATTTTAGATCATTTACAATCTTTTTCAGTCATGTGAGGCATCATGTATAAGAAGAAGACGAATGCATCAATGGCACAAGTTAAAGAATCTTAATAATAAACCTAATGCCCTGAAACAAGGTGGGCACTTGCAGAAAACCTCAAAATCGTATTTTAATAATAAATGTTTAATAATAAATTTGTCGAAACTTTTTAAACAGTAAGTTTCATAATATGGTATGCAAATGATTATCACTATCTGTTAGAATAGAAAAGATTATAAGATTAGTTATATATATATATATATATATATATATATATATATATACATATTTATATATTTATAGCTATAAGAATGTTGGTGTCCCAGTCACATGGGACACCACGAAGAGGAGGCAAGGAGGACAGCAAAATTCAAGAGCAACCAAAGAATAAGCAATTCAAAAAGCTAATTTAATGGGGAAAGCAAAATCATAAACACCTATGCCCTATCAGCCATTAGATAGTCATTACCTTGCCATGAGTGAGATAGCGAGACCAAAAAAAGACACCAAAGAAAACTAGATTGCCGATGAAGTCGGCATCTCCTCACAAAACAGGAAAGTTTTCACTCTAAGACTAATACATTAAGACTGTACATTGTAGCCAACCGGAAAGGTGGGTTCTTATGAGCCACTATCCTAAAAAAAACCTGGAGTATTCAAGAGTGCACCAAAATGAGCTCCTGAAGTAAAATAGACATTGGATGAAGATTAAACAAAGGAAGGCAATTTAAGGTAAGGTATATACTCTCCATAGTATAAACTATCGGTAAATAGCTGAGGTGGCTAACATCGAGAAATCCTAGCAATGACTGGGAAAAATTTGGACTAAAACAGCTGGACAGCAATGAGGCAATAGCAGCACAAGAACCAGGTACAAGATCCATCGAAGCAAGGATCTACCACAAGCAGAATGTCACCATATGGGTATCATTCTAGGAGGTTCCGCAGAAAATCTAGTTCAATCCAAAATCCTATGGATCTTCTCCATTCAGGCGAACAAACCAAACAGATATCGCGGTAGTAGACAAGAACCAGAAATCAATACTGGTAATAGATATAGCAATACTAAGTGACAGGAATATGAAAAAAAGAATGAGGAAGAAAGAATATGAGAAATAGAGAAGAACCAGAGCCTGAAAGGAAAACCAGAGAAGATGCCGTAAATGAGGGTGAGGGCCAAAGTGCTACCAGTGGTGAAATACTGTGATCCCTAAGTCAGAAAAATAGCTCCAGCAAATACGAGAATAACAATACCAGAATACCAGAGGTCTCAGATGAGTGCTTTGCTAGGAACAGCTAAGGGAGAACCCTCAAACTCTCTTCTGAGAGGATTCCGAGTTTGAGAATGTCTACAAGAGATGAGAAAGCAGTTTATATATACTTTTATATACTTCATATATTTATATGTTCTTATAGTTTACATACGCTTTTAATAGTTTGTTATACTCGATTCAATTCTTCCCTTCGCAAACTTTGCAAATCTGGCGTATGGGAACCAAGATTCTTTTATAATGCAACTTCTCTCCAATGTGAGCCATTTTGGTACGATGAATCATGTGGTCACCACCCTTCACCACTATCAAATATCTTCAGAACACGTCATCAATGCAGCAAAATTTGTGAACTAAAAGATTCTGAAGTAAGTGATGAGACATTTAACCGAACGATTTAATAAATTTCTAGATTTGTTAAAAGGATTTCGTAAACAGTGCTTTCTGAAACGAAAAATTATAGAAGAGTTTGAAAAAATCCTTTTCATTGGGAAAATAATAATGGATGCAGCACAGAAAATATTTAAAAGAACCTAGAAAATTCGTATTTAGGTGCTTGGACTCCAAAAATGGCTGCAACCCAAAACAGTTGGAAAAATAACGGCTATGCTAACTGATGGCAGAAACATAGGTTTCATTAATTTTATTAATTTTGTTTGTTTAATTTTTTTTCAGTTTTTTCCTTTTTGAAAAAATTTATCCTTATCCATATAAGACATAGATTTGCTTTATAATCTTTAAAAAATAGACATTTCGATTAGTTTTTCATTTGCACCTTTATTGAATACAACACCAATTATAGCACCGGTTTCGAAATTAACAGATAAGATGATCGATACTGGTAGGCTACGTGCTTTCATTGGACCAGTTTTGTCAAATCGAGATTCACTGCCCAAAAATCAAGTGAAACTTCATTCAGTTGTAACTATTTCATCTAAAATAAAAAGGTTTCAACGATGGGCAAATAATGAAAAAATAAATAAATTGAGAAATGCTCACAATATGCAAAAATATTCACTTTATAATAAGTCGGATGATATGGATGGAAATTTGACGTATCCTATCAGCTTTATCAACACATTACTCCATAAAAAGCCGAATGAAACAGATGGAATAGTAATTCATCCCATTACCTTTAATTTTTCCAAGAATCATCGCAGTGCATTTGACGACAAACAATTCTCAATGTTTTTAATGAAGCAAAAAAATGAAGGTTATTTCTTGCTATATATTTTGTCAATGGAATAATGGAATTTTTATGGATGAAAGACATATTATTAAAATTATATCAATAGTTCATCGATGGAGAGAAAGCTTTTGCATTTTATAGGTAGTGGAGTAATATTTTCTAATGTAGTATAATCAAATATCAAGATATAACAGTGATAAGTGATAACAAACAGAGAAATCTTTAAAAACTTGATTTTTAAAGATAAAATCAATTTTAGGTGATTGCTTTGCCGCATATGATATAAATTTGACCAGATCATGCGGTAATGGAGAATGGAAGCAGCGTTATTATTTCGATGGGCAAAATCAGAAATGTCAAATGTTTTGGAATGACGGTTGTCAATCTTTAAGTGGTAATAATTTTGAGGATTTGGTGACTTGTCAGTGGTTGTGCGAAAAAATACTACCAAATCCTAAATCGAGTTAGTATTCCTACTGTTATTTTATGGCTCTTTTTGTGAAATGTTTTTCAGCTATTTACCACCAATTTATCGCCCAGCTATTTTATAATCAGAGGTTACGAGGCAACCTCTGATATTGCATATTATTTTCCTCTTAATTCCCAAATTTTGCTGATGATTTATTTGGATGTTCCGAATAACCGGAAAGCCATTTTTTCATTGATTTTTGAAAGCGATTTAATGAGTTGGTGATGAATACTTTTTTAACAATTTGCAACATTGGTGATTAACAGGAGCCTGTCTTGATCCATTCGATTCAATTTATTTGGAAGAATGTAGTGATAAAAAAAACGAAAGGTTCTACTTCAACCAAGAGAAAAAAATATGTGAGCGATTCTTATATTCTGGATGTTTGTCGATATCAATGAATATATTCGCGGATTATGGCGAGTGCCAAAATTTATGTGAGAATCGTGAACACGAATTAACGAGTAATTATTTAAATTCTTTAATTTAGCGATTCTCATAAATAATGCTCTTCCTGCGATTCGCATAATGTTGGCAATCTCTGTGAGCATATTCCAGCTCTTTATGGCTAAAAATATTGTATTTTACAATATTTTATAATATTGTATTGTATATTGTATAAATATTGCATATTTGTATATTAGTTATTAAAAAAATGAAACTAAGCAAAAATGGTGAAAAAATTTTCCAAGCGAAAGGAGAGATTTTTTAGCGATTTTTTCCAGGATCATGTTTGCAACCCTTTGATTCAAAATATGAGGAATTATGTTCCACAGATGGAAGTTATAGAATTCGGTATTATTATGACATTAGCACAAAGAAATGCCGTCTATTTTGGTATGGAGGTTGCAAGGCTTCATCCGAAAATATTTTTTCTACTTTAGCGATTTGCAAATGGGCCTGCGAACGAGAAGTTACTGAAGCAAAAGAGTATGGTAACTTTTTGAATTTCTGGCTTAACAATGCTAATTATCTTTTGACCAAAGTTATATCCAGTTATTACTGATTTTTTTCCAAAGACATGTGTGTTGAAAAATTCGATGTGCGTTACATGGAATTATGTAATGATGGTCAAAGGTGGATTCAAAAATGGTATTTTAATCAAACAGATGGTCAATGTGTACCCTTCTGGTACGGTGGATGCATTACTAATGCACAAAATATATTTGATGACGAAAAATATTGTGAATGGCTATGCAAAACATCAGGTAGGTGTTTAGAAGTTATAAACATGAAAACTTCATTTCTTTTTTTATAGTCTTAGGACTAAAAGACGCAAGAGGAGTCAGAAAAATATTCAAAAAGCACTTTATTAAAACTCAACACCAATAGAAATTTGAATTTTTCAAATATTTTCAATTTCAAAATTTTCAAAAATTTTCAAAAGAATTTTCAAAAATAAGTTCAGAGTCCTAAAATTTTCATTTTTCAAGTATTTTTTTCAAGTATTGCATTAATAATTAGGGAAAATGCTAAGTTCCAGTGAGAAAAATATTCTAGCTTTTTTATTATCCACGAACCTGCATGAAGTAACTTTTCACCCGTTTATAGATCCTCTTTAACCATACTATCGAGCCATCGACAGATAATAAAATCACTTTTTATGAATTTATATAATTAAGTAACAGGTAAGGTGATAATAGTAGCACTTCAAGTGCAGTAAAATTATAGCCATTTATGTAAATTATTTTATTTGCAATTTGAGCGATAATATGCACATTCAGAATTGCTTTTAGTTATTCGGCTTATTTTTATAATAAGCAAAGTCGGAGATGTGAACCGTTCGCATATAGTGGATGTGGTGGAAATGGAAATCGCTTTCTTACCCTTGCACAATGCGAAAATACTTGCAAGAAATTCGAATTCTTTTCAGGTAAATTCAAGTAAGAAGTTTAAAGTTGCATTTTGACGTCAACAATATCAATATTTGGAGGCAGGATAGGCGAGTGGCTGTCCTCAGAAGGAGTGAGCATGTGATCAGAAAAAACTTTGGTGATGGTGAAGACTGCTGTTTTACTTGACAAAAATTTCGCGTCATACTATTAGCAATAGAGCAAGATAGTGAGCTCTATAAATTATTTTTACTTTTTGCTTATTTTAATGACATCAAAACTATAAAATTTATAAACTGAATATTAATTTTGATTTGCAGCTGAAGAAACTGATTGTTTCTTACGGCGATCAGTTGGTTATAGTAAAATAAATGAAGGATGTCGAAAAAATGCTGGAATAAAATATTATTATGATCGAAAAAATGGTTGGAAATATTGTTTTCTGCAAAATATCTTTCATATCTTTTTGTTGAACAACTAAAAAAATCATCTATCACTTCTGATTTTTTTGACTTTAGAGTTAACATTGTAGCGTGGTGCTTGAAAGGTTTATCTCTTGTAGACCAATGCAAAAAATTTTGGTATCATGGTTGCGGTGGGAATGCTAACAGGTACTACAGTTTCGCAAGTTGCAGTAGTGTTTGTCAAAATGTTACTAGTAAATCAGCTGAATTAACTGGACCAGTGCATCCTATAGGTGAATTTGATTTTTTGTAATTTAATGGCTGTAGATTCAACAAATTTTATAGCGCTCAATAATGAGCATTTTTAGACTTTTAGACTGCTTGAAGACTGTCTATTTATAGCTTGTTTCGCGTCAAATGTTGCTGAAAAATGCTTAATTAATGGTGAGAGAAATTTAATGATGTGGTATTATGATTCGGCTTCTGGCAAGTGCCGAAGCTTGCAAACATTCGCTGGCTGTGCAAACAATAAAAATTATTTTGCAAATGAGCATTCTTGTTCACGTATTTGTAAGGGTATGGCAGTACCAAATTCAGGTTGGCAAAAAATTCGTTCTCAAATAATAAGTTTATAATTATACCATTCTGAAGTCATCATCTATAGCCATGACCAGTTTCCCTATGCAATTCCGCTTATTCTGTTGTCTCAAAATTCAGTGCTGCTAAGAAGTAAAAATGTTAAGAGAAGCTTTCTAATCTCTAATTCAGATTCTAATCTCAGTCGCATTTTGCTTCATTCACTCAGCAAATTCATTTAGAATAGGGAAATTTCATTTCAACGAATAAAGTTCATGTGCACAGCTCAAGATCTATTATTATTATATATATTCATTTTTAAGTAACGGAAAATAGCTGAGTGATTACCATATATAAAATGCCGCATGCTTTTGCAGTCGAGCATTGTGCTTACTTTCCGGATTGGGGGCCATGTAACCAGTTGCATTATGTTTGGTTTTTTAATTTGACAATAGGTGCTTGTCAACAATTTCTGTATGGAGGCTGTGGAGGAAATCCAAATCGGTTTGACACCTTTGAATATTGCCAACAAACTTGTGAAGTACCACAAGATGGTTAGTTTTTCGTCTCAATAGTTCGGGTCTTTCGCCACTTTTAACGATAAATTTTGTGCCAAAAACTTTTGTCCATATGAAATTCCTTACTTTTCTCCTCAAATTTTCCTTTATTAAAATTTTTTTTCCATGACAGTAGGGAAGGGTATGTAGTAGTGAAGGAAAGCAAATAAGCAAATTAAAGGTTCTGAAAAACAGAAGATTCAAAGTGGAATATTACTTCGATTTAATTCAATAACTACCTCGGATGGTACTGGTGATCCACCTTTACTTTATTTCATATGGTTTTTTGACGAATAAATTCCACTTTAATAATCAGTAGAGCCAAACCAGAATGACGGATGCTGTTAAATGGAGCTTTCTGCTGGCTTTAAGACCTCTTAATGATCGTCAGTCTTTCAAGAAACACAAATAACCAAACTCTTTCTCAGATGTCTGTAATGATCCACTAGATCGAGGAAATTGGTGTGAACCTATGACGAATCGTTATTACTATAATAAAGAAACAAAAAGCTGTAAGGGATTTCATTATACTGGATGTGGGAAGAGCGCTAACAGATTTCTAACAGTTGCTGAATGCGAAGAAAAGTATAGTACTTCGATTTCGTTTAAAGCAAAAAAGAAAACAATTTAAAATGAATATAATTTAAATATAAAAATGAATATAAAAACTGATTTAAACGCAGCAAAGCGTTTGTGATAAAAGATAAACAAAAATTTGCAATTCACTTCATAATCTTTTCACAGATTTTCACTTCGCAACATTCCAGATAATTTCGTAATTTATAAAAATAGACTGAAACGCCAAAGAAGAATGTTTAGCAATGCTTTGGGATTTTCTGATTTTAAAGCACATGTATTAAGAAATCGTTTAAAATATGAGAAAATCAGGCAAGCAAAAGACGCAAGTAGATGTAAGAATCGATCATACTCGAGTATGTAAGTTATACCAAAATATCTTACTATACTTGCTATCTGGCATTTTGAAGCGGATGTGCTTTACGTCGTACTTCATTCATAGCTGCTATTCATAGCTAATATAAATTTGCGGAAGCATAGTTCTTTGGTGAATAGATTGGTGAATAATACCATTTCTTTTAGATTTTAGAACGTGCTTAAAAAGCCGCTGCCATTAAAAAAGTGATGGATATTTAATCTTCGAAAAGCGCTTTCCCATAGTGGAATGGTAGATATGTACATGAATTTAGGTGTGTATGAAATTAAAATAGTACTATTTTAGTATATGATCAGTTCTTTATTTACATCTTTTGCTTATCTATAATTTTTTAATATGTAGAAATTCTTATGCTTCATAACGAACGAAGAGTTCCAAAGGAATCCTGAAAAAACTTTATTTATTTCTGTAAATGGTTCTAAAATCATCTGCGAATGTTACTAAATTATACGCAAATATAAGTTATCTGGCATAACATTTGCCACTCCATTATTTTTCATCGAATTGCCAGATTTAGTGGCTTAATGCTAAACGAATTCTATTTTTCTCTATTGACAAAGTTCACAAGATTTTTTTGAAAAATTGCAAAAAATCTTGTATTTTTAGCTGTATAAGAGGTAGAAGTCCAACAACAATCCATCTTCCAGTTTCATCGTTAAATGCAGCACCATTTAACTGTGAGTGATTTGTAGTAGTTTAATATGCGATGTTTGCGGTGGATAGTTAAGCCAAATTCAGTCAGAATATGGCAAAATTTATGGTATATGTGTATGATTGTGAATGGTTAATTTTTGTACCATTAATTTAAGCAAAACTAAGGCATAAAACAGATTTTGATAATTCGAAATAATTCTGGCGATATTTGAATGAAGCTAGTACTTAGATAATGCAAGATGATACTTTATTATTATTGTTACAGCCTAATTCTGTTTATAATAGATTTTGGACCTAAATTCTTATAAATCTGCCAAATTTAATTCTACTTTAACCAGCATTAGTCTCGTAACTTTTATATTACAGATAGAAATAAACAACCTCCAACACAACAGCCTATGAACCAAGCTATAATGCTCTCAGCTGATACTAATCCTTACTTTAAAACAGTTGGAGAATGGGTGAAATATGGCCATTGCATCGGATTCCGGTATTTTGCTATTATTGCGCTTGTTCAAAATTTTAAATTAACCCCATTCTTATCAATTTTATAGCTGGTAATAGAGAACGTTTGGCTGAGAATTGTAGTGCTCATGTTGGATGTTTAAGCAATGTTTAACGTTCCAACTCTTACCCTTTTCATCAAAAGTGTGGATTGATTTGTGCACTTGTTTCGCCATTTTTACTTATAGTACTTATCTGCAGATATAATATATCCGGTATTAACACGCTACTGAAGAGTTTTTTGTGCCGAATGGAAGAAGAAGGATCATGTCAGCTTGAAGTAAGTCAAATAATTCGACAATTCTACAAAATCTTTCGTTCGTTTTTTGTAATAATCATACACATCATAATTACACTCTATTAATTCCATCCTTATCAATAAATTCTATTTTCTTTTTGTCAAATGCTTTTAAAAAATTTGAAATTAACAGCATTTTTTGCAGAACATAAAAGCGTTACAAATTCTTTTTTCAAATATTATTTCAGTCCGTTTTTCAGACATTTAAAGAAACGAATGGCGAAGAAAGATGTTATTTAGTGCGACCATGGCTAAGAGATATTCATTACTATTCATGGTTTTGGATTATTGAACGTATTGAACCTAAACAGCGTTCGAATTCACATCAACGATTTCAAAATTTAAGTTACACGAACGCAGTAATTATACCTTTATCCTCTAATGCTTGTTATGATGCTTGCTAGGTCTTCGTTTTCTCTAACTCTAAATAACTCGCCACTTTAATCATTGCAATTCTGTTAGAAAATGAATTTACCCTAATTCTATCAAAAGATGAGTTAATTTTTTACGTTTTACGTTTGAGTTAAGCATTTATATACTCGAAACATAAAAATAATGCGATTAGCGCTAAAAAATCGTGTACAAGAAATTTTTAAGTAAATCGCAATTTTCTCTATAATTCCAATTCAGTTTGGCAGAAGTGGAGCTTATTGAGATATAAAACACGCTGATATAATCTCCTCAAGAAAAAGTAGCATCAATTATTGCTTAAAGCAAAGGCATTCATAACGTTTAGCTGCAATGCTAATATTTGAATGGCTATATTTATTATTTAAATAACGCTTAAATATGTTGCAAAATTTGAGATTTGGCAAAATTTATTTTTTATATAATTCATTTATTATCTATTTCAAGCTACAATTATTGGTAAAACGATCTCAAATTTGGTAGAAAATTGTAAGCGGGTTTTATGATAATTCATGAATATAGATTCGGTCTTAGATTGTAAATCATATAGAAAAGAATACCTACCCACATGTCATTTTCCTTGCTTTCAACAAGACACGCCTTCCTAAACTGATTTTACTAATTTACTAATTTTAAGAATAAATGAATTAAAGATTTTTTCGAGTAAAGACTCGAATTAAATTAATCGGCATGCTATAAGACAGATTATTTTATGTTCGTTCATTCGTGTTCATCGGTGGTGAAAATGCTGGATAAATTCTATTAGTCATTTTTTATTAATGATAATAATATTTAACGCTTGTTCCCGAGATAATTTAGTCAATTAAGTAATAATTTTGCAGGCAAATTCTAGGCGAACTATTTAAATAATTAATCGTGTCGTTCAAATTTACATCAAACTTTTAAACTATATGAGTAAAGTAGCGAACTTTTTTATCGGCCTTCGAGGCGTACAGGAAATCCTCGACTAGGCTTCAAGGAAAATTCTGGGATCGCTCGATTTTCTTCTTCAGGCAACATTGAAATTACGCGATACTTTCGTAATATTGCTGCAATAGTTATTTGCATTTCTAATATAGCAAATCGATGACCTGAAAACTCAATGGTTCATTTTAATAATTTACTAATTTTATTAATAAGGAATGTATATAAATTATCCAGTTAGCGACTTTATAATATTTTTAACAGGGAAATACAACAATAGTCAATGTTAAAATGTTTTCTTCACTAGGAATTTTCATAGCATAGAATTACAATTAATGATTTACAATACGTTATAAATTAATATTGTTTCTCATTTTCTTTCTTTTTATTACAGATCGTTAATGTCATATTCCATAAACTGAGCATTTAAAATCAGGTTTTCATCATTTTATTAAGATATAAAAATTTTCGAAAACCAAATACAACCAGTTCAGCAACCTATGGGCACTATATAATCGAATGCTATATCGGATACGACTTTTGTCCGGATGGTGATGTTGGACACACCCCTACCTAACCTCAACTCTTCTTAGTGATTCTTTCATACCAATGCTAACTAGTAAAGCCAGAAATTTTGAGTGCTTTTAGATGGTGAAAGAATTCAATAAAGAATTCAATACCTCACCAAGAATAACTTTATTTATATTTAGATATATGAACATCCAAAGTTTCCAGTTTATCAAAAAATATTACCAATGCAATTCCTAATTCCAGCAGAGAAGGGGATAAATGCAAATGGGTCTCTGTTCATCACTTTCTCCGGATCGAAATGTGCCGGATTGAATACTTCAGGATTCTCATAATGCTAAATTTTTTTTTTAGATGAAATAATGGCAGGTGAGGTGATTGTTTTCAGAGAGTTGTTCATGATTTATGACAATATAAGTGACAGTTACCAAAAATTAGAAGGATTTGGAAGTGAAAAAAACAAGCAAAAAATTCAATAAAGCTGGTAGAAGGCTATATTTTAAAGGATTTGAAAACGAAGCTTCTAAAATCTGAAAATAAATAAAAAACAAATAATATTTATTAAGTATTAAGTGGTAAGTTGCTTCGACCGAGATAAAAAAAATCACGGATTTGATTTATTTCTTGAGGAATGTCTCCTGAGAATTAAAGTTTGACAATATTCACAATATTCAGATGGTTCTAGCATTAAATTAATAAATTCATTATGCCAATAGAAAAAAAAATTAAAAAAAAGATATTCTGGAAATTATACAGCAAAGGCATAGTCGTAACAAGTTAAGCTAAATTTTTTTGCATACAGTTCAGTTTCTAATTGCTAAAAAAATAAAGACAAAATTGTACTTGAGGATCACGCATAATCGCAAAAGGTGATAATGCACAAACAGCTCCTTTCGGTATTTTGTATCCACCTAGAAATTTCATCAGTACAGTAAATTGCTAACTAATACCTTGGTATTTAAAAATTTTAAAAGAGCTTTCTAAATGAAATGAAGAAATTTGAAAATGTTCTCAGTTTTGAACTCAACCACTTCAAGAAACACCTATGCAAACTTCTAACATAAGCATTCATCGGAGTGAAATTTACGTCTTTTATATTAAATTCATCCAAAAACTTGTCTAAGATCGTTATCAAATCTTTACTTCATAGTTTTTCTTATAATTCATAATTATTTATAATTCATCTGGCGTCGTCTTTTAAATCAAACATTCAATATTAAAAAGTTCAAATTTCGAATAAATGTGGACTTGTTGATGGAATAATTAGGTGATTGGCCAGTTTCAATAAATTCATTTCTCTAAAACTTACAGATTTCAATATCTTCGGTCACTTGCCGACCGATCATAACCACATTTGGTGTATAACGACCCGTTTCACATATGACTTGATATAAGTATTTCAGATGTGATAAATCATCAGTAGTAATATCTCGTTCTGTTTCACCTAAAAAATGCTAATAAAAATATTTGAATTTTAAGTAAATAATTTGTTTTTTCTTGCAATAACGATAAAACTAATTTAAAAAAAATTAATGACTAATGAAAATTTAATTTACTCGGTCCGATAAAAAATTTACTTACCTAAAACATCTTTCAATTCATGATAAACTTTATCCTGGAAATGTTGCCTATGACCCAAAGCGAACAAATTAAACCCGATCTGAGCCGTTACCGCATCACTTCCTAGAAACATAAATTTACTATTGCATTATTTCAGTTTCTCGATAGATTTTGTGCGATTTTGATAACGTCAATTAAAGAAAAAAATAACAATCCTGTTACTGTATAGAAAATGCCCATATAAATGATTAAAACCTGCAGCCATAAACATATCCACTTGACCACGAATATCCTCATCGGTCAGACCATATTCGTCGCGGATACTAAATAGTAAATCCATAAAATCCAGTTTTTTCCTTCCACTTGTCGAGAGCTCTTCAAAAGATGGCTGGTGATCATATGCTTCCCAATCCTTTTTCTTTAATGCGATTATCTTAAATTTGCAAATATCTTGTCAGTTCAAAATGAATAATGAAATGAAAAAGGAATGGTAAATAAAGAAATTGGGATGTCCTAAGGCAATTTTGCGATTCGAAACAACCTCTCTTGTCAAATCTTTGCATCTGTTACAATAATAATCAAGTTTTCTATCGAAACCATAAATCCATCGAACTGGTGGAAACCAAAACCATGGATAACGAATTTTAGCCCACATAAGATTCAAAGCTTTTCTTAGTGAGTGATAGTAATCTTGATTGTGATTAGCTTGAGCATGGATCGACACCCCCATTGCTGTTTCTTAAATCAAATATTTTTATTTCAGTTTTTCAGCTATCGTTGTAAATTATTCCATTATGTATATCTAAAATTCTTCTAGTTTTAGTTTTCACTTGTAAAGATAAAAATTTCTTTACCAGCTATTGTATCCATACCGTATCTTCGCAAATATGGTAATATGTCAAATGTTTCATTGGTGCCACAATGTTTTTCAAGTTCCCCAATGAGCACCTGAAATTTTCACGACCTTTCAAAGTAAATATCAACATCGTCGAGGTTATCATTCTGCTTGTAACGAGAATAAAAACTACAAAAAAGGATAGTCAGATAAACATAGGAAAACAACAATTAAGCCCCATTCTACGATAGCATGAGAAGCAAAAAAAAATTGTGGCAGTAACAAGCCTTGATTCCGCAAGCTGCAGATCTGTGATGCAGCATAATTAATGAGTTTTTGAAAGCGACGAAAAAAATTGTTCAGTTGATAGGTTATCATGAGAATAGAACAAAATTAGAAGCGTTAAGAGAGTATGATGGAGTTTAAGGAGATGCTAAGGAAAATGTCAGAATTTGGAGGCGCTGGAGAAATAACAAGTTTTTACGCAAAAAATGGGAGAAATACTGCAAGTAACTCCAATTAAGAGTGCACAAAGGAATTGGTGAAGGTAATAAATTTTGAGGTGAGTTAAAATTTGATGAGTTTTGATATTTGATACTGAGATGAGGACTGTATGATTATGAAGGTTGTGTGGTTGAATGAATGCACGTAGCAGCTAGGCCAATCATTTTGCCAAATAGATTTTTGATTTACCTTGCTTTGTTCATTGAATACTTCAATATATTTATTCAAAATATTGAAATGAAAAGCTGGGGTCAACATTCTGCGGGCTTTAAACCATGTCTGTCCCGAGCTACAAAAAAATAAGACCTATAGCTGCAATTTGCTTTTCATAGGTGATTTTTCAAAGGTAAGTTAAAAACATTTTTTGAGAACAGAGTAGCCAACTGGATAATGGTTCAAATCACAGTGCTTAGAGGCAAAGGTTTAGATTTCATCTTTAATAGGTACTATTGCTGACCAACTAATACTCTTGTCGCCAAATGAACCTCTGGGAAAAATTTCTAATTGCTAAGGAAAGTGTCAGAACGACAAACTGAGCTAGTCGAACCAGAAATGGTAAGCGCTAACCGTTTTTTAAATGTTTCTTATAAGATCTATCGTAGTTTTTCAAAATTATTTCTAAATTCCAGCTCTCATGAATATCAAGGTGGATGTATGATATCTGTGAATATTTCAATACAGCTAAGGTACATGAAACTAAATAAATATACTTATTTGCCAATATTTAACTTCCTTTGATTTCGTTGGATTTGTAACCCATTTTTTTTCTGCAGAATTTTGGAAAATTAACCTCGAAAGCATTCCATCACCAACTAGGCGCTTAAAAACATCATATTCTTTAGGTTTATCGATGAGTGAAGTACTCTCCAGAATAAACTGAAAAATTATTTTTGAATATTAGCCATTTAATTTGGCTTCCCTTTTTTTTTATAATGTTATATAACTTTCAAAAAAAAGATTGACATAATGGACATCTAACTTTGGCACTTTTTGATCTGGTCATGATGATGAATGGTGTAAAACCAAGCCAAACTCGAATCATGCCATGATCATGCCTGTATGCGTATTTACGAAATAAAGCTTCCAACTGATACGTGAACTCTAAAATTTTGTTATTTTTTCGCTGTTATTTATACGGCCTACAATCGTAAAAAGCATAAGAATCATATAAAGAGATCTTTAAAAATACAGTAAATAGTAAATAGATACAAAATTTTTATGGGTGCTTTGACAACAGTTCACTTGATTTTAATTTCATTTTGTGTTGATTTTTTCTTTCATTTATAAGCGACCGAAATAACACACAAAAAAATTTTAGAACTAGTTGACCCACTGCTGTTCTCCTATTCCCATGTAACTACTCTATGGCAAAACTCCTATCAAAAAGTGAATGAAAAAAGCCTAACTAGAAATAGTGAGCGCTTAATCACCTATAGATGATTTTTATTTAATATGGCAATAGTTAAATATATATCTCTAATTAGAGGAATTTGGGTCACACTAGCAGAATGTACGGTGAACTACTGAGAGGTAAGGATTCGGTTCTTATCCTCAACAAGAGTAAAGATGCCATTTAAAAATCGGAGCTGGCAGTCTATCTATTTCTATCTTCAAGTGATTCCCTGGTCACAATTTCGAAATTACTTATGACCAGGAGCAAGCCTAACGAAAAATGGTGAATATTAACCATAAACTTTTCACTTAATTAAAGAAATTTTGTGGATTATTGCTAAGGTGATAAAACTTTTAAAAAAAATTGAATTATTTTGCTCGATTCATCACAGATAACAAGGTTCAACAAGGGTTAAAATTAGTTTACCCTTGCTATCCAAAGTGGTCTTCAAAAATTCTTTAAGCAGTGACCAAATATCAATTCCAGGAATCTGATTAATCGTTGTTACGAATTCCCATCGATCTTTTAAATATTTCATTATTCGATTTCGATAAAGAAAACAGAAAATAATAGCGAAAATGATCAGCAATATACCATTCATCCTCAATAATCGAAAAATCTGTTAATTTTCTATAAAAATTTGAAATAATTCTTATTTTGAGCAAAAATTATTTTTGCTTATATTGTTAAAAGCCAAACAAAATCTTTTATAAAAATTTGTTGAGAAACATTTTTATGATTTGAAAAGGCTTCGAAAGAAAGAAATTATTTAATTTATAGTTCTTTTCGACAAAATTAGTTCGCTCGAAGAACATAAGAAACAATGAATAAAAACAAGATTCAGATATGTGTAAAAATTAGTTTATTAGAAATTCCTTGTATCACAACAGTGATTCGAAAAAAAATAAAGGTTAACTTTCGACAAGGAGGCAAAAAAAACGTACGACAGTCAAGTTAATAATATATGATTCTAAAATCTTTTCGCCGGGATTATCTTTCCAAAAATTTTTGAATATGAAATTTCATCATCAATACAGACATTGAAGAAGCAGACTTTAAGAAGCAGACATTGAATTCAAGTAAAGCATATTTAAAAGTAATTTGCTAGGAACTAATTTTATAAAATTAGGCCATTTAAAGGAATGGTTAAAACGAAGGACTTGGAAGAATCGTTCAGATCCAGTTTCAATAACCCTCACTTACCATTTCCAATCAGTTTTAAAATCAATTTACGAGGGGGAGGAGGATTGGCTAAATTAAATTTCACCTGGGGTTGAAGATAAGCCATTAAGGGATTTCTGCCAACAGCATAAGACTAGCTCAATAAGTTTAGTTTTTGAAGATAGACTAAATTTTTCTATTTTCACTATTGGAAATAATATATGCTTAAGAGAAAAACCAAAATTTAAATAACAATTATGGCCATTTTTTAAACTTTAAGGCGCACGAAAATAAGGATTCCATGAAATAAATTTCATGCGAATATCAAAATTTACGATTTTATTGCTCAACAATAATCGCTCTGCATTTCTATTTTTTTTATATACATGATACATTTTTTCCACATATAAAAGGAAGTCATGAATCAATTTATCCAAACAAGAGAGAAAAAAATTTTTTAATTATAAAAGCATGAAAAAAAGCATGATGTTAAAGTAAGCAATAAAGTATGCATTCATACTGAGGTCCTGCTGGCACTGTGCGAGTTTTTGGATAATATGCTCACCTCTTTCGGGACATGTAAAATCACCATGATTTGTGCCATACGCGCTCGGCCACGAAAAGTGACTTTTGTTAGGCTTGAAATTTGCTAACTTATAAAGTATAATTCTAATTAATAAGAATTCTAATTAACGATCGATGAAAGCTAAAATTTAAAATATACTAAAATTATTATAATATTTTAATACATTGCTTAATAACAAATTTTAAATTTCAAATGTGCTTAAAATTTTTAAAAATTTTAATTAATTAAATTAAATTAATTAAATTTAATTTAATTTTTAATTTTTCTTAAAAAAATAGGCAAATAAAGCAACAAAAAATTTGGTTTCGTTTGGCTTAAATCGGTGCCTTTTTCCGGAATTTCTTAGCATTCGGAGTGATGAGAATTGATAAAGAAAATGGTTTACGATCGGCTGATGTTGATCAAAATTTGTTGTGGAAACGTGAAATTTTTCTAGTTTTTCTAAAAAAAAACATTTAAAGGACTATTGCATAAGTCTTTCATTATAATTACAAGTTGTATTAAAAAACATTGAACATTTTATTAGATTATCCTTTTTTATATTTCATAACGATGTTCTTAATCACCACATCATTCTTAAATGAAGCATCGTGATTTTTTAAATTGCTAATGCAAACGTAGTTAATAAAAATTGAAACTCAATTCCCAATGCGACTGCAAAATGGTTTTTTAACAGTATATCCTGTTTAATGAAATACCTTTATTTTCCTCAGTCGTAGGGGGTCGTGTAACTCAGCACTTTATGAGAGCAACAAGTCACTGTAAATGTCCAATTTCTTTAGGGATCACGTAAGCCTTGAAGCACAAAAGCTATTTCGTGTTTTTATCCATATTTGGATCCAAATTACATGTTCATACAGATTTTTTATATGCATCCAAATGATCGATGACCTGTTTTCTAAATCGGTCAAAATTTTTTATCTTTAAAGGTGGAGAAAAACAATTAGTAGGGTAAATATCGCCACTGCGCTTTTTAATGCCAATCCGCATGTTTTTTTACATCCAATTTGTAATATATAATATGACATATCCTTTGATAAATATGGATCGGAATAATATTTTCACAAATAGATTATTATGAAATATTTTATTATAAAATAAAATTATTATTTTCACTGAATTTAACAATTTTCATTTATTTGTTTAGATGTTCAATTGTTAAATAGTATTTTTACAATAAATACGTGAAGTAAAAAAAAAAAAAACTATTCAATGCAAATGATTAAGACATTTTGTTGTAATTAAGTTGCCTTAGTTCATAACTGCTTTCCAACAAAATAAATTTAGTCATCCATATTGGAAGAGGCACAGTCGCTAAGTGAAACAAGGCATGAGCATCAATTAGCCAAAACAGTGGAGGAAAATCGAGAATCTAAAACATTAAAAAATCAAAAAAAAACCGAACAGATTATGATTAACAATAAATCGCCACTTTTTTTCCATCGCATTTTGGCTGATTTACATTCTTTATGATATTTATGATATATAAGAGCAGCTACATTTAGGACTAAACAGGGCCCATTCTCCAAGCCTTTTAGGCACAAAAGGCACTAAGCGCTTAGCCATCACTTATCTTTATAAGATTACTAATTACTTCACTATGTAATTTAATTATTTTATGTCTTCATTTATGTCTTTTGAATACATAAAGGTGGTAAGTCTAATAAATCCTGTGCGATACCATGAACGTCAGTTCACGAATTATTGTAAACCAGGTTTTTTGTAAATATTATAATCTTTCTTTTTAAAAGTCCATTACTGGTCAAACTCGCTCCGCTGGCTTGTCGCACTGGATAAATATACCAAGGGGGTCCCTGATATGAGTACAGGTGAGTCGTCAGCATCACCAGTATCTTTGGACAGGTTTACGCCTGCTGGGGAATAGAATCTCTGCAACGGCGCTCCCAATTTATTATTATTAATTATTATTAATATCATGAATATTATGTTTTTTATTAATATCTAATATCTAATATTTTCATTAATCCTTTAGTGAATTTAAACTTCCTTACATCTGATCCTCACATTTTTCTACATTGTATCTTGTGTCATATCAGATGATTTGACCCTAAGCATATTTACTGAGTCGCAATTGTATAAGCCATCATATTTGTAAGATAAAGAATTCACGTGAGTTATTCATTACATTAGTTTATCATATTATTTTTTCCACTGCGTTTTTCACATCTGTATTACTTGATCATTGAACTCTATTATTTTATTATTAAGCGTATCGGTATTGTAATTATTAAATTGCTGTCATCGAACGTGACGGTTCATCATCACAACTCATGCACTCATGCAATTCACGCATAAAGGTATTATTCGCAGCTCAACAATCGTACAAAAATTGTACACTTCAAGCAGATTTTATTAATTTTATTTGCTTTTTGTATTATGAATTATCTGTGGCGAAATATTTAAAAATTATCGTACCTGCACATCTAATAAAACTTCGACGCATGCGAAGACAGGCATCGCAAACATTTTTTGAAGCCAGTAAATTAAAGAGAAAATTAGCAGTCATAGCTATTTTAAAGAGTCTATTCAAGCAATTAAAGGAAGAAACTTCATCCGTTCGAACTAAGACATTCGTCTCTGATTTGACTGCCACAATGCAAAATTTGCTCGCCCATTTTCTTATTTGAATTCGATGGCGATCTGGGCAAGTGCGAAAAGTTTATATACAATTCGAAAGTTATGGTGATGGTTCAGAAATTATTTACTATAGTAGCTGAAGGGAAATGATAAAGGATCGATATCTCAGTACAAAGCTAAAGCAAAGAATAAACAAAGAAAAAAGAATAATCCCACAACCACTGATGCCTTAAAAGACTTTTACTGCCAGTATAAAACCGAAATTATATCTTGCTGGATAATTACACAAAAATATCACGATCAATGCGAAATTGTATATTTACTGACAATCCTCAAAAGGAAGCATTAGGATATCGAACTTAAACATGCTACTTCTCTTTTACGCGAAAATGCTGCAGGCAAAAATGGAAACAGAAAATTGATTATTGAAGAAATTACGAGACTTTCTAGGAGACCTTCTACGAGACTAGGAGGAGACTTTAGTTTTTCGAAATGATATATTAAGGGAAACATATCGAACAATCCACAAAGAATGAAGAAAACGAACCAGTGCAACAAGAATTACGAATACGAATTATGAGAATACTGCGCGTTTTGTAATAAATCGCATTGGAATGATAAATATCTGGACATGAAACAGTAAAAGAAAAGGCTGAAATTAGCATAAAAGAAAGGATCATTTTGCAAATGCTTTAATGGCATTAACAAGAGAAAACAACTAAATGTTTTCACTGTAAGGGAAATCATTATTAGCAGCTACGCAAAAATCAAGATCTGAAAGCTTCAAAATCTCGACAGCAGCACAGAATCAGCAGTTTCATAGCCAAAGGGAACGATACAGAAAAATCTTTGTGCTTCAAGTCCCAAATTCAGAATCCATCTGACAAACCTACTTAGTATACGAAAATGGCATTACTTGCCATTGGAGTACAACATTTTTATATAACCGAAGCTTTTGAAATTTGGAAATAAATTCAACTTGGAGAGTAAAAAATGATGCTCAATACGCTTGGAAGTTTTTATTCAATTCCCCATAATCACTTAAGTAAATTTCGAAAACAAGACGAGCAATGAATGAAAGTATTATATTAAACGGATACACGATAAAATATACAACCGGTTCAGCGCGTAAATATTACAAAATACAATCAAGTGAATATGTAAGAAAATTTTGAAGCAATTTTGCAAATCTGTATGAATATCTGTAGATAAACCAAAAAATATTATTGGTACTAATTTTTAAATGGACGAACAAACACGCAAAGTGGAAACAGCCAAAAGGCATTTTACCATGGATAACATCAGTTTTACCATGGATAACATCGCAGTCAAAAATACCGAAAAATTTTAGCAAATTATTAGGACGCTTGAAGAACGACGATCGAATCTTTATAACTATCGAAATAACTGGTCAAATAGTGTATTGCGATGCTTTAACACAGAATAAAGCGAAGTAGATGAAGTTTTGAGTGGTTCTATCTCCAAGATCACAGTGGAAGTCTATGCAGCTCACAAATCTAAACCGATGCATTACTTTTCAGATCAGAGACCTTTCAGCTCGAGTGGTCTATTTTGGACCTATAAGTATCAAAGCTGAAAGGAACACACCTAAAAATTACAACTGCAAAAGGCGTTCCGGATAATACCCTTTCTGAACATGAAAAAAACTTCGAACTCCAAAAATTTTCAAAGATTCCAATTTTCAAAACATGCTATCAAATTCATAACATAACAGTGCGTAACAACGAGAATATACGAGAGATTTGTTGCTATATCAAATTTCGTTATGATGATGGAAATAGAAAAAATTCTACGATTTTGACGGAAGTAGAACCAACAGCAATAATGAAGTTGAAAATATAGCCAGTACTAGGCTACATATATCTCAGAGGAGCCAAGTAGTATTGCAAGTATTATTAGGTCTAACAACTTGATTCAACCAAACATCGCAGCGCAAATCATAATGAATCCGAAGGAATGGAAACCCCAGAACCGCGAATTCATCTTCAACTCAAAAATATATAAGCGAACTACCAAAAGAATGGAGATTCTCATCAAAAGTTCTTCAACAATTTTCAAAGCTTTGGACTACAATTATTTGAATCTTCTTAAAGAAAAATAAAACCGACGAAATCTCTCACCATGAAAAGCGAACATCTCGAGAAAGGGAAGTTATTTTAATAGCATTCTGGGCCGTACCACTGATGTACACAGAGGTTTTGCTGTTTTCCTTTATCCCATTAAAATTTTCAATGAAAAAGAAATAACTAGCTTTGCATCCTTTATCATCTAAAAGTGATAATAGAATTAGAAAATAGTGGAAGTTTTGAAAGAAAAAAAATGCCATTAACAAGAGTTCAGAATCAGTTTCGCAGTCAAGTAGAATAATTTTTATTGAATAATTTTTTACAAGGAAAGAATTAGTACAACCAATCTAACCCCGGCAGAGGCAAAGCTAAAAAATGGCAGTGGAACAAAATTTGCGAAGAAAATTGCTGACAATTACCGAATGAATGTAAATTGAGCCAGAGTGTTGTGGATTTCATCTGATAATTGTGATTTATGTTTATAACTTATAATTTTATTTTTATGATTTATCTACTAGATTTTTCTTATGTCCTCAGGCGTATTAGAAGTTACGGCTCCTTTTTCCTTAGAGAGCAGTCATTTATATCATTTTTGGCCTTTGTCCTGCTTGTGAATGAAGTACAATAAATATACCTAATTCTCTCGATAAACCTTATATTTTATAAATCCTTTATATTTTATAAATATTTTATAAATCCCAAAATAAATCCTTCATTTGATTGGATTTTCTATCAACTGTCGTCTTAAATAGTCTATGTTATTAGTAGAAAGCAACGGAGCTCTTTTTCAATTTCTCTCAAAAATCCACAGTTATATTTTCTACCAATCCAAGCCCTAAGATCCTTTCCAACCAAACAGCACAATACTTATGATGATAATATATCTTTACGTATCAATTCCCGATACATGAAATCTTACGTTTATTTTATGCTTAATAGCTTAATTAATTAATCTTAAACTTATCTGAATGCTAATTACATATATTTACATAGTAGAACGGTTGTATTTATAACGGTTGTTTTACTATCGATGAGAAGGCAAAAAAAAATTTAAAAGATGAATACCTCCAACGATGCAGAAGCCAGACCCCAAAGTATCACCCAGAAAATATAACTGATCGAAGAACTGCCACTCATTGATCTACTGCGCCAATTATTGAAAATCCAGTAGAAGTAAATGGCAGATGTTGAAAAAGCGAACAACAAGCAACATTTCATATTGTATCCATAATCGAAATAAAACTGTAAAAAACAATATTTCATCATGATTTGCCATCAGTTACAAAAAACAATAATTTTCTATAATAATTTTCTACTTTGCTATAACAGCTCCAAAAACTGGAAAAATCTCATAATTTAAAAAACATACTATCAGCGACTGCACATGGTTGATATAAAAAGTTAAAAGGGCCAAAAAAATCGAGCACCACCTGCAATTCTTTTAAATTGAGCTCCCAACAAATATAAAGTGGTTAAACATCTTTTATTTTAACATTGAATATTTTATCTGATCATTATTTTAAACCACAAATTGTCAATGGGCGTTGGGAAGGTTAACAGGAGCCATATTTATTTATTATTTTAATTTAAGCGACAAGGCGGTGGGAAATAGGTCGGAGAGCAGTAGGGAAAAACCAAATTTTATATTTTTTAACCTCTCACAACACCTTAATGATCCAGTCTTATATGGATTATATTTTTTCACACCTTTTTTTTGTTATAAAACAGGATTGTCAATTTAAAATGCAACATGAAATTACATTATCCTTCTTTTTGCATGGAACTATTTAAATTTTTTGCCTTCGGCTGTGGTTAGAATATATAATCTGACGCAACAACGCTTTTATTTTCAAATTTTTATTTTCAGTTTTCGATGCTTGTAGAGCTTTAATTTAAAAGCTTTTCGAATCGTAAATAATCCATCAACCTACTTGCAAATTATTACAACAGATACTATAGGGACTTCAAAATTTTTCTATCTCAAAAGTATATGACTGTGCTCTTTTTAATAAGGTTAAAAATAGTAAAGGAACAAATATTTTAATCCACAAATAATTAAATTTTACCGCAGAATAAATCGACTTGCTAAATTGCGCATAATTCTACTGCTATAAACTATAGATATGGACTGTTGGTGACAAGAAATGGTCGAGAGTCAGGGTTTT